CTCGCATGAAGGACGGAACGAGCCCGTGGCCAGCAGCCCAGAGCGCCAAACGTCACTTTCTCCACTTCTCCACTGACTAGAAACTACCTTCAAACCTGGAATTTGCTTCCTTGCGGGTTGCTAGCTGCCATCTTGCTCGCGTCCTGCCACTTGCAGCCACGTGCAGCCACTTGCACCCACTGGCAGCCACTTGCCCAACCAGCCACTTGCGGCTACTTGCAACCACTTGCAGTTACTAGCAAGCAGGGCTAAAATACAATGGCAGTGAGGAGCGGATCAAGCCCGCGGCCAGCAGCGCATAGTGCCACACGTTGCTTTCTGAACTGCCTAGAAACTAGCTCCAAACCTTGCCTTTACCTGCCGTTCTGCACTGCCAGCTTCCAAATTGCTTGCTGCCTCTGTGGCACAGCTCGGGTTCAAGGACGGTGTTGCAGGACTAAAACACCATGGCAGTGAGGGACGGATCGGGCCCGCGAAAGCCCATAGTGCCAAACGTTGCTTTCTGAACTGCCTAGAAACTAGCTTCAAACCGAGAAGCTAGCTGTCTTTTTACTTTTACCGCTGCTACGAGAAACTAGCTGTCTTTTTACTTGTACCGCTGCTTTCTCCTGCCTTCTTGCTCGCCTTCTGCATTCTGCGGCTACAAGAAACTAGCTGTCCTTTTTGCTGCTTTTGCAGGACACTAGCTGTCTTTTTACTTTTGCCGCTGCTTTCTCCTGCCTTCTTGCTCGCCTCACGTTGCTTTCTGCGGCTACAAGGAACTAGCTGTGTTTTTCTGTTGCTTTTGCAAGACACTAGCTGTCAGCTGTCTTTTTACTTTTGCTGCTACTTTCTCCTGCCTTCTTGCTGTTGCTCCTGGCCCTTCTTGTGCGCTTGCTGCCTGACTCTGTTTGATCCGTCAGCTCTTGCTCTCATCATTTCTTGCCCCTGGCTGATGGTAATGTCTTCTCTGACGCGCTCCCCCTTGCCGTCGGCGGGGTCGGCGTATTTTTAATACATATATGTATATATATATATGTATACACCATACATGTGTATATATACATATGCACACACACACATATGCGGCAGACACGTGTCCACGTGGCAATATTTTTGGTTTTGTTGCGATTTTTCAGCCCTTCATTGCGAAAGGCTAGAGTGGTGCAGCGTTCTGTGTGGCGGTGTTTAGACTTTGCTACACAGTCCTGGGCTCCAGCAATGATAGCTGGATCCACTGACCATTATGGCCTGCATGCGCAATTCAGGGGGGCAAGAATCTGGTCTGGCAGAACGCTGGATGGATTCACCAAGAGCACACCTGCGGTGACTTCGCCAAGAGTTTTCCAATCTGTTTCCGTGGCGCTGTTGTAATCTGAGTGGCTGAGTCCTGATAGTGAAAAATGCTGAAGTTTCCGCCGGGCCTCAGGGAACGGTCAGTCAACCACAAGTGCAGCTTGAGATTCTTTCCAAATTCATGTTTGGAAGTCCTTTGTTTCCTTACCTTCACAGTGGCTTTCGCTTCAGAATCAAACAGCTACTGTGAGAAGCGAAAAAACATGTTCATACTGGAGCTAGTTGTAAGGGCAATGCTCCATCTACTCGTTGAACAAGAAGTCGGCGGATGATCGTTTGTAGCTTCCATCGTGTTGAAGGGTTTTCAACAGAGATCTTAGATCTCCCACCTCAATTCTGAAAGTCCACTGCGGCTGGATACCAGGTGGCAGCAAGATACCTCTGCCTTCCTTCTGTCGTCGATGACATCTATATACTCCTGAATTGTATCGACGCGTATCCCCTTGCCGCAGCCTTTACAGTGGACAGAGCCGGTACTGAAGAACACAGTCGACGACGAGACTCGCAGTAGCAAGAATCAGTTGTGATGGCATTGCAGTACCAGCGGACATTCATCAACTTTGAGGAGCATTACCAAAGATGTTCATGGGTGGTACGTACACAGAGAGTTGCAGCGGTAGCATTGAAGGTTGTGGATAAAACGAGGTCACACAAAAGCCGAAGAAAAAATATCAATATCGGCAGCACAACTATTGATTTGATGAGTCTTGTTCGTTTATATACAAACAGGATTACTTTAGAATGATGCAAGCTAGGAAACCGTTTCCCTCTACACAGGCCACTGCGGAGAAAGGGCACCCTCCAGACGGGATCAACCAGAAGACGTCACCGGAACCCTGTTTGAAACATTCGGGCTTTTCATAAACAGAGTAAGAACTCTTTCGGAAAAACATGGGTCCTGACACCTATGCAAAGCAACAAGCACAAATAAACATGTCATTTGTTCAGATAGAAAACTAAGCAAGTCCAAAATAAGGCCAATGCATAATGCGAAAATATGCGAAACATTGAAGCAACAAACCACCTGAAATTCATGTTTTAAGTGGAACACCTTCATTTCAAGATCAGCCAGTCAAAGTAGACTCAAACAATAAGCAACATAGAGAATTTGCGCATCAGACATTAAGTTATCACCCTACAGAAGAAGAACAACACACTCTAAAAAAGCTGTATACATACGTATACCGTATACCTTATATACACATAAATTGCCGTCCCTTATATGTTCAATGCCAGAAGACAGTATCGTATGACACTAAACTACATTTGGGCAATACACGTTTGGCATTGCATAGCGTTGCCTTACTGCATGTGAGTATATGCCCGCGATATGCCGCGATGTTGTGTTGCATTGAGTTGGATTGCATTCCATTCCCCGAGAACTGCTTTTGAACTGCAGTTCAAAACACCATCCTAGATCAGGTTGCACCAAATTGCGCTCCAGTCCAGTCACCCCGATTTTGATACTTTGCCAATTGTGAACACGAATGGTCAAAAGTCGAGGTGGCCAGATGTTTCGAAGGAATATGGCTTACTGGGAATGTTTCTTTGGAATGTGGTAGCCAGTTATTAGTCCATTCCCTGGAAAACCACCGTTTGTTTGGCAGTTTGGCAATGCTCATTGAGCAAGCTGCATTATAGACATGGTTTTTTGATGTTTATTGGACAGGTTGGCGTCTTCAATGTTCTCTGTGCGCGGTTCATGCCGTATTCGGGAATCCTAGCCGCTAGCCTTTGTTGTCACCAGTTACTTCTTTCTGGAAGAAGACGTAGACATGATGGCTGACTGGAGGAGACCACTGCAAGGCAAAAGCAACGCAGCTCGAGTTTGTCGCCAGCGGCTGGCCGTCGCGGGCCTCAACTTTGCTTGAAAGTATTTTGATTCTGTCATTGGCTGTTTTACATCCTTTTTCATTCGCCATGTATAAGTTCATCGTCTCTTGAGTGCGCACTTGTTCATCACAAAGCAGGGATTGAGGGCAGGCTCCAATATTTGGGGACGGAGGGAGAGGGAGAGAGACTTGGGCAGTTTGCCTGGATTGTTTGGGTTTGGGTGTTTTGGGATTTGGAGTTGAGCAAGACTGCTTGGTGCCCTTCTCGGGATAGAATGTTGGGATGGAGTGTTGAGCTTAAGTTTCAATCGGATGTGGGGAGGCACAAGCGGGAGAAAGCACTATGACTAGGCCTTCGTAGCTAGTTTGGGACAGGCATCAGGATTGAGATTTGGGCCGGAGATTCCCCTGGTGTGTAGCGCAATGGACGCGGGACAGAGCCACCACCCTCGGCCTAAAGAGGGAAAGATAGAGAAGGCGAGAGAGAGAAAAGGGAGAGAGAAAGGAGAGAGAGAAAGGAGAGAGGAAAGAGGAGAGAGAGAGAGAAGATGTGAGTATGTGAAGATGTGAGTGCGAGAGAGAGAAAGAGAAAATGTGAGTTTGTGAAGATGTGAAGATGTGAGTGAAGATGTGAGGATGTGAAGATGTGAAGATGAGCAGCTGTGAAGATGAGAAGGTGTGAAGATGAGAAGATGAGAGGATGTGAAGATGAGAAGATGTGAAGATGAGAAGATGTGAAGATGAGAAGATGTGAAGATGAGAAGATGTGAAGATGAGAAGATGTGAAGATGAGAAGATATGAAGTGAGAAGATGTGAAGTGAGAAGATGTGAAGATGAGAAGATGTGAAGATGAGAAGATGGGAAGATGAGAAGGTGTGAAGATGAGAAGATGTGAAGATGAGAGGATGTGAAGATGAGAAGATACAGACCCCCACTATTGGAAGAACCCTGCGCTCAGACGCTCTCGGGAAAAAATACATCTATTCAGATGGTACACAAATAAAAAGAGGAAACAAAAAACAACAATGACCAGTCGACACTGCGAAACACGAGAAACAGCAACTCAGCAAAGGCCAAAGGAGGGCACGTGCAGAAGTATAATTAGGACAAAAAAATAGAAAAACACAGAGGCAGGAATAACCCAAGCAAATGGCAAACCTAGCAATACTACTGGGTATTTGGAAGAGCACAGGAACGCAAGAAGGAATAGAAACAAAAACACGAAAAAAAAACAAGGAACACAACAAGCGGCAGAAACGGAAAAACGAAGAGGCAGGAAAGGCAAAAACGAAGTGCATAAAGATGAAAAACTCGTCAGGGAAAATGTCCTCCGCAGCTTATTTCATAAAATGCTCTGTATACTGATGATTGGTTTCGTATGAGTTTTGCCTTGAATTGGTAAAAATGTTCACTTGTCGGATTTCCTCACTTTGAACAAAATTGAGCAGTCATTTCCTCCCAGGCAACGCTGAAGATGCTTGCTCAGAGAAGTACGTGGACGGATTGCTCCATAAAACTGGAGAGAACTACGAATGGCCCATTGATGCGCAGGGGAACACGTCCAGGGGCAGCCTTGGGCATCCTGAAGTCTCTTGCAAGCCAGAGTGTTTTTTCCTGTGCAATGTCCCAGTTTGGTCATGGATTGCCTTGAATCAAGACCTTTGAGGGCACTACAGCAACCTTGAGGACAAAACAGGTCTTTCAATTTAGGGTCATGAGAGCAAACACTAAGTTAAGCCACAGCCTCAAACTTCCACATTTTGAGACTCATTCCTGACACTTTGGTCCAACTACGACACCACGTTCAGACGCCCTGCTGGGCCTCACTTGAGGTTTGTGGCCGTTTTTGCATCCGCTTCTTCTACCGCAATTGTCGACAAGGGGAAAATTGCGAGTTTTGCCACCTGGCACACCGAGAGCCGAAAGTGAAGATGGACAAGGTGCGAGTACCAGCTCTGTTTTTTTGTCCAACTTTCCTTCTGTCTGTCCTCCTGTGGTCTGTGTGTGCTCTTGCACCGCTGAAACCGTGTCTTTAAATGTCTTCAATAGGTTGTTTGTAAGCCTGCTCCAACTGATGTGAGCCGCCAAGAGGCGCAGCGGCAACTTTTTGAAACGATGGGAGAGGCAGAGGCCACTGGGGAAGCACTGCTCGTGACGAATCCTGTTGGTCTTTGTGTGGGCAGTTTTGAAATGTTTTGAGCTCATGGTGCTCCATTCATTTGATCCTCATTCTTCAGAGCTTGTTGGAAAGCGAGTGTGCAAAAATGTCGAGCAGCCAGCAAAGAAACCTTTCTTAAATGTTGTGGTTGTGTCCATCTCTTCCCAGTTTTCACAGGTTCTTTCCCTTGTGCTGCCCCACATTGAGAGGAGGTGCGGAAGAAATGGCTTGAAGCTAGGCATGCTTCTGTCAAGACACCAAAAACTTGGGGAATACAGATTGCCTGGGGACGCTGTTTGCGAACCTTTTGGGGCACACAAGTTTCCAAGCCCAAGCCAAAGATTCTTCTAAGTCTAAGTCTTAGAAGTGAAGATCTGGCAACCATGCAGCAGCTTGTCGCTGAATCCGAGGAACAAGCAGATGCTATTCGTGATCCACATGCTTCGACAACGCTTGACATCATTGCCTCACCCCGATGACAACCATGTTCTCCATGTCACTTGGCTAGAGGTGGTTTTTAAACATTCCCAGCACAAAACGTTTTATGTTGAGGAAGGGTGCTTGTTGAAAGAGTGGCCTCAGATTCTCAACTAGACGGTGTTTGTCATTTTGAAGGATCAAACGCAAAGGCTCGAGCCGTCATTCCAATCTTGCGCAAGTTCACTGTGGCACGCCTCCTGGAGCCTCACTGCAAGTTGTGGACTTGGGCGGACTTGGGCGGACTTGGGCGGACTTGGGCGGAAGCAGACTGGCACAGTGTGACATGATTCCGATTTGCTGGGGCCTATTTGTGGATGAAGTGGAATAGAATCGACAAGCCACAATCCTGACTGGCAGATTTCATCTTTTTTTCAAAACAAAATGCATACTCGTTTAATTATACGTTTTTCAGGACATATTATTTAATGTATATAATACATATAGATATGTGAATATACACATACACATACACATACACACACACATACACATACACATACACACATCCATCCATCCATCCATCCATCCATCCATGCATGCATGCATCCATACAGACAGACAGACAGACAGACATACATACATGCATACATTACATACATTACATACAGTACATACATTACATACATTACATACATTACATACATTACATACATTACATACATTACATACATTACATACATTACATACATTACATACATTACATACATTACATACATTACATACATTACATACATTACATACATTACATACATTACATACATTACATTACATTACATTACATTACATTACATTACATTACATTACATACATACATACATACCTAGATAGATAGATAGATAGATAGGTAGATAGATAGATAGATACATACATACATACATACATACATACATACATACATAACATAACATAACATAACATAACATACATACATACATACATACCTAGATAGATAGATAGATAGATAGATAGATAGATACATACATACATACATACATACATACATACATGTATATATAATATATATACATAACTTAACACAATATTAAATCATATAATATGATTTGATATAATACGATATGATATAATATGATATGATATAATTTGATATATTATAATTTCATATGATACAATATAATATAATGAACAATAATATGATATGACACAATGTAAGATACATATACTATACTATATTATGATATCATATGATAAGATTTGATATGATATCATTTAGTATAGTAGCATAATATGATAACATATAATATAGTATGATATGATATATGATATCATATCATATGATATGACATATGATATTTGATATTTGATACATGATAATTATATGATATGATATACAATATATGATTTTTGATATATGATATATGATTTATGATATATGATATAGGACACATGATATGATGTGATGTATAGTAATACAAAGTAGTACAATGTAATGTAATGTAAGGTAATGTAATGTAATGTAAGGTAATGTAATGTAATGTAATGTAAGATAAACATATCATACTCTATACTCTATACTCTATACTATATATTACATACTATATACCTTTTGCAGTACTATATACTATATACTATACACTATACTATACTATAATATCGTATGATTTGATTTGATAGGATATTATATTATATGACATGGCATGATATGATATGATATATAATTATTATATATAGTACAGTATATTATATACACATGTGCCTACCGCCCTATGAAACCCACAATTTTAGAGGTCATGTGGAGAAATGCCCTGAAACTCAATGTACTCATGAAACCTTCAACATCATCCAAACAATGCTTCTGGAATGTACAAAAAGACCAAGAATACCTACACCTTTGAGCTCTTGTCGTGTCTATTGCGCTGTCTTCCTGCCTGGTAGCATGCCTTCACGAAAGGGCAGCCTTTACAATCAGCAGTGGCAACCAAATAAAATTCAACATCTAGTTGAGACAGTGCAACTCTACAGGCAAAAACAATCATTTCCTCTTCCGATTCCCTTTAAAAAGTGCAGTACTTGTTCAAGAGTCAGTATTTCTGTATAGAAGCGCAATCCTCCTCTTAACATTCAAGCGTCTCAGAACGTATCAAAGCAAGGCAGCATTCCAAGTCGGTGACTTCCTTTCAGAACGTAAAACATAATATCAATAAGCGCGGTTTACTTTAGGAAAGCGCAGTGCACACACCAGAAATTGCATTCCATTGAGCAAGTCCACCATTACACAAAAAGTCAGTTTCCCTTCGAGAAAGAGCCACTTTTGCAGAAACTTTGGTATTGCGGTTTAATGACGGTTCAATGCAGCATCCTTTAAGTCAGGCCTGCAATCTTTTAAAAAACGGAATCTCTCTGAAAGAGAGCTGTGTACATCCCATTTAGGTAGGCAACACCTGAAGAACCAACAGCAACAAGTCTCAAGCATGAGTGGTAGCTAAACGACAAAGTGCAGGAATTATCTTGCACTTAGACAGTTGAAAAGTCCTACCCTGAAAGCACTTTAGATCCCCACTGGATTGAACATTGAAGATTGTCATTCGAGTTTATTTTGGTTGAAATATTCAAGCCTGCACTTCATTTTTTTAGCCATTCAAGGACTTTGACATACTTCAAAGTCCCACTGGATTGAACGTACCCCAAGTATTTTTTCGTTTCTGAAATCAGTCATCGTGTATGTCTACTATCTACTTCAAAGTCGATTGGATTGAAGAATGAAGATTACCGAAGACAATGAACGCAGGTCTTGCCGGAAAACCATGCCTTCGCAGTATTTTCAAGTTCCAGTGGATTGAACATCGAAGGTTTCCAAGAACCTTGCTGGGGAATCTTGTACCTTCAATCAGCTTAGAATCTCTAAATTGCCCCAAATGCGCGAAGTACAGGATTGGACTGCATGCTATGGCAATCTTCAGTCTTCAAAGTCCTTGAAGGTCTGAAAACATACTCAGCACAGGATTGAACATGCCGCAAACAATGTCTTATGATGCCTTCTGTCAATCTTCATTCTTCCACCTTAAAACCAGCATGCTTTGGAGTCATTGAATGGCCGAACTTCACACAAAGTACATGATAGAACTTTTTTTGGAATATGTTGGAATCTTCCATCTTCATTTGCATGGGACCCCAAATGCTCTTGGTATAGAACGTCGTTTAAAAAACTTGTAGTCACGATATCTCAGAAGTCCCTGATCAAAACAGAAAGCATTCGCAACTCAGTTCTTCCATGTTCTTCCCAAAACGGGGTACTCTGCAAAAAAACATTTTGAGCAGAGCAGCACGATTCGTATCCATTCATACCATCCATACCATCCATACATACGTCCATACACAGACAGATAGACAGATCGATAGATCGATAGATAGATCCAACGATAAATAGATACATGATATACGTAACATACCATGACATTACATGACAAGACATTGCATGGCATGAAACACATGACATATGCACAGGATGTTTCTGATCACCTGACCATCCCGTCGTATATTGCTCTTCAACATTTTGTATGCATCTTGAACCGGCGCATTCAATCCATGAAAGCTCTGGCTTCAGGAACTCATCCGACAGAGTCCTGCATTTCCATCAGGCTGGCGGTTGCTCTCTGTAGTGCTGGCTGAAGCATATGATGGAAGTGTGGTATGACTTGGTATGCTCATTGTGCGTCCTGTTTTCCTGGTCCATGTGTAGACAACTTCGACAGTTCAGACCCAAACAAAAGCAGATTCCATAGCTTCCAGGCCCGAGGCTGCTGTACTGGATGACAGCTTGGTCAGGGATTGTAGCTGACTTTTCCAGTTTTTATGATTTCAATCAGTGATAGGATTCAAGGAGGACTTGAAGAAACTTGTGCCTTGGCTGATCACATAGTGGCAGGGCGCTCCAGCTTTCAGGCTCTTTCTGGATTTGTTGCAAAAACTGCACCATGTGATACTCCATGAACGGGCGCACACTTTCATCCATACTACTTAGTTACTACTCTTGATCTAATAGATTATGCGAAGAAGCCTGTTTAACCACACGGGCCTCACTGGTACAACACAACCTCCAAACTCCATATGCTGCTGCCTTTGACACAAGAGTGGGATCTATGGACAGAATGCACGAAATGGCGATGCCAACCAGTTGTCTTTTTGTTGCTGCCATGTCACGCAGTCAGCAAAGCAACTTGAAGTGGTTCAGATCCATGCAAGAAGAAGTTTTGAAATATCAGTTAAGTTCCTGACGGAGGGTATCGGAGTAGGCGTCGAAGAAAAACGAAGGCATGATTGGAAATTCGAAGCAGACGGTACAGGTAAGTGTGAGTAGTGTTTGTTGGAGAATGTATCTGGCAGATTAATTGCATTTGGGAATGGTTTTGCTTCCACGAATGGTGAGCCTTCATTTGAACAAAACGGCATAATGGCAGCTGCTGTTTGGGAATTTGCATGTACTTGTGCATGGAAGTGTATCATTGAATATTGAATATCATTGATTTGTGAGAACATCTGGGTGCTGTTTGGAGACTGGTTCAACATGTTGTATTGTTTGTGAGATCTTTTGAAGCAAAGACTCGAAGAAAAAGTGGCTTGCCCACTGACGCGGCATATTTTCACTCACCGACTTGTCCGAAATTGAAGAGTCAAATGCACAAGGGTTCCATGGAGCAGCAAGCGAACAAACAGAGCAGCGCCCGATATTTTTGCAACTTGGTTTTGATCTGGGACCCAACAATTTATACTATACTTATACTACAAGCTGCGGAAGCCAGTACGAGCAGCGCTTTAGGCGTGTTTTTGGGATGCTGTTGCGTTCATGTTTGGCAAAAGGATAGCAAGGCTGCATGTGTGGTGCTGCCACTTGGAATAGTAGCAAGTACATGACTATGAATGGTCCATCGTGGTGGCTGACAGAGACCTGGCTTCATGTTGGCATGATGAAAGACTTGGAAGCTTTTTAAGCGCTCTGCAACTCTGCAAACCTGCTGTGCAACTCTGCAGCTTATAGGCAAAGCACCTTGCCGATTCCTTGCAGTGCTTAACGTGTGCAATCATTATAATATTTATAATCATTGTTCATAGGTGAGACTTCCGGTGAACATTGTTCAAATCGTTCGACTGGCCGCTGGGTTTAGAGCCGGAACCCAGGTGGATCGTTCCCTCGGCCGTTAGTGAGAGACCCGCAATTTGCCCAGCTGCAGGCGTGGCACTAAGTCACTTTCTAAGTGGACGCGAGAGTTGGGAATTCAGAACTGTGCAGAATCTGACAAACCGTCAGACGCAATAGCACAAAGGCTCATTGAGCTCATGTTCATGTTCGATTGTCATGTTTCTGAATCAGGAGGACTTTCGCTTGTGCCGAAAGGATCTTTTCTGAGTTAATGGATCATCTAAGTGTGTGGTTGATCTCTTTTGTCATGGTTTCCTACAAGCTATTTTACGAAAGCCAGCTGTCAAGCTTGGCTTAAGTTGCTCTTTGCGAACGAAGTGAGAATAGGGGGTCCGGGGGGCGGTCGCTTCAAAACGGACCATTTTGAGGCACTTCCCCAACTGAATAGAGTGGCCTCCGTGGTCGATTTTGAGGCTGATGTACCAGGTGGCAATTGGGTGACGGTGGGGTTCGATTCCCCCCTGGTCCGCCCAGTGACGTGCATTGGGGGCACGGAAAAACGTGCATTGGGGGCGACGGGAATGGAGGGGGAAATGAAGCAAGAACGGAGTCTCACATGGTCCACTAGTGCAGCATCGGCTTTGCAGCTGCTTTGCAAACTATTGCTGTCTCGAACCATCGCTCCTTTTTTGTTCATAATTCATAAGTATTTTGTAGCCCAACTGCATGCATGGCTTCAATGCCGGCCACGACTTTGAGGTCGCCAAAACGGGTGTCTGATCCGAAAGCTTTGCAATCATATGTGTATAGCCATGTGTAGCCCACAGTTTTGCAGTAGTGCGGCTTGCAACCAGACAGCATTTGATATCCACCGGACGGGATTCGATGTATTCCACCAGTTTACAACATAGTTTCATATCATATCGTGTAAAGATTACATATATATGTATATGTATGCATCTATGTATATCTGTCTACAAGATGTCAATATATTTTGGGGGGCACTAGATTTTGATTCCGACAAACATACCTGATTCTCATAAATAATTTTGTTGTCATCCTGTAGTGGATCATGTTTAATTTCTCGGAGGTTATACATACCCAAAAGTGACCTCCACCTCCTCTTTTCGGGCAACTCATTACGCTTTTTGTCGGTCTTGAACGATGCTAAGAATTCTAAACACTTTATAAAAGTGTTGAGAATTGATTTGCGGTCTTGTAGAGCCCAGCATGCGCGTTCGTTGGTCTCTGTTCAGGCATTTCCGGTGACATACATACAGACATACAGACATGCATGCATGCATACATACATACCTGCGTACGTATGTACGTACGTACGTACCTACATACATAGCTCAACTTTGAAACTCTGAGACATCGTCTCGTCATGGATTCTGATACACACTTGGATGAATCCACCATCTTCAGAATCTACTCGTACTGGTAATGTTTCTTACTTTTGCATGGCTCCCTCTTAGCTTACCTTCAGCAAAATCTATGGAACCCCATCATTGTCATACTTGATGGAAAAATTAGAAAATCCCATTGTTTCCTGTTCCTGTGGAGTGTCAGGTGTGCAGTGAAGAGCCAGGAATGTAAAATATAATTTGTACAGTATGAAATGTAGGGGTGTCGATTCTATAGTATAGACTGTAAAGTCTAACGTCGAACCAGTCCATTGTGGAATGTAAGATGCCACATATGGAGTGTCAAGTATAGTATGTCAAGTCTCCTGCACATTCCTTCCCTCTCCCCACGGATTCCAAAACGGCACTCAATATAGCCTCGCACTGCCGCCTCCTCCACCAACCCCCGCCGAAATCCCTCCCATCCTCTCCACTCTCGTCTCCCCGTTCCAACTAGTTCCTGGCTTTCGTCCCCTCTTCTCAGGTCTTGGTGTGGAGGCATCCCCGTTTGGTTTGCATTTCTGACAGGACCGGCAGATACTCGAGAGTTTGCATCACAAGTCCAATCTTTCATTTATACATTTTTTTTGCCCAGATGAGCCACGTGCACCATTTAACCCACTTGTAGGAAGGCTTGAGTGACTTCCTCTCCAAGTGCGGGTCTGGAAAAGCATCATTGTGGCAAGCCCCTTCTGTGGTAGCTTGCAAAGACACCGTTGCATGTTGAAACACCGAAAGACTTATTTAGCATAGGCGTAGGTTGAGAGGTTCATGACCTGAAGATTTTGGTTGGCCCATCCCAGCACTCACATGATGTGTGGCTGAAAGGCTTTGTGACCGGGGGCCAACCAGTTATGTTTTCTCGATTGATTTCTCTTGATTCCGCCTTTAAATAGTATAGACTGCTCGATGCTCCTGACAATCGAAGAACTTTCCCATGTCTTCTTCTTGGTAATCGTTGAATACTGTGGAGGTGGTGGTGTTGAATGGTGGATCTAGGGGGGTTACAATTTTTCAGGAAATTCCTGCACAGATTTCAGAGGACAAAGTGTTGCACAGTGACTTAAAACATGTTTTTCACAGCAGATTGTTTACTGCCCACTTAAAGCCAATCTTGTAGCAATGGACGTACTGACAAATATGCTGACTAGAATTGGTTGTAGATTCTGTACGTATACATCCGGATTGCGATGCTGACTGTGGTTTTGCTGAAATTACAACTTCTTCAGGCAAAATGATGGCTAGAAGCTAATTGGGCACCCCTCAAGCGTAAAGATGGTCACGACAATTTGATTGTAGTCCCTTCAATTTGACTGTAGTCCCTTCAGTATTCCCTTCAGTATTCTCTTCAGTATTCTCTTCAGATTGCCAAGATGTCTGCCGTCTCGTTCCAGATTTCTTAGCTGTCACGTCTCACGCCCGCACTCAAGCCCAACAGCTCAAACGAGGACACATGAGATGTCACACGAGCCACGTGCCCCCATTTGACCCACTTGTAGGAATGGAGAGATAGTGAAGTGATGTGAAGTGTTTTTTAGAGTCCAACAGTCCAACCTTTGACCTAATTGCTTTGGGCTCATGAAGTGACTTCCTCTCCAAGTGCGGGTCTGGAAAAGCATCATTGTGGCAAGCAAGTTCTGTGGTAGCTTGCAAAGACACCGTTGCATGTTGAAACACCGAAAGACTTATTTAGCATAGGCGTAGGTTGAGAGGTTCATGACCTGAAGATTTTGGTTGGCCCATCCCAGCACTCACATGATGTGTGGCTGAAAGGCTTTGTGACCGGGGGCCAACCAGTTATGTTTTCTCGATTGATTTCTCTTGATTCCGCCTTTAAATAGTATAGACTGCTCGATGCTCCTGACAATCGAAGAACTTTCCCATGTCTTCTTCTTGGTAATCGTTGAATACTGTGGAGGTGGTGGTGTTGAATGGTGGATCTAGGGGGGTTACAATTTTTCAGGAAATTCCTGCACAGATTTCAGAGGACAAAGTGTTGCACAGTGACTTAAAACATGTTTTTCACAGCAGATTGTTTACTGCCCACTTAAAGCCAATCTTGTAGCAATGGACGTACTGACAAATATGCTGACTAGAATTGGTTGTAGATTCTGTACGTATACATCCGGATTGCGATGCTGACTGTGGTTTTGCTGAAATTACAACTTCTTCAGGCAAAATGATGGCTAGAAGCTAATTGGGCACCCCTCAAGCGTAAAGATGGTCACGACAATTTGATTGTAGTCCCTTCAATTTGACTGTAGTCCCTTCAGTATTCCCTTCAGTATTCTCTTCAGTATTCTCTTCAGATTGCCAAGATGTCTGCAGTCTCGTTCCAGATTTCTTAGCTGTCACGTCTCACGCCCGCACTCAAGCCCAACAGCTCAAACGAGGACACATGAGATGTCACATGAGCCACGTGCCCCCATTTGACCCACTTGTAGGAATGGAGAGATAGTGAAGTGATGTGAAGTGTTTTTTAGAGTCCAACAGTCCAACCTTTGACCTAATTGCTTTGGGCTCATGAAGTGACTTCCTCTCCAAGTGCGGGTCTGGAAAAGCATCATTGTGGCAAGCAAGTTCTGTGGTAGCTTGCAAAGACACCGTTGCATGTTGAAATACCGAAAGACTTATTTAGCATAGGCGTAGGTTGAGAGGTTCATGACCTGAAGATTTTGGTTGGCCCATCCCAGCACTCACATGATGTGTGGCTGAAAGGCTTTGTGACTGGGGGCCAACCAGTTATGTTTTCTCGATTGATTTCTCTTGATTCCGCCTTTAAATAGTATAGACTGCTCGATGCTCCTGACAATCGAAGAACTTTCCCATGTCTTCTTCTTGGTAATCGTTGAATACTGTTGAGGTGGTGGTGTTGAATGGTGGATCTAGGGGGGTTCCAATTTTTCAGGAAATTCCTGCACAGATTTCAGAGGACAAAGTGTTGCACAGTGACTTAAAACATGTTTTTCACAGCAGATTGTTTACTGCCCACTTAAAGCCAATCTTGTAGCAATGGACGTACTGACAAATATGCTGACTAGAATTGGTTGTAGATTCTGTACGTATACATCCGGATTGCGATGCTGACTGTGGTTTTGCTGAAATTACAACTTCTTCAGGCAAAATGATGGCTAGAAGCTAATTGGGCACCCCTCAAGCGTAAAGATGGTCACGACAATTTGATTGTAGTCCCTTCAATTTGACTGTAGTCCCTTCAGTATTCCCTTCAGTATTCTCTTCAGTATTCTCTTCAGATTGCCAAGATGTCTGCAGTCTCGTTCCAGATTTCTTAGCTGTCACGTCTCACGCCCGCACTGAAAGAGGTTTGACCATCCGAGACATTCCAACAGCTCAAACAAGGACACATTTTGAATATGTCCGATCAGCGCAAGTTTTCCTAATCTACCAGCTACTGTCAATGAAATTGTGGCATGAAGATTACAAACCTTTTGAAGTCAAGCTCTCTCAAGTCTCAAGTCAAAAAAATTCAAACAGCTCTGACTTAAGCTGTATCCCTACGATTTGCCTACGGTAGTGGGATGTCGTTTCAGCATCTTGGGCGGGCTGAGCGTAGCTAAGAGGTTGCTTCGGAGACGGAGTCTGAGTTTCACAAAACAGGGCTGTGGTGAAACCGGTTTTTACATTCCCAACAAGGAATGGCACTCCTGGCACCGATGTCCTTTCCCCATACCTCTCGGAATTGTGATATACAAAAGGTTTGTTGACCATGAAAAGATTAGCATGTATTCACAATGTATTCCTTTTGCCTTTACTGGATTACTAGACTGCCTTGAGAAATTACAAAAGGCTACAGATAGTTGATTCAACTGATGGTCTTGATAACAGTCTTGACAGTCTTGGCCATAGTCATAGTCTTGATTTGTTTGGAGCTTCTACGGTGGTTTCAGACGTTGATGTCCTGGAGACCAGCGACAATACTATCTTTTTTACAATCGAGATCACATGATCGATTTATTGCAGGTGTAGCATGCACAGGGGGCAATTCACATTGCAGTTGTATGATTCCAAGTGGCGGCTTGCTACTTGGGCAGCTCTGCAATGATATCACTGCGAGTTGTTCAATTCGTTCAATTCGTTCAATTCGTTCAATCCTGTTTGTGTGGCACTTTTTTGCTAGAGCGTTGTGTAGCTGCGCAGCCAGTTGCCACAAAGTTCTTTCCAGCGCAGTGAGGATTGAAAAGGAAACGGCTGAAAACTGGGCAGCGCTTTGGTAGAGCTATCAGCCACCAGCTCCGGATGCGATCTTCTTGGCGTCAGATGTCAGTGTAGACAGAACTGTGCGTTTAGTTGTTTCTTTGATTTTCTTTGTAGATGTTTGCATTAGTTTTGTTTGGCTTTGCCCCTGGAGTCAGGAAGACCAACGCAAAGTGATGCAGTGCACTTTTCTCAGGAAATGGACCGGCCTCAGCATTTCCGAGTTATCACTCTGCAGGGGTCAAAGGGGTCAAAGGGACATGGCCGCAGATGCTGGGATCTCAGATGGCTCTCGTAAGAACACAGATCATTCCGTTAGAATTATCAAAGTCTTTCAGCATGGCATGTCAGGCAAGTGTTGATAGACAATCTTATGGCCCTGTGATCCACACTGTTTCCAATCGGCTATGTGTTTTTGGCCTTGGACAAAGATGACAAAGGATTTTGCTGTACTATATTGGTCTGTCTTGTGTTATCATAGTTCCAAGCTTTGTTGGGACGGGTGTTGAGTCTCTCACGCTTTTGCGCCCTATAGCTTTCAAGCGTTCTCCACCTTTCTTCCGAAAGAGGGGGAACGCCGTCACGAAGCTGTGATTTGGTGAACGGGAAATCCTCGCAATTTCCATGTCCAAGCCTCGAGGGGTACAAAACTTCGGAGCCCACCGTGGAAGAATGGCAGCAAACTGTGGATGAGCTAAAACAGGTAGGCTTGGGCTGGGTAACTTGTGATGAAAGGACGACAGACTCCGTTCGACAGACTCTCCCTGCATGTTTGTGAATGTTTGTCATTCTTAGAGAAAAGGCTTTTCTTTGGGTCTGTGGCGAAGGTTTGGATGGTTTTTGTTGTAACTCTTTCACATGAAATGAAGCAATACAGTGCAATACTTGGTACTGGTAGGTACAAAGATCAGAATGATACAAGCTGAAAACGAGGACAAGAGCCAGGAAGAATTGAAGCTATAAAGCGGAGCAGTACGCACAAGGTAGATGTGGGTGCACACCCGGATACCTCACATGAAAGTCCCCTCCAACCTTACCCAAGATGTTCCATCGGTATCCATCGGTTCCATGTTCGCTGCCGTTCTTGTGGTGTGCGATGATCGCAGTGCGGTAGGTGGATCAAACCATTGAGGAACTCAGAGAGGTTGTGGGGCCGGGCCGTCGCTTGGATTCTTGTCGCTTGTAGGGCACTAGAAATGAATGCGAGGGATTCAAATGATTATTTCAGTTGCACAGTCTATGATGTCTATGTTTGATTGGACTTTAAATGCTCTATGTATCTCTATGTTTACACTCGCCAGAGTCAACGACTTGTTCCCCATTTGATGGGTGACCATCGCTCAAGATTGGTGATTTGTTCCAGTCTGTCCCACATGGATTTGTCAACTCAGTGCCAAATTCAGTGCCAGGAGCTGCGACAGTTTGAGGTCCGCAGGAATCTCATCGCGGGCAGGCAGACTCTTTGAGCACTTTGCATCTGCGGGTTTGTTGCAGTTTACATAGCAAACATTGGACCAGAAACGAAATGGACCAGAAACGAAATGCCCTCATCACTAACGTACAGAAACTCATGGCACGCGAGGTCACACCCCAACGCTGCACAGATCATCTGCGAATCATCACATCACGCAACACACACCGGGACAATGCAAAGAAGAAAAAGAAGGAGAAGAAGGAGAAGGAGAAGAAGGAGAAGGAGAAGAAGGAGAAGGAGAAGAAGGAGAAGGAGAAGAAGGAGAAGGAGAAGAAGGAGAAGAAGGAGAAGAAGGAGAAGAAGGAGAAGAAGGAGAAGAAGGAGAAGAAGGAGAAGAAGGAGAAGAAGGAAAAGAAGGAGGAGAAGGAGAAGAAGGAGAAGAAGGAGAAGAAGGAGAGGAAGGAGGAGAAGGAGAAGAAGGAGAAGGAGAAGGAGAAGGAGAAGAAGGAGACGAAGGAGAAGAAGGAGAAGAAGGAGAAGGAGAAGAAGGAGAAGGAGAAGAAGGAGAAGGAGAAGAAGGAGAAGAAGGAAAAGAAGGAGAAGGAGAAGAAGGAGAAGAATGAGAAGAAGGAGAAGAAGGAGAAGAAGGAGAAGAAGGAGAAGAAGGAGAAGAAGGAGAAGAAGGAGAAGAAGGAGAAGAAGGAGAAGAAGGAGAAGGAGAAGAAGGAGAAGAAGGAGAAGAAGGAAAAGAAGGAGAAGAAGGAGAAGAAGGAAAAGAAGGAGAAGAAGGAGAAGAAGGAAAAGAAGGAGGAGAAGGAGGAGAAGAAGAATAAGAAGGAGAAGAAGGAGAAGAAGGAAAAGAAGGAGGAGAAGGAGAAGAAGAAGAATAAGAAGGAGAAGAAGGAGAAGAAGGAAAAGAAGGAGGAGAAGGAGGAGAAAAAGAATAAGAAGGAGAAGAGCAAAAAGAACTACCACCACAACAATCACCACAAGAGCTGTATATGCTACCACGACCACTTCTGAAACTGCAAACGACAAGATTCATGTTGCAACATACTATGACCGAAGCGCACTTGAAACACGCGAGCCATACATCTGGAAACCAGGGAATTCGAACAGTTTCGGCATCAACTGGCAGGGAGGCGCTGCTTCGCCAAAGGCTTGCAGCGATGGGGCAGGCTGGGTTCTCTTCACTTCAGAAAAGAATAGCAAACAAAATTTCAAACGACAGAATGCTTAGCTTCTTGCAGTTTTTCAGGAATTTTCAGGACGACATTTCGTAGTTCAGGGAAACAGAATGGGGACACGTGACACGTGTGGGCTGCCTGGTTCGGGGATTTCAACTCGTGTGGAAAGGTGCTGACGCCCACCGGCGTCGGGGTGCCAAGGCATTTGTTTGACTTCGATGTAATCATCAATTTTGATGCGAAAAGAAAAAATGGAACAACCTAAAAAAGAGAGTCCAGAGAATGTCCAGAGTCCAGAAACGAACGAATAAGAGGGTAACTCCAGTGGCTAGATGTAACAGAAACTGGTGAAAGGAAAATACTCATCAATTGGTCATCAAGGTGCACCCTACACGAGGCAAGAACGCTTAAAGGTCTCATTCAGTAGGCCTCATAGGGCAATAATCCTCAGTGGGCTTCCAAGTTCAGACAAGCAAAAGGAAATGTAAGATTTTGGAAGAGTGGAGGGGAGTGTAGCGTTCCAGTTGAGGCTGCAAGCACACGAGGTAGCGATGCCTCCGAGGCCAATTGGGGCACTTTGAAAGCATATGAATCATGTCAAGTCACAAAAAGTGACACAAGAGGAAGACATCTTGACGCCAATTGACATGCGTGCTGATAGGCTCAGAAATATCAGAAATGGCTTGAGACACACGTTTTTAGACGATGTTCCCTTGCTCTCAGCTTCATTGCATCACTTTTTGGCAAAAAATCACGATTCTCAGCTCTCTCCATCTTAGTCTCTCAGCTTGAGCGGCGCATCAATTTCGGTGCTAACTAAAACATGGATTGAAGACAGGTGCAAAATGCTGCAAATGTCAAAAAGCAATGTAAGGCAACGTATATCATATCGCTCATCTACAGTGCGAGCCAAGTATTCCAATGGCCAACTTGTCATTCGAAGTTCCGGCTTTCCGGCATCGTTAGGAAACTTACTAACTCAGTGATGACTTTAATGCCCGCTTTTCATCCCTTTTCATCGCTTTTATATCGCTTTTCATCGCTCATTTTGAGCACAAGGCTAGCCCTTCCAGAGAGCCTGTCATTTTCAACTTGGATGATGATGGTGCCGGCCTTCCCAAGCTCACTCGACCCACCTCTTTGGAGGCTGGGAACACGGATAAAAAGATATACTGTAAAAAGCCTAATCCACAACACATACAACACTCATCCTTGTTATGCCGATGTCCGATGTCTTCTTGTCTTATGGCTTCTCGCAGGATTGGGAACAGGGCTTGGAGATGCTTAATACGGCACAAACCCGAGACCGACAGGCGAGCTTGAGGCACGGGGAAGAAACTTTGGTTCCACTGACCTCATGCTGACCTCATGCTGACCTCCATGTGATAATTTTCCAGACGGCCATAAGTTGACGCAATCACAGCTTAGCGGGCCCTCTGCAGAAGCTGGGTATAACATGGTATAAATAAGTTGACCTATCCATAACCTTCTCCACCTGTAACTCCCAATAAAAGGCCGTCAAGCCGCCAATCCCAGTTCCCTTTGACCAAATGCACTTGCCAGGGCACATTGGCTTCTGAGTGGCAAGAATGCTGCCAATTCTCCGGTTCAGAAGAGATGACAACCTTTGCTTTTGCTGCAGATGGGCAGCTTGCTCAACCTTCACAATTCGGGCCAGCTTTCGGCCTTTTGCAGGATAGTCTCTAAATTCTAAATAAAGAAAGCTGGGAGTGCGGAAAGTCCTTAGCCCGGAAGCTGCATGAAATGGTGTGAAGGCCCATAGTGCTTGTGGCCAGCAAATATGCTGCACGATAGGGCGGAGAAGAGAGATGAGCGGTGTCCGCAGGTTTGAAATCACGAAACTCAAACAGATACTCAAAGCCTACAAGCTCTGCAAGCAGAAACGCTTCGCTTCGGAAGAGGTGGGACTGCATTGCACCGGGATGGAAGAAAAGAAGCTGCGACTTCTTGATCAGATTTGACTATCTCAGAGTCTCAGAGGTTAAGTACGTTAACTGGTGGAGTGCCGAGTCAAACTAAAGCATACGAGACATGTTTTAAAGGAGTACCTTATTACGCCTCCTTCGAAGCAAGCATGTGTACATGTATGTGTTGCATGCATAGTGTATGAACATGTTGGATCTTGAATAGGTAAACGACCCACACACAGACCTCCAAACCATGGACTCCAGGTGCTCAGGAGTCGTCTTACATGGTCTGATAATTTGATAGATGTCTTATGACAAATTCATACAAATTTATATACTTATCTGCTGAATTCTGCTGACTACCATGCAAGTTTCGGATTCAAACAGGCCCTCCACCAAGCCTCATTCTTGACAGCAATTGTTGTGTCTTGTGATGCCTCCACATTGTGGGGGGATTTGTGGTCACTCCTAGCGTATGAACACACATATGAACACACATATGAACACACATATGAACACACATATGAACACACATATGAAATCATATGAATACATATCATAAGACTGAAAAAACTATTCTATGAATAGACCTGGCATATTTCCAACCCATCACTCAAACTAGTCAAGATTTGACCTCGCCTAATTACATCGCTTTTGCCCGCGAAGACACCGCCTGTCTCAAATTGCAATCAATGGGTCTCATACCTGTTGCAGGGAAAGCAACCGTGATTGCCACTGTGACACTTAATTTTGCAATGTTTTCCTGGAGTCCTGGAGTACACTGACTGATATCAGAATCTTACTTCACTTCAAAATCTTTGAAACATCTTTGAAACATCTTAAAACTCATCGCTTCAGCGGGGACCCTCATCGCACAATTCAGACGCGAAGCGCAAGTTGTGGGCCCCAGGATGCCGGAACGGCATCCTGTAGACCTACAGTACGGATCAGTACGGTAGTAGACCTTGGCCGCAGAAGGGCCAACTCATTGCAGAGCTCGCGCTGGGCTCGTGTGACAAAAGTGGCTTAAAGATCTTAAAAGTCCTAGGTCATCCTAGGTCATCCTAGGTCATCCTAGGTCCAGATTGATCCAAATGGATCTCTGTGGAGCCTTGGAGCTACTCCGCACAGCCTATGATGGATGGTGCAATGACTGGAAGGGTCGCCCTGTTTCTATGCTTCATACAGTTTCGTTGATTCTGAGTGACATAGACCTTCTACACCATTGGTGAACATCATGAACATCGGCGAAGATGAACATTCTGAAGCAGGTTCGATTTGTGCGCGGACTCACTGCAACATATGGTTCAGCTTTGGCAACCCTTGGGCCAGGCAAAAGCAACAGCAACAGAAGAGTTAAATCAACAGCAAGAGAGATGAGAGGAACATCAAGTTCAGACAGTTCAGACAGACATCTTGAACTTGGCCATGAACATTACCTTCAACGATAAGCAACAGCTTTGTTTGCTTGGCCCTGATTGCAAATTTCGTCCTTTGGTCTCCTACGTTGCTTGAAGACATAGCAATCCAATCAAATCTAATCAGCAATCACTGATCACTGCCAATAAACCACCAAGCAAACATGTCGGTCAAAAAAGATGAAATCCACATCACCTTTCCGCAAGAAAGTGTGCAGCAATGTGCAGTATTTTCGCCTTGACCTTGGCGACTTCTGTCCACTCAATCCACTTGCGAGCTTTGCGAGCCATGAACTCTACGCCGGGACCACCCGTGGCACCCGGTACCGTGGAGTTGGCCGGAGGGCCCAAACTCAGCCGAAGCGAAGCGAGGCGACTGAAGGAGGAGGAGCAGCTCGCAGCTGCGTTGCAGCTCGTTGGTTCTCGACTTGAAAGATGCTGAAAGATGCTGAGAGAGATTGCTAGATCTTGTGGGCATTTGTTAAACATGTTTAAACCATTTACGATACTTGTGATCATGGAGTCGTGCAGGAGTGGTTTCACTTTAGTTACTTGAGATGCTTCAGAAGGAGTTCTGTCCGCAGCCTTGGATATTTCACATTCACATTCCAAGTGTCTCTGTGTCATGAAGTCGGAATGCATTGCAGGAGGAAGCAGCGCAAGCACGATCCCTTGCAGAAGCCTGGAGGTTCCTTAGTTGCCAATTTGTCACCTGTATTCTTTTAGTTGAGGACAAAGGGATTCTTCGGTAATTTGGTTAATCTCTATGGTCGCAAGTTATGCGTTTCTATACCAAATCACAATCAAACTACAAACACAAAGTTGAGCATGACACAATCAACCTGAAGCCAGATAGTGAAGAGAGAGAATGTCCGTGTGGTGTAGGCTTGAGATTGGTCAGCGATGTCCAAAGCAAGCCTAGATATGCCTAGATATGCCTATATATGCCTAGATACAATACGAATCAATATCATCAATATGATACAATTGGTATTGAGCAGCTCGTTTTGTTAATCGAGCATTTCATTTGTTCATCGCCTCCAAAGGATTGGTGGTAAGGCAAAGGTGAACGAGCAAGCGCCGCAGGACTCTACCCTGGAATCGCCCTGGAACACAGGCAAATGTAGCAAAATGTGGCAAAATGCACGCGTAGAAATAGAAAGGTACATGGCGTAAATGGATGTAAATAGACGAATATATCACCAGCAATTCAAATTGAAATGATCCACCGATCCACCTAAATCCTTGATACAGAGACTTTCTTGCTTTGATGGCAGGAGGAAGATCCCAAGAAAATAGAGGAGCGAGAGCGGTCCCGCAGCCGGGAGAAGAAGGCAGCGCGATGGGCTGGCCGTTAAACAATGCAGACACGATAGCGTGAGTCTTGACATGTGTGTTCTCATTTACAAATGCTATGCTGCTATGCTTCCAATACTGAATGAATTGTGTCTTGCTGAAAGAGATGACTGTATTCGTGGTTTGAGATGTATTTGGATTCACTGATTGAAGCAAGCCAAATATACAAGAAGTGCGGTGTTGACAGGATGCACTGATGCACTTGTGCGTTTTCATTGAATTTCAGCCAGCTGCATTGAGGCAAAGTCGATCAAGGTATAGAGGTAGAGCCTGCAATACTAGCACAAATTATGGAAGCTTTGTCAAGCACGTCCAAGCACGTCCAAGCACGTCCAAGCGCGTCCAACATGTATTGAATGTATTGATTTTGCAAGGAGACTTTGCATAGGCTTGCAAAGACTGCTGCTGAAAAGGCCTGCAGTTGCAAGAGGATTGGTAAAGAGAGTAATTTGGTGAGAGCATGGCATGTTGCAGTATTTTAACTTGCCTTGCCCCCCTCACACTGGCCTTCCCTTTTCTCGTTCCATCGTTTACTTGGTTTATCTTGGTTTATCTTGGTTTATCTTGGTTTTGGCTTCTCCACCCTTGAAGTTTTTCAACTTTTGAAAATGGGCCCACCTGGGTCACCCAGGCTGCAGCTGCAAAGGCTGCCATGGATGCCGATGCTGATGGCACAAGCAATGGTGAAGCGACCGCACCGAAACTCAGCAAGCCACTGGCCCCAGATGGCCCCAGATTGCCTCAGCTGTCAGGGATGCATCGACTATGCCACAGCTTGGCATCGGGCGAATCTTTAGGATCTGTAAGCTGTCAGATCTGTCAGATCTGTCAGATCTGTCAGTGTCTGAATTGTACTATCCATTAGTAAATGGTTTAACATGATTTACTACAAAGTTACAAAGGTATGTCACGAAATGCTTATCAGAGTCGCTGTTTGTTCAAGGCATCCTTTGGCATCCTTTATCATGTAGCTGCACAACCCTTGCAGCTTTTTATGCTTGGTCGTTTTGGAAGTGTTTGGCAGATGAAACAACATGGATCAGGCCCAAACGCCTACCAGACTTGGCAAATGGTTTTTCAGAGCTCTGCTCCTAGTCTTTCCAAGGGCAGAAGAAGCAAGGCTTTTGATGGCAAAGGAGAAGGAGAAGGTTCTCACTCAACTGAGTGTTCTCTGAGATTTCACGAAAGCAGGACTTGTGCATGCTGCACGAAGGTTCCATGTGACTCCATGCGAGGACCTGTGAGAGTGCTGTTCGTTTGTCCACGACATGAAGAGATGAAGAGCTACAAAACAACTGATTCTAGCGAACTCACTGCATAAATGTAACTTTAAAAGTCCCTCCTAGCCGCGAGGCTCGCCTGAAGAAGCAAGCTATGCAGGAAGCCAAAAAAGAGGAGGCGGGTGGAGGGAACAAAAACGGGCAGAACAAATTCCTGACGCCCCCAACGCTGAAAGCTGTATTGTACTTGCAGCTCCAAGTTGAGTTGTGCTCTGGAAGATTTGGGATGAGGAAGGAGTGCTTGATAATGCCAGAAATTATCAGGTACTGTAGCTCCTCTTGGATTCAGATGATTCAGATGTACCACACCTGAAATGGTTGCTTAATTCAGATTATTTCATCATTTTTCAAAAGTCAGAATTTAGCTGTGCCTGGTGCCTTAAGGAAATGAAGAAGAAGATGGCTGTTTTGGAAAAGGACCAGCCCTTGTTTTGAGACTTGAGGCGTTTCTATGTTCTCTCCTGAGGCTCTCCCATACAACCCTAGCCTAGATGCATGATGATGCATGATGATGCATGATGATGCATGATGATGCATGATGATGCATGATGATGCATGATGATGCATGATATGATGATGCATGAGAGTGGCAGTGTTGATGGTTTATAAAATCATGAAGGACCTCAACAAATCAGACAAGTCCAAGTACAAGCGCTATTGAGATAGTCTGGAGCTCGCCTGGAGGCTTGCGGCAATGCTTGATATGGATTTTCCTTGCATGTTTGAAAAAAAAACTATTACGTCATTACGTCTATTACTGAGAACAGATGCAAAGCGCTTTGTAGAGCAACCCGTCGAGTTTCGACAATTTTGCTCCCAGGACTTGGACACAAAACATGGATAAGAGTCGACAAGTCGACAAGTCGACAAGTCGATAAGTCGATAAGTCGATAAGTCGATAAGAGATATCAGTGACGGATAATGACGGTATCAAAGGGATTAGGCCTCGGTCGCAATCCTCTTTCCAGGGCCTCACCAGTCAAGCACGGTCCAGAAATAGTTTCCTTCATAACATTTGCCATTTGCCTACCCCTTCAGTCCCTTCAGTCCCTTCAGCCATCTTCCACCATCACCACCTTGGACCGCCTTGGACCACCTTGGACCATCACTTTGCCCAGGCTTTCGAGTGGTGCTGCGTCAGGTCGCAGTGTCAACTCCCAGAAACTGTGCCAAGAAATGGCCGCAATGCACTCGGCAGACCGCACAGCTCTTGTTGGAACTCATCTCAGGCAAGTGATCCACCTCAATAGATACAGACATTGGCCTCATTGGACCATTTGATAGAATATGATGTAGTAAACAATTGAAATGCAAAATGCATCATCCAGCACCTGCATCGAAATCCAGAAGTTGGTGACCCATGGATGACGTACACATGGGCTTTGAGGACCAATCTTTCTGAACTTCTAAATGCATAGCCACATAGCGCCTGCAGTGCTGCAGGGGTTCTAAAATGGTTCGATCAATTGCAAAAGCAGACGAGCAAAGTCGAAGACCTGATATCCTCCAACGTTTATATTATCAAATAGACAGTGGTGGACAGTGGCGTGCCTATAAATCTTGTTTGTAATGGAGTGTACCATTGAGAGGCACCTACAAAGATTTTGCTGCACAGCAACTACCAATACATGCCATGCTACTCAATACATCTAATGCGCATTTTTTGAAGCTGTGTAGAATATTGTGAAAACACATTGTAAAATTTATTCAACGTTTGGCCTGGAGACTTGAAAGATTGAAGCTTGAAGCCATGTCTTCGATGCAGCTGTTGGTTGACCTAGCGCAGACAGTAAAGGAGAACTTCCAAGCTCTTCAGTAGAGCCATGCAGATCGATGTTAGTCACATGAGTTTCTTTATTTTTCTTTCATTTTTGGCAGAATTGTTTTTGTTCCAGCTTCTCGCACACTGTTGCTCTCCAATTTTTAAGATTCTCTCCAAGGCACCAGATTGTAGGCAGGACTAGACTATACTGTATCAATCTGTATCATACTGTATCACGGATTCTCAGTTGAGACAATTGTGGATGAAATATGACTTGTAGCAGATCAGAGTTTGATCGCGATCTACTGTCCATTGTATTCATGAAACAGCAGTAGATCGGGTGGAAAGACAGTTTCCAGAGCAACAATGCGGGTACCGAAACCAGCCAACCCAGACGTGTTATCCCAAGAATCTCCAAGAATCCTGGAATCATCTGGAATCCCATGGGATCTCGTGTGCAGGATGTCGCGGAAGCGCATGGCCTAACGAGCCAAGCACTGCGTTCTGCGCAGATCGCCGACTCAGCGCTTCGCTCCGCCGCACCTGAGCGACCCGAACGGTCCGAACGGTCCGAACGATCCGAACGATCTGGGCCGGTCAGCGGAGCCAGCGGAGCTCCAGGGGCTTTGCACGTGTCGCTGCAAGAGCTGTACGAGTTGAAAACGCTGCGTGTCAAAATCTACGAGGCGGGTAATGCGGCTAGCTTTTGAACAATTTTGAACAATTTTGAACATTTTGGTGTGGGATGTCGTGGGCAGGTGGAGCAAGACTTCAAGCAGCAGGGTCAAGAGCTGCAATCCCAGCTAGTTGAACTTCGTCAGAACTTCCTTGGACTATCAGAGGCACAGGAAACTGAAAGGCGAGGTGGGTCAGAGGGACAATTTCTTATTTGGGGTTGCTGTATTTAGGAAGCTTTTGGTCGTTTCTTAGGATGCGACGGAGTTGGATGGTTGAAGAAGTGCGGGGTACCTACGGCAAATTGTCTTCTCTGCTGGTCCCCCATCTTTCTCCTCTTTGCATTCAATTCTGTCAAGGCACTGGCGGATCAGCTCTGTGGTAATATATATATAGATATGGTGCAGAGACTATTGCAATCTATATATCATAGACATGCTTGAACTGCCCGAGGAACTGAAGTAGGTAGACTGTCAAAGAAGTGGTTGTACAATCATATTCGCAGGTACATGGGTGGACCGCAAGCCGTTGGCTTTGTGCAGGAAAGCGTTCGATACCTTCCACGCAGAGACCCTGCGAGACTTGGAGTCCCTGACCGCGCTCTCTACTGGAGCAAAGCTGTCATTGGAGGACTTTATGGGATACGTTGGGATAGATTGGGATAAGCTGAGTGAAAGTGTCTTGATCTGCTTTATAGGCCAGTGCATGTCTCTGCTACAGGCACCCACGTAACATCTACGTAGCATCTAGGTACGTAGCTCACCGTAGCTAATCGCAGCTCATCATAGCTCATCGTAGCTTAAGTTTCTGTTGAATTTTGATGGTCTGGGATTCTTTGAATATGACAGCTTCTCTGGGAGACTTGTGGAAAGCTTCCATGATGTGTTTTTGCGGCACCTGAAAGTAAGACCCATGAACAACAGCCCTTGGAAAAGTAGATAAGTCATGATAAGTCATTTCCCAAGGTCTGTTGGTAGCTTCATGCCAAGATCATTGTAACATCAAACCAATCACGACACTGTCATCCTCGAACTGCCGCTGTTGTGTAGTGAAGTGACTTTGTCCTTATCAAGCCGTACAAGATGAATATGAACTTGTGTGCAATCGTGGGCAGTCATGGCATCACTCAAATCGTTTCGACATTAGCAGTCAGAGGACCACGAGCATCGACTCTCTGTGCTTGTATCAACAGAACAAGAGGGTCGTGAGATGGTAAAAAATTGCCTTCAACGTTTGAAAGATGAGCACCTTGGCGCAGGCACTGTGCCAGACTTTCAAACCAAACACAATGCGAAACTGGTCTTTCGTGGATGACGGCAATAGAATGCAGGGGCAGCGTGGGGCAGCCATGCGAACTCAGGATTGCACAGAACATGGAAGGGAAGCAACGGGACCACCACGAGATTTTGAACAAGCACTCACTGCAACTTGCCGAGGCCTCTCCAACTCCAACCGGTAACAATTTCGACGTGAATTCTCAAAGATCCACGCTGGTGTAACATGAGCCCTCTGAACAGCCGATAGATTCCGATAGATTCAATAACTTCAATAGATCTTGACCGCTCAGCTTGTCCTTTCTGCAAAGCGCTTTCAGGCTTATTCCATTCTTCCGCTGTAGATACAGCTTTTGAATGTATTTAAGCACAGGATTCAAGGCAAAAGGCGACGAAACAAATTTGAGTCTTGTGGTGGCACCAGGTGTTGATCAACTTTTGACCTGTTCAGATTCGATCCAACCTGTTGCAGCATTCTGAGAGCACGATTTGCCAGATTCGAGACTCCTTCACATCCTTGGAATCAGAGATTCTGGAGGTTTGCGCAAAAGATAGGACTGCGATGCGGTGGTTCTGACGTCCTTGATGTCTCTAGGGCTTTTACTGTCTAAGATTTTATAAGTAAATCACAGTAAATCATCCTAAACCCAAGCATCCCAGAGCAAAGGCTGGGCAGAACGACAGTAAGATTAGACGCAACGCCCGCCATTTGCCCCACAGTTTACATGGGGTAGGATGGGGTGGGGTGGAATGGAGTGGGGTGGGGATGTTAACGTTCCCTCGATATAACCTTCCTTCGACCACCTTCCCTCGACCTTGCACAAGATGTTGATGCCACGCTCACATGGGGTGGGGTGGGGTGGGTATGTTAACGTTCCCTCGACCAAGTTCCTTCGACCTTGCGCAAGATGTTGATGCCACGATAACATGGAGTGGGGTGGGGATGTTATAACGTTCCTTCGGTCACGTTCCCTCGACCTTGCGCAAGATGTTGATGCTACGCTCACATGGGGTGGGGTGGGGATAACGTTATCGACCACGTTCCCTCGACCTTGCACAAGTTGATGCCACGCTCACATGGGGTGGGGCGGGGTGGGTATGTTAACGTTCCCTCGACCAAGTTCCTTCGACCTTGCGCAAGATGTTGATGCCACGATCACATGGAGTGGGGTGGGGATGTTATACGTTCCTTCGGTCACGTTCCCTCGACCTTGCGCAAGATGTTGATGCTACGCTCACATGGGGTGGGGTGGGGTCGGGTGGGTTCTGATGTTAAAGTTCCTTCGGATGTTGATGCCACGCTCACATGGGGTGGGGTGTGGTGGGTATGTTAACGTTCCCTCGACCAAGTTCCTTCGACCTTGCGCAAGATGTTGATGCCACGATCACATGGAGTGGGGTGGGGATGTTATAACGTTCCTTCGGTCACGTTCTCGACCTTGCGCAGATGTTGATGCTACGCTCACATGGGGTGGGGTGGGTGTGGGTGGGATGTTAACGTTTCGACCAAGTTGACCTTGCACAAGATGTTAATGCCACGATCACATGGAGTGGGGTGGGGATGTTATTACGTTCCTTCGGTCACGTTCCCTCGACCTTGCGCAAGATGTTGATGCTACGCTCACATGGGGTGGGGTGGGTCGGGGTGGGTTCTGATGTTAAAGTTCCTTCGACCACGTTCCCTCGACCTTGCGCAAGATGTTGATGCGACGCTCACATGGGGTGGGGTGGGGTGGGTTCTGATGTTAAAGTTCCTTCGGCCAGGTTCCCTCGACCTTGCGCAAGATGTTGATGCTACGCTCACATTGGGTGGGGTGGGGTGTGGGGTGGGGTGGGGGCATGCTAACGTTGACCCGACTTTGCGCAAGACTTTGATGCTGCATCAGTGAGGTGGGGTGGCATGGGGCGATGATAACGCTCATACGACCTTGCGCAAGATGTTGATGCTGTGCCCAAGATGATCCAATTATCATGGTTTAAGGTGGGGTGGGGTGGGTGCTTTTTTGCAGCAATTTCTAGGATTCTGTTAGAGCTGTTCGTTCTAACAAGATTGCTGGAACTGCGCATGTTTCAACGGTTTGTTAGGATTCTGTTTGAACTGTTAGTGCAACCAAAAGTGCTGGAACAGTGCATTTTGAACCGATTTCCACTATTCTGTTAGAAGACGACGATGATCATACCAATGATTTTTTTGGTTGTTGTTGTTGATGATGATGATGATGATGGCGATGGTGATGATGATGATGATGATAATGATGATAATGATCCCGTCGAACTCTTCCAGAAGCGGGGCAAATGGTGGGAGTTGATCGTAAAATTACAGTATATTTTTAGTAACGCTGGAAGCTAGGGCCATCGACAACCATGCGTTGAAGTCCATTCATGGATATTGACTTTGATATTCATAGCATTTCATGTCATGTTTTCACATTGTTTCTAAGATTTCATGGGAAGAGTTGCATCATTCAGCAGGCGGTGCAATTCCAGTTGAACCTGTCATGAACCTCATGAATGCCGTTTGCCTTCATGCAAGACATTTCGGAAAATTGCGCATGATAGACACATTATAAACGTGTTCGGGAAGGCAATATGAACAACAAAAAAGACATCGCTTTTCAACATTTTTCAACGGCAATACACTCCATGACTGGGATTTCGCAACTCCGTTTCGGAAGCAAGCAGAGCAAAATTCATGGGCATTGGAGTGTGTGGCTGTGTGTGTGCGTGTGTGTGTGTAACATCTGAATAGATGTAAAACTTCTTCTCTCTCTTTTTCTTCCTTCGTCCTCTCCCTTTCTAATTCTAAATTGAATTTAATGCAGGGGGCCACCGGGGTCCCGGGGGGGTCGGTGGCCACCGAAGACACCCCCCCGGGACCCGTGTAAACGTACCTGCATTATTCGTAGGGTGCATCGTTTTTTCGTTGTTTCATATCTAATCTGCATGTTTCAGGATTCAGTTCCTGCCGGATCATATAATGATCCATTCTTGTCTAGTGTGATTTCCACGGTGGCTCCGACATGGTGCCATGGAGCCATTTGAGGCAACCCTTTTTAGGGTGAGTGATGACTGTCCTGACTGCCGAATTAACACATTTTAATTTAGTAATTCATCTAAGTAAAGCGAAACAGTCAGCCTTGCGGTTTGTCAATCTTTTCAGATGTCCCGCTGTTCCCGCGGCCCAAGGGATCCCAGTGCTCCGTTCTTTCAAGTGAAGCCATACCGAACATTCAGAAACCTCCGTTTTCACTGCAGCTTCAGCGTTTGCGATGAGACATGACATGCAAGACAACAGGCAACAGGCATGTCCTTTTCCTGCAGGTGTGGTCTCTTTGGTATTTGGTGAGGTGAAACATATTGTGCACCTAATTCGTTGGAACTTGAAAGCCGTTTTATGCCGATTGGGGCAAGACTTGAACACGGGCCTGGAGTGGCATAACGCACGAACCCTAGGTTTAGGAGCTGAATCCTGTTGTTTAACTAATTGTTTTGGTTTCCTTGTCTGTCACCAACTAGTCCCCCATTTGGTCCCTAATTTTCCCCGCGTGCCTCTCCGTAATGTGTCGTGGGGTTTAGGTGTGTGCGCTGTTTTGGTTAGGTCCGTTTCGCCGTGTAGGTTGGTTCCGGAGGTCCGTCTGTTCCCCTTCCCCCCCCTGCGCTGTTTTTGGCCGTTTGCCCTTCGTGTGTCCGCTTTTTTCTTCCTCTTGCCTTTCAGGGTTGACCCGGCTCCGGCCGGGTGTGTGTGTGTGTAACATCTGAATAGATGTAAAACTTCTTCTCTCTCTTTTTCTTCCTTCGTCCTCTCCCTTTCTAATTCTAAATTGAATTTAATGCAGGGGGCCACCGGGGTCCCGGGGGGGTCGGTGGCCACCGAAGACACCCCCCCGGGACCCGTGTAAACGTACCTGCATTATTCGTAGGGTGCATCGTTTTTTCGTTGTTTCATATCTAATCTGCATGTTTCAGGATTCAGTTCCTGCCGGATCATATAATGATCCATTCTTGTCTAGTGTGTGTGGCTGTGTGTATGGGCCCCTTGGTGTGTTCATAATCTTTCCTGTGCTGTCAACCTTGGGATGTGATGGATATCGCAGTGGTGTGTCAGCTTGGTTACAAGTTTTCCATAGTTTTCCTGATGTATGTCATGGGTGAAGCTGTGAGGTGTGAATTGATGGCTTTGTGTCAGCGTTCCTGTGATGCTGCCATCCGTGTTGTGATTGGCTCGGTCATGACCTTCAAGAAAGATAATTTTCTTGGACTGTAGGCTCCTTGAAGAACGTCTATGGTCTTTGCCCACTCCATCCCACTGGATCAGCATCTTATTTATATACTTTGCATGTACATTTGGAAATTGGACATATTCGGGCTATTCGAGTCATTCGAGCCATTCTCTCCGTGAATTCATGATTTAAGAATCATCCGAATCATCCTTGACCAACTTGGCACACTTCACTTGCCAGTGTGGTAGGAACGCCTTGCAAACCAAGCAGCAAGAGAGCTTGGAGCAACTTGCAGAATGTCGGCACCTGTCGCAACAGCCAAGGGCTAAGCTGCATCTGCAAGCTGCTGCATCTGCATGATCTGCATGTTGTCCAGCAGCAAGATGCAGCAAGTATCTTGTGTGTTAGCGATTTGTTGCCTAGCAAATGGAGCTGAATAGCAAATGGAGTTGCTCTGCTCAGCTCTTAACGCAAAAATATCTTGAGGCACTACGTTGAACTGCAAGAACAGTTTCGCAGTTTTCAGCAGCTCATGCTCAACAAGCAGCGGGAGGCCGGGGTCTTTTCAGTCCTTGAGATCAGCAAGTCCAAGATTGTAATGGATTCTATGAGCATAGCTCAATTTAGTGGGGGAGTATGTAAGGTGTTTCGAAGGCATCATTATTGGGACATCCAGTTCTTCCAAGATTAAGACAGACTCTGGTGACAAGACTCTTGACCACGTTGCTTGCTACAAGTAGCCATCAGCAACAAGGCGAGACTCGGTTGGGACCATGTATCAATCTATCAGACATTATCAAACATTATCAGACTTTGGGACTTTGGTCTTTGCAGCCCAAATCTACCCTTTCCTCTCGCATCTGTACCCATCCAGACTTTCATCCCGTCCCTCAAGTCCTCAAGTCATCGCCTGAACGCTAACAAGCAATATCTACCAACTACACACATATTATATTATAATATATTGTATTATACTATATTATTTTATATTATATAGTACATTTGACAGTCAATCCTTTCTCAGCTCTTGAGGTCACACGCCCCTATTTTCCTTGACACAAAAAGCCTCAGGATACATCGGTGAATGCACTGCCTAATCAATGGTCGCACTGATAAGAACAGATACTACATTTGAAGTCCCTTTCAGACTCCCCCTTTGCCATTTCGGCAAACTCAAAAGTTGCAGGCTCAAGGCTTTGTGTTGCCTGTCTTATGGCTGATTCGGTACATCTCAGCCATTACAGATGGTGACCAGCCCTTTCGCCGGTTCTCATGTTGGAAACGGTTCCATGGATTCACTATGTCTTTGCTGACTCCGTCAGCGCCTCTACGCTCAGCCGCAGCAGCTGAAGCTTCCATCACCACAGCAGCATCGCTCAGCGCCGAAGACGCAGCTGCTAATGAAGCCGCCGCACAAGCCGCAGGTGAAGCTGCCGCGCCAGCCGCCGAAGAAGCCGCAGCGCTCGCTGCTCGCTCAGCGGTGCCCGACCGTTGCCTTAAACTCATGGACATAGAGCAAGGTCGTGATGTAGAAGGACCCTGCTCAGGGGTCGATGATGTCATCGGCCTTGAAGATGATCCAGCAGCTCCTTGAGTTTGATCTCGACTTTGCGACATCACTCCCGCTGCCTTGCCACCATTTTTTCTGTTCTTCTTTTTGGTCTCTTCTGACACCATCATAGTGTCTTCTTCTTCAGACAACTCCGCTGACAACCTCCTCAGACTTGGTCTATGACCCGACTCCTTGGACTCTCGCAGTCTCTTCAGGCAACACTTCGTAGCACTATGAAAAAGTTGCCCTGCATAGACTGCCCCCATAGCCACCAAAAGAAGCCCAGTCGTCCAAATCAAAGAAAAATCTTCGCCAGCATCATTCTCCTCAGACGCACCTTCAGCTGTGGATAAGAGCACGCTTCCAAGAGCCATAGCTCTGATCACTGCATAGTTTCCTCCGCCACTTGTTGCATGTTCCATGGGCTCCTCGTTGGAGTTCTCTGCTCTCGCTCCAGCAAAGCCCAAATCATCCACAAACTTGAAGAAAGCCTGGCCGGCTAATGGCTTAGTCAGCCCGTCCGCCACCAACTCCGTGCCACGAAGATGTAGCAGCTTCCAAGCACCATCTGGGGCCACGCCATCCAAAGCCTCCTTGAGGAAAGAAGATCTCACTCGCAAGTGCCTGGTTCGCCACGTGGCATTTCCAGTTCCATGCGCCATTGAGATTGCGGCCATGTTGTCGCCATAGATGACGCGCTCCAGAGAATTCTGGCCAACTGGCTCCTTGAGCATCGAGCAGATCAAGGCTTCAGTGGCACGACCTGCACAAAGAGCTTCCCAGTAACTGACAAGTTCTGCTTCTGCCGTGCTATACGTCACAAATGGCTGCTGCGACGACACCCAACTGATCGGAGCTCCAGCAAAGTATACTGCCAAGCCTTGAAGGCTTCGATGGCGACTGCCAGTGCCATAGGCGATATCTGCAAAAACTTCAAGTAGGCGATCATGTCGCTCAATGTGCAGCTGCCCCCTCTTGCCCCATGTTTCTTTTGGGACACCCTGAGGATAGTGTAGCCCACCTTGAACTTTGAGCACATACTGCATCACCGCCTTGGAGATTTCCACCGACTTGCATGGATTTTTCGTAGCAAGTCTGCAGGCTGAGGAGACCGTCATGGCTATGTCAGGTCTTGTTCTGGTTGTCAGCCAAAGTAGAGCTCCTGCCATTGATTGCGCAAGCTTCACCTCAGACTCTTTGATCTCTCCACTTGGAACATCATCTTCTGAAAGATTGACATGTGGAAAATCCGTCGCCTGGGTGATGCCAAAACGCTTCACCATCTCTTGCTCATACTTCTTTTGGCTAATCACGTAACCATCATTGTTGGGTGCAGCTTCAATCTCAAAGCCGCAGTACTTGACGATCTTGCCCTCCCCCGTCTTCTCCAAGTCAGAGATGGCCCAAACCTTTTCCACAGCTGTTGTCAAAGCATCCAGAGCTCCACTTTCAGCTGCAAAAAGCAGATCATCAACGTACACTGACATCAGGCCGGTCCAGTGCACCTCCCCCGAGATCGTGTCGACCTCTTCGATCCTCCAGATGTTCTCATCTGGTGTCTTCTTGAAGGATCCCCGCACATCACGACCTTCTCGTTGTCGGCACCAGCTGACAGTAGGCAGAACTTCATCACGATGGAGTCCCCAGTCTCTGGGCGATGTGGTAAGCCCATATAGAGCTTTGTCGACCAACCATAGGTCTTGATGTCCGGCCAATTGAAGCTTCCGGAACACCGACGGGATCTCCATGGCTATTAGGCGCTTGGTGTCACGCCTTGGTGCGTTCAAGAATGCTGTTCTTATATCTGTGCATCCAATCTGCCACTGCTTCAAAGCACCCAGACGCACCATCGCCCGCACTTGTTGCCCGTCCACACCTCCTGCGTAGTGCTCGTTGTTGTCAGGGCCGGCATAGTTTCCGCAGATAACCGCACGGCTTCTGTAGGCACCGCTGCCTGACTTCCGAGTGTGGACCATCTTGCCAGGCAGTATTTCAATTGGCAGCTTCATTTCACTTGCCATTTGTTGCAACTGCGCTTTTGTGATCTGCCTGACAGCCTGTTTCTTGTTGACAAGTTGATCATATTCTTGACGTATTGAGTCGCTCCAAGCATCCAGATCAGCCCAAACTTCAGCATTGCCGATCGTCTTTGTCACCAGGAACTCCTGCTCCAGCTTCTTTTGAAGTTCGCCAGCGCCATGTGCTTGCGCTTCTGTCAGCTGCTCTTCAATCATGGCTTTCATCTTGATGGCTTCTGTCACATTACCAAGCCACAAAGATTGTTCAGCAGCTGTCCCATCCAACACCGCCATCTCGTCCTCGACATAGTGCGTCAAGTTGACGTGCAAGGCTCTCAGTGCAGCTGGATTGGTCATGCTTGCGTTGTTTGAGGCTGTCAGGCGTGAGCCACCATCCTGACTATTAGGCGCCCCCTCCTCATCCCCACCTCCGATCCACCAGCCCTCCTCCTCAACTTCAATTGATTTTGGAGTCCAGCTGCTTTCATGCGAAGATGTGACCGTACACATTGACCAGCTATCACTTGAGCCCTCATGATGTGAAGGTGTTGTTGGTTCAAACATTTCAGGGAATCGATTCACAATCTTCTCCTCCCCCTCAATGTCCAACATTGAAATTGCTGGCAGCGGAGCTTTTGTTCTGTGACGTCGTTGTGGAGCATCGTCAAGACGTTCTGGAAGATAGAGCACCTGATCTTCCACTGCTGGTTGTTGAACTTCAGGCACCACGATGTCATCGGTGTAGAAACATCGTCCAGTGTCCACTGACTTGACGAAGTAGCCCGTATTGGTCAGTGAGGCATGTGCGTCAGGACCCAAAATGATCACTGGTTCTCGCACCTCACGCCAGGGAGCATATCTGGATTGCCATGATTTCCTCAGTGCATAGGCTTTGGCACCAAAGCGCAGCAAGCGACCCACCGGCCACCCAAGAAGATTGAGCTGGCTTCGCAACCGACGTTCACCAATGTGACGAGCCGCTAAAGGCCATTGAGAAAGAGTGCAAACTCCTGCAGCGATCAAGGTTCTGATGGATTTTTTCACCATACCCATCTCAGCCTCAACACGTCCATTGGCCTTGTAGGAGCTTCCTGAAGTCATCGTCGTCAAAATGTTGCGATCTAGTGCCCAGCTCTGCATTTCTGCTGAAGAAAATTCTCGTGCCCTGTCTGAGTGGATGCGGTAGATTGGCAATCCCATTGCTCGAATGCGGGCATGTACTTTAGAAAGTGCAGGAAGAAGATGTTTCACCGACCGGCTTTTCACAGGCTCCACAAAGGTCAGTTGACGAACTGTCACATTCTCGGCCTGCTCGATGAGCTTCTTCCATGTTTCGTTCATCGACTTTGCCCTTCTTGTTGCCGGTGATTCCACAGCTTCCGTCTCCACATCTTCTTCTTCAAGAAGAACATCTTCAGGTGGATCTTGTTGTTCTTCTGCATCCGACATCTCTGCATCAGGTCCTGGTAGAGGTACATCAGCGTCCTCATCAGGTTTACCAGGCACCTGCACCAAAGAGCGACCGTCCCGGGTGACCGGGTAGGTGTAACATCCTACCAGAAGGTATTTGCAGGCCTTCACTTGCTGGTCATCCCCTGGAGTCATGCGCCCTGAGAGGTCAACGCTCAAAGTGTATGCAGCAGGATGTTGGATACGTCGATGTGGCTTGCTTCTCCCCTGCGCACGGACACAGTGAGAACAATCTCTCCTTGCCGGAAGATGGTCATTGAGGAAATGCCTTTTCCATTGTTCAAGGGCTACAGGTCCCAGTGCCTTTTCCATTGGTGGACGCTGAGATCCTTCTGGCCGTTGAGCTTGACATCCTCTTTGATTCACTTCCATTGTTTCATCTTGTTGTTGTATTGAATCAGGTTCCAGAGATTGCACTGAAATTTGATTATTTGATTGTCCTGGGCCTTCTTGCAGTGGTTGTACTGAAACATGTCTGGCCCTTTGATCAGAGCGTTCTGCACCTTGATCTTGTGCCGCTCTTTCATATTCCAGCTCTTGTAGATGTTGTCGAATGGCTACCACCAATGCCTGTTTCAAGCCTGGCGCCCATGCCGCCCATCTCTTTGAAGCTTCCATTCGCTTTTGTAGAGGTTGATCTCGCAAATCTTGTGGTGGATGTTCTGGAGCTCCATGGATTCCATCCAACTGCAACAGCACTTCCATCGTGGTGAAGAGCGTAGTTGGCTTTCTCCGTTCATGTCCCATGGGGCCCTGATCAAAGTCGATCTTGTAGAGCTCAAACACCTCTGCGAATCGCTTCCAGGCAGCTGTTCGAAACATCGACATGTAGTTGTTGCGGTTCAGATCTTCTGGAGGTCTGTACTCTTTGGGGTCTCTGGGCTGCTCCAAGATCAACTGCGGACTTGGGTCACTTGGCAACTGCACCTCTTTGGCCACCGCATACAGCGACAAGAACCTGAAGAAGAGGATGCTGTCATTCTGAACCTTCTCCATGTCGGCCATTGACAACGTAGGTAGTCCGTAAGGATGCTCTTCGGTTCTCAGCTCCCCCGGTCCCCCATCTCCTTGGCTTCTCAAAGCTGACACTGTACGACACGGAGGGCCACCAAGTAGAGCTCGCAGTTTGCCAGATGCCGCAATCGTCAGCAAGAACCCATACACATGCTTGTCCAGCAAATTGGCATGGCACCCACCTTGAAGATCGACGCAAAGAACTTCAGTGTTGGCTGTGCTCAGCTGTCGCTCCCAGTACTGTGGATTGTCACCTGAGAAAACATGTAGCACCACATTCTTTGCTTTTTGAAGCCTTCTCCGCTTGTGCCTGTTCCATGGCAGCATACTTCCAAACATCTCAGACTTCACAGCCTCTAAACGTGGCACCAACTTCATCATGATCTCCTCAGGGACACCTGGAAACAGCTGTTGAAGCTTCACCGTCATGGCCAACTCCAGGTCCAACTTCATAGGATTCAGATCTTCAGGGTTTTTGATGAACGTTTTCACCATGGCCATCTTTCGTTGTTGATGTACTTGAAAAAGCTCCAGCCACTCCAAGACACGCTGTCCATCAGCCAATGAGATCATTGGACATCCATGCTGAACCAGCACCTCGATCTCGCGGCCTTCGTCATCTCGTAGTTGACATTGATTGCCAGACCACTGCATGGTGAAGTCCAGATCAGCTAGACCACCCATTGGCACAATCCATGCCTGCGCAGCTCCAGGTTCTGACAAGAGGATCCTGGTACCTGGCTTGAGGCGGAATCTGTTGGTTGACCCCTCAGCCAGCATCACAGTGGTTGGTTGACCCTTGCCCCATTCACCATCGTCTCTGGCCGGCCTCAAAGCATGAGTTGCACCAGAGTCCACCAAAACTAGATCTTGTCGTCCACGATCCAGCTCGCTGATCCGCATCACATTGAGCTTCGGCGGGATACGAAGAGTCTTTAACAGCTGTGTCGCTTCATGAAGAAGCTCAGCCGTTTTTTCATTCTTCACTGCTTGCTCACCTCCCGTTCCTCCATCTCCAAGGCTCTTGGCGATGTCATCACCTTCGCTTCCAGGATTGCCAGACTTCAACTCTCCTGGTGATGGCGTCGTGGATGTCGTGGATGTAGTGGCATTTGACATCTCGCTCACCTTGGGCTTGATAGGAGTCACAGTTGGTGATGATTTTGAAGTTGGTGTGGCAGGTGTTGCACTTGAAGAAGATGCCAATCCTCCCCCCGAAACCTTGGTTTCGTCCTTGGGTCTTGATCCACCTCCTTTCACAGGGCAATCCTGCTTTCTGTGGGCCTTTGAACCGCAGTTCCAACACCTTGCATTCTTGTCGGTGATGCCCTCCCAGCTGTGCTGCCATTTGCATTGTTTTCCGGCACGACAGCCGGCGTCGGTTTTGAACCACCGACATGGGGCTTCTATTGCTCCACCACGGCCTTTGCCCGTTGCACCTGCCTCCATAGCAGACTTCTTGCCCACCACATTGTCCCCAGTCTCCATGACCTTCAACTTCAATGGTGTGGCCTCCGTAGATGTTGTCGTTGAAGATGTCATCAACACCATAGTTTCCGCCTCTGCCAGCAAACACTGAGAGAAATCCCAGATCGTAGATGGTTGTGGTTGCTCATCTACTTGAAGCGCTGATCTGCTTTGAGCAAGACGAAATGCTGCCTGGCTGTTCTCTTTGGCCACCAGTTGAACTCCAGTCTCCAGTGCTCGTAGCAGAAGAGTTCCATCAGGAAGACTGGCCCCAACTTCTCGTGCTCGGCCAAAGTGCCTCCGCCAGCTCCGCAAGGCCGTTGCCAGCTCCGACATGGTCTGAGTCTTCGGCAGCTGCGTCAGCTCCTTCAAAATCAGTGACTTCTCCCCAGGTCCCCCTGGCTGGTACCTGATGTAGAGCCTGTAGAGGATTGCCGTGCTGGTCAACTGCCTGTCCGTCACCAGCATCTGTTGGATCTCTGAAGACTGACTTGAGAAGTAGATGAACTCCTCGTTGCTCCGTTCTGCCATAGCACCGATCGTTGAGCTCCTCCGGGATTTTTGGGTCTATCTGAACCCTCTGCAATGGCGTAGCCTGTTTCCAGTCAGCGTAGTGGGTCTGTGCCTGTCTGACCGTCAGATCCCACCATCTGCTCGCCACAGAGGACAGATCCCTCATGACCGGTCCGCAAAGATGGATCCAGTCACCAAACTGCAGAGGACTTGCATTGCACGGCAACTCTGGGAGGTCAGCTTTTGTCGAGCTGCCGATTCCTCCTGATTCCCATGACGTTGGAATCGACTCCACTCCACCTCCGAAACCTCCTCCTCCGTGAGGCCGTAGGTCTTGGCAAGAGCGATGTGGATCTTGATGATGTGGATACGCTGCACCAGATGCCCGATCGTCATGGCATACACTTGAATGAAGTTGCCCCGTGCCCAAAGCCCGATCGTCGTGGCATACACCTGGACGTAGATGCGCAGTGCTCAAAGCCCGACCGTCTTGGCATACACCTTGATGAAGTTGCACAGTGCTCAGAGCCCGACCATCTTGGTATACACCTTGATGAAGTTGCGCATTGCTCAGAGCCCGACCATCTTGGCATACACCTTGATGAAGTTGCGCATTGCTCAGAGCCCGAGCTTGTGCACATACATCACCACTTCCACCAAGCAAATGACCTTCGCAATCTTTATGTTGCAAGCTGCCAGAACTGCCAGCCCGACCTTGATGGCATACATCACCAGGGAACGCTCTGCTGATCGCTTCAGCCCTGGAACATCCCCAGTACTCCAGGTGACATGTTGACTGAACCCAGGTTTGGATGAAGGCTGGACCCCTGCATCACTACGCTGAAAACCACCATTCCAATACTCAGATTTTTGGAAGGAATTCCCATGAGACACTGATGCTAGGGTGTTCCGCAAAGCTTGAACTTCTCTTTCCAGCCACAGTGTCCTAGCTTCACTTGGTGTTGGTTCCTTCGGACCCTCACAACCAGGTTTCCACTGCTGATCCACAACCCGCATCTTTGAAATTTGATGAAAAGATTCATACCCATCCAAAAACTTTGTTGCATCTTCAGGCACCCCAGTTGGAAACGGCGGCACTGGAGGCACAGACACATGTGCAGGAGGCTCCGGACGCTCATCTGTCGGTGGTGTGCCAGTTGGAACTTGGGTGCCATTTGGGGTATATCTCACCGAATTCCCCACATTGACAGTGTTCCGAGGTGTTTTGCAACCCTGGCCATCTATTCCATCACCACTCTGCACATCTCGAATTTCAACCCAGGATTGAGAGGACCCATCACCAGACTTTGGGGTATGCTTCAACTGTCTATAGGTTTCTAACTCCTCCATCAGTCGTGCATTTTGCTCCCTCAGCTGTGAGACCACCTCAATCTCTAAGGCCCGCTGCAAACTTTCAGGGTCAGAAAACTTCGCATCATCACCAGTTTTCAGTCTACCCATAGTTTTTTGAACTTCGGTTTCTTCAGGCATTCTCCCTTCCGACTGTCGCACCCCAGTCTCATCCCGCTCACTTCCAAGAGGCTTACTTGGCGGCGTTGAGAAGCATGCTGCTCTGCCCGATGGCTGCCCTCCTCCCCGACCTTTGCCCACACATTGTCCTGTGAGCCTTCTGTCATCACTGAGCGGCTGGTGCGCATCGGAGCCAGGGGTCTGTTCGGGCAAACCACTAGGCCTAAGAGCTTCTACTTCACATGCCATCTGAACTCTCTTGGAGTAAAAAGGATTCCCTGTTGCGACCCCACCAACATCCATAGGTGGCTCAGAAGAAGCCCTAGCCATAGCAAGCTACACAGGGACGCCACTTGGGCTCATAACCCTCTTGAGGTCACACGCCCCTATTTTCCTTGACACAAAAAGCCTCAGGATACATCGGTGAATGCACTGCCTAATCAATGGTCGCACTGATAAGAACAGATACTACATTTGAAGTCCCTTTCAGACTCAGAAATGATCCTGTGAAAGTAATTATGACATAGGATGACGAACCCGGTAGCTTCACTCCCTGACTTAGTGTGGCTTTCGAGTGTCGATTTGTCGGAGAGTTCCGGTCGCTGAAGGCGAAAGAGACAGCGGACGCTGGGCTCCACGACCTGCGCTTGCGCTTGGACAAGGTGCCGCAACTGCCGGAACTCGGAGATCTTTCGTGCCGCAACTCCGCCAAGTCCCTAAACCAAGTCCTAAGCCAATAGCATGTAGCTAAGCTAGATTAAGCTAGCATGCTTGGACATGGTTGGACAGCCAGCTACTAGACCCGAACTTTTGTCCTTGGAAGATCAGTTTCGTTTTACTCGAGTCAATGGACAACTTACATACTGCACAGATCTTCACAGTTGCGGGACCTGTTTTCTTCCGACAGCAAGCTTGCAGAGTGAAGAATTGTCAAGAACTAGAATACTTTAAATACACATCATAGTCTATGTCAGTCTACGTCTGCCACAACCGCCTTGTTCATTAAACTATACCGTATACCCTTTTACAGACTAAATATGACAAAACCCTTTTATCCTGTGATTCTGCAGTTGAGATCAAGTCAGGTCATGTGGCAAAGAAGCGACGTGGGCACAGCCACATCGCCGAGTGAGCCTCTGACCTTGACCCAGGCACAGCACAGCTGAGTCGGAGGTCCTTCCTGTGTCCTTACTGTGTCCTTCCTGTGTACTTCCTTTGTACTTTCCAAATTTTCGGTAGATGTAAGATCTGTATGATCTTGTATGATCTTGTACGACACCCCCTTTTGTCCGCCTCTTCCGAATGTGGCTATACAAGTTCTGAAGTTCTTCCAGAAAAACCGACATGAAATGACTGAACAATACTGAGCTAGCCAGCTAGCCAGTGGGAGCTTTGGCCACCTTGTGCCATTCAGGAGGCAGGAAGCCCTGCCCAGCGGAGCCCATTGCAGCCACAGCTCTCACCACAGTCGGCAAACTTCTCAGCCGCCGCAGCGCAGATGGCCTTGGAGGAAGTGCGACAGAATCTGGAGATGAAATTGGCACATGTGGAGGACCAATTGAGCTTTGGAAGCACAGTTTGATCAGTTTGGGTGTGGTGAACCTAAACAAGATTGAACACGATTAACCAAAAAGCTTAGGCAGTGCTGGCCTGTGCATGTCGTAAGTTTGTGCACAATTGGGTGGGAGGTGGGATGGATCTTTTTGTGTGAGTGCGTGTGACTCCTTTGGATGCATCTGTTGATTGCTTGTTGCGTGTGGTTTCTCTAGGTGCGGAACTTCAGGTTGCACTGCAAGTGTTTCCTTCCTTTGTGTGGAGCTCTGGAGTTTTATGGAATTCCATGTCTTTGCTTGTGCTGGCTTCCTGGGTTTAGGGAGGTCCCCAAAGAAGGGAGTTGTGTCATGGCATGTCATGGCATGTCACGGCATGTCATGTCAGCTTGTGAGCTCAGGAAGAGAAGCATTCAGCGGCTCTCCGAAGACATGGCGCAGAAACAGCTGTGCCTGGAAGTCTCGCTCGAAAAGACTTCGAGTGCTTCACAGGCAGAAGAACGTCTCACCAGCCGTTTGGATGAAGGATTGAGAAATCTTCAGTTTGACTCTCAGCTGCACCCTCCGAATGCTTTTGCAGCATTTGAATTGCATTTGAGCACCTATCTCATCTCGCCTTGTTTGTGGTGGTGACCACCGTACCAGCAAGATCCAAAGAGGTAGAAATCAAGTCCTCGGAGCAAAATCCTGCAAAACGAAGCTCCATCAACTCTGTCTTACCCTTGTCCTGTTGAGGAGTGGAGGAAAGAACTGCAGGCAGTCAGGGCATCGCATGACGTCTCCAGGCTGCGATGGAAGTCCCGACATATGCGGAACCTGTCGAACCGCTGCACTCAGAAGTGCCACAAGATGCCGTGCCGCAAGGGTAGCCGGCCTTTCAACATCTTTCGGCCTTTTATGAAGGCATTGGCTTCATGGTGCAAGGTGATGCCAGGTGGTACTAGGTGTAGGTCTAGGATGGTCTAGGATGGTCTAGGTGTGCTGAGGGTGCCGACATAGGCCGACCACGTGCTTCCATGATCCTCCATGATCCTCCATCCTCCACGTGCGCACCGAGGCTATCGGAGAATTGCACAGCAAAATTGACGCCACGCAGAAAGACCTGGAGACCTCGGCCACGCACTCACGAAGTACAAGTAAATCCCTCAGGCTTTTGGAGGCGACAGTGCAGGACAGTCGGATTTGGAATTGTATGGATTTGCCATGTCAGTCATGTCACATGATATGTCAGTTTTAGTATTTTCGTTGTTCATTTGCAGGTAAAACCATGCAATCATTCCATCCTCTTATGCACATGTTGTCTTACCTCATTTTGGGCGTGTCCCGACTTACTTTGGCTCAAGTGCTGTCAAAACAAGCGTCTTGGCAGCCGCTCACTGTTGCGTCCATTAAATCCCTAACTTGGCTGTGGTTAGGTGATTTAACTGTTTTTGTTAGATTTATTTACTCCGAAGATCTAGATTTGGACGGCTTCGGGCCTTGGGCTTTTGTCCAGCAAAGCTGCACACTTCATAGTCACCTCCTGCACAAAAGTGACTCATTATGTTTGTATATATGCAACTCGAATCAGCTCGCAGCAGAATTTTTGGTGATATCAGCGTCTACCACTAAACTCGACTTGATCTTTTTATGTGTGTGTTTGTGGCAGCTTGTCATATTGCTGTGAAGTCCTTGTGTCAGTTGACATGACTGGGTTTGAGGCTGCCAAAAGGGCTACATAAACAGAAACAGAAGACATTGAAAGCCTTGAAAGTGCACCAGCCCGTTTAGGTAGAAATGCATATATGGAACGGAGTGATGTGTTGTTACTTCTGTTAATGGGTGTTGCTTTCGTTGCGGCATTCTGTGTAGGACATGAAAGTGAGCATTGATCGAAGTCGATCAGATGTCCAAGACCTCAGGGGCGAACTGTCTCCGTTGCCCCTTGGCGCGGAAAGACAGAGAATATAACAGTTCTGTGACTGCGCCGTTCACATTTCAGTGATGCCTCAATAAACTTTAATGAACTTTAGTATGTTTAAATATGTTTAAATTTCAAATGGCATGAGTCAGCTGTGACCCTGATGGGAGTTTGCAGCGGATCTACAAACTTCAATAAACTTCATCCAAAACTATCCAAAATTCTGCTGAAATCGGAGAGGCCACAGACCGTCAAGCGAGTGGACGATTTGTGGCGACACTTCGAAGGATTGAAGGCTGACGTCGAACAACTTGACAGGCCTGCCCGAACAGATCCCAACATCTGTAACAGATCCCAGTAAGAACGCTGATGTGTTGTCACGATTCTGCAGCATTCAGAAGCAATACACTGTAGTCAATAGGGGTCAAATTAGCCAATAGCAATTGGGTCACAGAAACTACATCAAGGCACGCGCAGAACACCAATATTTTGATTGGAAACAGAGCAGCTTCGAAAGGGAGAAGCAATTGGTTGATCGCCCTCAATAGACAACTCAGCGTGACAGCGCTTTGGAGATTGAAAAATGTAGACTGACAAAGACTGACAACACATGACCCACTTAAAAGTTGGGAGGGCCTACAGGCTGAGACGTTTTTCTTCAGAATATGTGCATCTATATAATTCTTTTCCTTGTGTTAATGCCATGCTCTTCCTTGTAGGGTGGCAAGGGCCTGTCGCCGGACAAGAGAAATTGTGATATATATATATATCCATTATATATATATATGCTAGCCCCCCACCAACCGACGTTTTTAGAGTTGGCATGGGGAATCCCCAAGTCACCATGGGTTTCAATACTGAGTCATGGTCCAATGACTGGATGTTTTGAGAGTACCCCCATAGATCTCCAATTGATATATCGTTTGGCGATTTAACATAGCGAACTGGAACATATCCATTGTTAGTAGGTATACAATTCCTCCTTTTTACCATCTATCAATGTGCCATTGTTCATAGCTATGATACCCTGATAGATACATCATCCCTTTGACTCTGTGACTGGCCCTGAAGTCGAACGTGGTTCATTACAAGCAGTCTGTGTATAGATTTCAGCCACAGATCTTAAAGCAATGGAAACAAAGGGGAAAAAACATCAATATTATGGGGTATATTGGGGTATGATAGTGGAGTACAATGGGGATGTATTGGGATTAATATAACCAACAATATTGTAGAGGACCAGAACTTTGGATGCTGCTGGATGAGTCAAAATGACGAACGCTGTTGTGTTTTTTGCGTAACATTAGTGATCCTTGTTTGAGGAATTTACCATGAAGTGCAGTGCCATGAAGTATGTTCATAGATGTTCAAAGTACTACATTAGTAGATGCAACGAGATGATACCCAAACTTCTCAAACAAGTTTTCATGAATAAATTATCATCCAAGAAATATGGAAGTCGGAAACCAACAATGAATAGGTCCACCACATTCCAATAGTGCTTCCAGATCAAGGCATTATCTACAGTGCACGGGTAGATTAGATTCACCAAACAGAATGGTTAACGCCACTGGAATATGAGCCAAGTACCAACCCTTTTCTCACCAATGATTTTCACCTATTCACCAGTCATCAATCCATGTATTAACCAGCTCTTCATCAACTAATCATAAGTTTCGTACTCATGACATAATATTACATATATAATCATCCTGAAGTAGCTTGAATATGAACATTTCCAAAGGTCCCCTTTTTGCTCAGGATCTGATGTAAAATAAATAGTTGTATAAACTTCAGGCTGATTATAGCATCATTATGTTCATAATTGGGTTACCAACCATTCACAGGTTATTCTGTTGAAATCAACTGTTAGCCAATTATCAATCAACTATTCAACAGCTGAATCAACAAAAAATCCAATATTGGTTTAGTATGTTTTAGTTAATAACTGTGTTAAAGTGAATGTCATATTGTATTAGTAGAATACGCAAATACACAATAGTGTGTTAATAATAGCCATAACATTGTTTTGGTTACCCTGCAGTAGATGATCATAGACCCTGCCAGATAGCGGTTGGAGGATTAGTGTCCACTAAAACATTGTTATTTTCAGGTTCCAACTGTTAGTTTAACAGAGGGTAACCAGTTAATTATTAGTTAACCACTCAACCCACTTTTATCCTCATAGTCGGATAGACTACTATTGATCACCACTTAACTATATTAACTATTCATAAGTGACATATTCCAGTTCCTAGTTACACAATATTTACACTTTATTAGTTACACCAGTTGTGATTCCAGTTCTTAGTTAACACCATGGCCCGCTAGCATAGAGGGCCAGGTACTTAGGGCAATTTTGTCACCAAAAGTTTGCAAACGTTTGCAAACGAGACTGGCTCAGGATTCAAGATTCAAGATTCAAGATCCAAAAAAAACTTCTTGAATCCCGGGGCTAGGATCAGGAGAGTTTCTGGATTCAAGAAGTTTTTTTTGAATCTTGAATCTTGAATCTTGAATCCTGAGCCAGTCACTTGGGCCCCTGGACTCGTTTGCAAACGTTTGCAAACGCTTCTGCTGACAAAATTGCTCTAAGTACCTGGGTTCAAGAGTAAGACAACAATTAATACACACATATGTGTATATATATATAGTATATATATATAGTATATACTATATATATAGTATATATATAGTATATATATAGTATATATATAGTATATATATACTGTATATATATATACTGTATATATATACTGTATATATATACTGTATATATATACTGTATATATATACTGTATATATATATGGTATCCCCCACTGGAACTCAAACTGAACAGGGTAATTTGTCCCAAAAGCGTTGCGACCTCAAAAACGTCGTTTTTTTTTGTTGTTGGGGGTACTATATATATATATACGTATATATATACATGATCGTATTAAAAACACACATTCATTTTTTGGTTCATTCTTTCTTTGATTGACATAATTGACATGCTGATTTTTGTTGATTTTCATCTGGTTGACACGAGCGCCAACATGGCGCCGTCCAGGAGCAGCAAGGCCGATGTCATCGCGCTGGGTGAGCACTTGGAGGCAAAGGTTGGCTCCATTCGTCCTCGGCAGGGTGCGACTGGTGGTGTGGGCCGGCCTGGCCCTGGTGCTCGGCCTGTGCCCGGCGCTGAGCCTGTGACTGCAGCAGCTGGAGCAGCTGGAGCAGCTGGAGCAGCTGGACGACAACGAAGACCGGAGTCTTGGCATCTGACTGACCCGACTTATTCGACTCCAATGACCTCCGCCATTTCCTGAAAAACATGTGCTGATGTACTGATGCAATTAAGTCCATGATGGACATGTTTGGCTAGGAAGTTTTGTATCACCGGTTTAAATACTGTATCGATCACATTTCTGGATTTTCAGGGAATTTGGCCGCTACTGGCTACTGTTTTGGCTTGTATTTTGTCACCAGTATGGCAAAACCGCACAATCCGTTGCGGTTACATCAACACTCAAGGCAGAGACAAAATTCCTGAAGATGGGCGGAATCTCAAACGTGTATTTGGTGCCAAAGTTTGCCAAAGCTGCTAAAAATGTGGCAGAATGCCAAGTGTCAGAGACAGTCTAGAAAGCCGAGGGTCCAAATCTCGGAGATTGTCCAATCTCCTTTTTTTTGGTAGCTCTTAGCCTCTTAGCTTGGCATTTCTAATCGTTCCCTTGCGTTGCGGGAGCTGTGCGCTCAGGATGGGCTATGTCCATATCATTGGCAACGTTGCGTTGGTGAAAAAAGTCAATGGCCGTCCAGACCTTACTTTCGTGGGATCAAACTTGTTCCTCCCTAGAGCAGTAAAATCTCTGAAATTGGAGACATGAAATACAGATGGCTTTCAGGTCTATGCCTAGGCGCCTAGAGACAGAAGATGACAGGACGCTTTTCTCATCTCACCCACTAATCACTACAAGCCTTGTCAAGCTTTTGCAAGGTAATGATCCACTGCGGCATGCGAGAGTGAATAAACAGGGTGTTGAAGCCCCCGGAGAGCATCTTGGCTTCGCAGACTGAAGAGAATGGAAGGTTTTGGAACAGCGTTAGCAAATGCTGTGCAGCCCAGACTCAGACATTTCGCATGTGCCCAGTATTGTGGAATCACACATGAAATCGCCAGTCTGTTACTGGAGATCCAAGGCTGGGTGAGCTGAGTCCAAAGTGACCGTTGCAACTTTCAGCTTGTCCGACTTGTCCAATCGAAACATTGCACATGTGCTGCAGAATATGCAGCATGCAGCAAAAGGATGACCCGGACCTTGCAATGCGTTTGATGTTTACACTTTGACTCGATCTTGGCCGACCGCAAGGCAGATGTGGCTGAATAGACGCAAAGGATTGCGATGTATCGCAATGGTATCTTTGGAACAGTCGTGAGTCATGCGTCCGATTTTCCTGGCATTCAAACCCGATCCTTGCTAGCATTTGGATCTGGTTCAAACCTACGATATGCTTCTAGAGCACAGCCATCCACAACCCAACAAAATGGAACAGAGTACTTGGATTTGAAGCCAAGTAGAAAATTCAGTTGACCTTCATCCCTCATGACTCATGCCCAAATATTCCACCAGTCCTTTCGTTAAAGATTAATACAGATGACCTAGCACCATTTTGTCAAGAGGACCAAAAAGGCCGATGGACAGCCCATCCTGTAGCCCCATACTGTATACACTGTAGTGACACTGTAGTGACACTACAATGATACTGTAGAGACACTGTAGCCATCTGTAGCCCATGCACAGTGCAATGCCTTAGCTTCGCTGCCATCGCCGCCATGACCTTCAACGACTTCAACGACACCGATGCGGGCAGGGCCCTCCTCCGGCTGCTCAGTCGTGGCCATGCAGCTGCTTAGCAGAATATCTGTCTTGGAGCGAGATGGCCATCAGGTAACGGAGCATGTTGGTTTTTTCAACGGCCAACTTTTCAAAGTAAGTTTATGTAAATTCATATATATATATATAATATTATAGATTATAAATTTGAATCAATTTGATATCTTTGTTTGAGGACTGAGCATTTGTCCTTCTCAGGGAACCATGCTATCTACACTTTTACTCGTAAGAATCTTTCAAATCTGTTGAAGCAGCTAGCATGAAGCAAACTTTTGGTCAGCCAAGCTTAATCGTGACATCTACCTTTTGCCTTAAAGTTTTGGCAAGCAGATTGAATAGACAGTCCCCACCTCCAGACCACAGCTTTGGATCGATCTCGTAAGTGCTTGAAGGAGCATGAGCAAGTGTTCGGGAGTGAGAGATACGCTGGAACATGCTGGAACAATCTGCTCATTTTGTCCAATTATGTTTACTCAATGAGGTCGTTGCAGAGTTGCAACGCACCGCTGAAGCCGTCGATGCCTCTGCACTGAACGAACCGCGACTCCGTTCTGTGCTTCCGGAGCTTGTGTTGGGTCGTCCTGTTGTCATTTCGTTTGAATGATGTTGAGTCATGTCCGACATGTCGAGTCTTTTTCCCGTCCGTTTCAGTCTGCCCCGGTCCTTTGGATTCCAATTTAGGCATTACACTGTGAAACAAACATCTGGCAGAATTCTCCGTCATGAAAGTCACTTTGAGCCGCTTTGAACGGGGGCGTCATGGGGCGTCATCCAGTTTTGATTCTCCCTGGAGTATGACGCACAGATGAAGCTTTGATAGGACTTTGTGGTCTTCCGCACAGAGGGTGCCATCGATCGTGTGGCCAACGGTCCCGAGAAGATGGAAGCTTGGCAGACTGCCAGACTTGCCACTGCACAGGTCGCATATGTCAAATCCATTCAAATCCTGAATTTTCCTTCTTACGTGAGCCTCAAAGGGCCGAGGCATGCGTAGTTTTGGCCTATTCAAAATTTAAACTTTTACAGGTAATTACTTTTCTTTTGTATCTAGTGATTTCATGGCAGCGATGTTGCTTCGCATAGTCATAGTCAAGGTGTAAATGGAATTGGACTGAGAACCGCAGCAGCTAATTCAGCAACGCTGACAGTTTCACTTTCAACGGTGGTTTTGACAGGGTGAAAACATGGTGCCTGCAATTTTTTTCAATCCATTCAGTCCATTCTTGTAAGCAAAGATCAGGCTATGTTATTGTATATTTTATTACTATATTATCTATTATTATTGTATTTTATATTATTGTTCCGTGCAAGAACATTCAAAACTGGACACCATTTATTGGCTTGACTTGACCAATGTCGTGATCTTTTTGAACAATATTTCAGTGGGCCCTCGCCTTGAATCCTGCCAGTCTGGTTTGTCTGGCCTCAACTGAGGAGTTAGACGAAGAGAGCCGTGAGCTGAATCTAGATTCGTCAGCCAGAATCTTTCGAGTACTAGCTGCCATAAAGATGCTCAGCTCAAGAATTTTGGTGATTTTGGTGATTGAACCGCGAGAGGGAGAAGAAACCCATAGAAACAAAACCAGAAGATAGCAGCAGTCGTCGGAACACGTGACAAGGTGCAAAGACCACCCACAGTAGATACGAAAACCAATGCTTGCGTTTATTTTGGGAAGCTGAGAAGGGACATTTTCAGACATCTGTCAGGTTAGCCATGTTTTCTGTCCCATAACCGCCATGACTCACCAGGACTCACAATGACTCACCATGGTTCACCATGACTCACCATGACTTATCATGACCCCTGTCACACCTGTCACACCTGTCAAACAGTGGAAAGCAAGTTGTGGGGCTATCAACTTTGGCAGACCGCCTTAGGTTGTAAGTTGACCGCAGTCAGCTGCTTCAATTTCTGCCTACCCGGACCTTAGGAAATATGCCATAGATCTGGCAAGATTAATCGATGATATCGATGCAGGGGCATTCGTGGGTTATAGCCTGGAAGGCATGGCCGGTTTGACAGTGGGGTGAGCATGTCAATTGTGTAAGCTGGTTTACAGGGACGCCAAGCTGTGAAGGGAATCACGCCAGACTGAGTAGATTTCTTGTACATCTCTATTTGTTGTATGTTATTGTATTAGCTTCACTTCTGTTTGTAATAGCTCCTCAAAGCTGGATAGCGGATAGCGTCTTGAAGCTGAAGGTTTTGTATTGTAGTCCTTGCAGCGCTGAAAGTCACCCGTAGCATTTGGCACTGTGCTGTTCCTGTTTGCCATTCCAAAACAAATAGTGTAGCATTGAGTCGAGACTTGCGTGGTAGCAGTTGAGAGCTTTAGTCTGACCGCAGAGACGAGTCTTGTCATGATCATTTGAAGAACCAAAAGGGCAGGAAGTTGAGGGAGCAATGGGAAGAACAGAACAAATAGAAATCAGTCGAAATCATTCTGTGAATCGATGCCGTAGGTATTTTGCGAGATGGGCAGGGTGCCTGCCTTCTCCCAGAGGTCTTGCTGGTAGTTGCATACAAACAAACAGTACGAAACGTGATGAAACATGATGAAACATTGCATGATTTTATATGCTTAGAATAGCTTAGGTGCTCAGCCGCATGTACCTTTGCAGACCAAACTAAAGTCCACAACAGAGAGTTGAAATCACACTCGTCATCATCAGCCAAGAATGCTTCGAAATCTCGACAGACATTCAGAGCTATTTTGGGCAACATATGCAATTATGACTTAAAACGACTTAAATTATGACTAGCATCCAAGTCATCCCTGCTGTCCCCAGCATTACCTTCATCGATCCACAGTGATGCTTGTTGCTGTGCTGTGCACTGCTGTGCGCCAAAGGCCGTTGCCTTGTTGGGCACCATGCTCCTTGTCTCAGATCAGCGCCTTCCGGGACAGGTGCCTTATCGCGATGCCGCGATGCCTATTGCGATATCACAGATGCACGTAGAGTCCGACTCAGTCCGACTGTATGTGACACATGGAATTCAGCATATTCAGCCTCAAGCTGACAAATGCACCTAAACTGATCCTAAACTGATCCTAAACTGATCCTTTCGATGTTAGAAATGTTATGAACACTTATGAGCCATTTTCAGCTCACCAGATTCCATTGGTTGCCCTGCCAGACGCGGGAAAGGGCCTTGGTTCTCTTCTACCGATGCACAGTGGGTACGAGTGTCTTGGCTGAAGTCCAAGGGATGACAAATTGACCAAGAAAGCACCCCCCAAGAAAGCTAAGGCAACAAGTTTTCATATCATCAACAAAAAAGCGGAAACGTATTTGACTCAGAAATTCATATTCGCATTTCTTCGGGCGCCAGTAAGGCAACGAGCCAGAAGATTTTGCTGATGTCTGTCGACTCTTCAAATCCACTGGTCGACCGGAGGAGATTGTGCTTGGGTGCTCAAACCAGGTGCTGACAACATCTGACAACATGTTTCAGACTTTTCAACGATTCTCCAATACACTGCAATCCAATGTGTGTGTATATATACGTATATATATATATACTGTATATACATGCACATTATATATATACATATACATATGTACTTCAACTGCTCTTCACAGCGATTCTGATCTATCTTCCGGAAGCACCAAAGATGCGGATGTGGAGGGAGCTCCAAACTTGTCGAACCAATGTCATGGAGCGGCGAAAGGATTTGGCGACACGCAAGCCTGGCTATCCTGAGAGCTATTTCAGCCGTTTCCTCTTGCAGAACCTCATTTTATGATAGGATGATGTGGGTCACGCATGGCATTCTGGGATTCATTCAGCACTTGCAAACCATTGCAGACAACAGATAGCTGCTCATGAGGTTGACAGGTTGACAACGATAGTTACTAGTCTCTACTATACTACAGTAGTAATTATGTAGGAAATGCAATCTCTACAATCTTTCACCCACTATGCCACAGGAAGTTTACTTGGTAACTTCACGAAATACACGCACACATATCAATGGGTAGCTTTTCAGCTTACCACTTCAACCACATAGGACAGTGGCTCAGAAAAGAGCTGCTTCAGGGAAGATTTGGCTCAGAAACAATCAGGGGCCCACAGAAGAGAAGGCCCACCCAGTCTGTCCAACATGAAGTCAAAATATGTCGAAACTTCCGCCCTGGTGCAGCTGGGAAGTACAGGTAGACGTAATCTTTCACGCGCATGGCATTTAGATCTGCGGTGGCTCCGTTGTGTGTAATTTGTCACGCATCTACGCAAGCAGGCGATCACTTTCACCACGCCATCCAAGGAAGGAGGCAATCCGTTTGGTCATTGGCAAGTTGCAGACTGGAGATATCTATGAGGCCACTTGGCGGCAAATGTTTGGCTCATGGCGTCAAGATGAAATGTGTAAACATTCTTATAATATGAATAGACTTTATATTCATTATATGACATTATATGATAAGAAATTAAAGGTTGCTAGATTTTGAACGCTTGGCCTTCGATTGCTTGAACATATTTGAGCAATGAATGAGACATTCTGAATGTGACATATTTCGTCGTTGTGACACGATGACTGTGACATGAGGGGGTCGGCACACCAATTGGATCCAATTGGTTATTTCTTAATTTTCTTATTTCCTTCCGAGTTTCATCCGCGTTTCAGCATCATTCTGCTATATTCTGCTTAGACTTGCAAGTGTCAGCTGCACTCAGCACTCAGCTACCATGCTTGCAGAACCGTCATTGCGGTGTTTCACAGTGGGAAAACGCAGCATTAACAACGATTGAAGATGCACTGTACCAGTAAAATGATCCAAAACAGCAGATTGATAATACAACTTTGATCATACATTTGGGATTTCGTCCAATTTGTCAACTGAAACACAACCATGTTGGGAGATCCAATGGACTTGTCAATGCGTTGAACCCTCTGCAGATTGGCAGGCGAGCCGTCATTATCCGCTGCCAGAGCATCGTTCCCACGGATTGTCTGCACAAGCAGGGCTTTTGTGCGCCTTCCAAGTTGCATGCTTGGTTTCAAACCAGCAGCAAACAAATGCTCAGAGGCTGAGATGGTTTTTAAAGTCCTTGATTAAGGTACGTTTGCCTCTTCTTCGAGGTCAAAACTCTGGAGTCTGATTTCATGGACGCTTGGACAGCAAATCAGTCGGAACTCTGCGACTAGTAAGAGAACTAAAGTACAATAAAAAGTAATCTATCATGTTACGATAGTCACACGTTTGCCAGAGCTTGCTCTTGAGACCTATCTAGTGAAAACCAAAGAAGGCAGTGCCAGCTGTTTCAGGCAATGCGCGAGATCGTGGACAGATACTTTGGCGACAGCTGGGTGGTAGCCTATGCTTTAGGCCCATGCAAAGGGGTTGGCTTGTTGACGCTTATTGACTGTGCAAAAGGGAGACCAAAGATCTTACCAGGAAAGAAATCAGATGCCAGCTGATGCGATGTCACATTGCGGTCAGACCATGGCTGTCACATAGCTTCGCACAAGACAACGCGGCAGTCGTTCAAGGATCAGAAAATCGAATCGAATCTCTTTGGGATCACAATGACCGCGTATCACTCACGAGAGACTATGAGAGAATGGCAAACCGAGATTCAGCCGCTGCAATCTATTAAAAGGATTTAAAAGGCTTGATAGTGTCATATAGCCTTCCACATGCATGGTCATACATGGTATGTGTACATGTATACGCACGCGTGCGGACACTGTACACCCTAGCGCAAGTATTCTACTGCATACTGGATCAAGCAGTATCAGTATGTATTGGTTTCATTCAGTTTTAGAATCATGTGGTATCATAAATGGTATCATGCCTGTTTATTCAGCTGATTTCTTTGGCAGGTTACACTGCTGACCTGATGCAGATGTGGGCCACATATCCCGCTGCCAAACAGGCGATGTGGGAGTCGTTATTGCGAGTCTGATTTCAGCATGGGACCACGAGGTCGGTATACTTCGGTAGACAATGATCACTTCATCTTGATACATTGATACGCGACAGTTGCGCTGCGAGGCGATTGGCAACGCCATCACAGGCAGCACAGTGCGGCAGCTTCAAGAGCGACATCAGGAGCGTCTTGCCGATGCTCAAGCGAAGTTGAAGGAGTGCTTGTTGGAGGGCGTCCTCACTGAGGACCGAGTGGAACCGAGACGCCTTCGTTTCATTTCGTTTCGTTTTGAACGCTTTGTTCCAAGAAAGCTGCCTTGAGCCTTGGATGTTCACCGCCACCTTTGGAACCCCCCCGGTAATCACAATCTATCAGACACTTTGCGTACGATTTTATTTCCGATTTGTGCTGTCATGTGCTGTCAATTTCAAGGACTTTGGAAAACCCTGCACACTTCGTACAAAGCAATAAAACAAGTCCTTTGATTCCTTTTGTACTTATAGGATCTCAGACATGTGTTGCGTTGCCTTCAAAGTCAAGAGTTGTAATCAAGAGGTGGAGATGATAAAGATGGCTGGAGAATCTGCATCCAAACTAGAGGCTGTAGCACGGTGTAGCACAGCTTTCCGATATCTGTTTGTAATATTTTGTAATATTTCTGGCCAGCTCTTGCATCCTGTTTGTGACTGCATTGTGACTGCATTGTGACTGCATTGTGCGTTGTGAAAGGATTACGTTTCGAGCAAAACTCCTCAGCTCTTGAGCCTTTTGCGAGAGGCACATTCGGGGTTCTTCGGCGCTGTGCGGCCATTGCAAAGTGTCCACACCCGAAACAGGTATTGAATGTATTGAATGTATTGCCCACAAGTCAGTTGAACCCTACTTTGCCTATGTACAGTATGTGCAGTTCACAGTCAGACTACTAGACCAGGGTAGAGGGTTCAAACTTCGCCAAACGTCAAGATCAAAACACGAGAAATTCATTTCAGTGGAAAACACCGCAGCTTGACCTCAGGACTGAGGTGTCCCCCCTTGCACAAATGGTGCTCAAACCCAACAAACTACACAACCTGTTTGCTGACTTGCGACATCTTGCGACTGCAGGCGAATACAAGCATCAGATGGTTGCTTTTACAGCCAACCACCAACGATCCAAAGCTGGAGGCTGTGTGTAAGATTTCCGCAAGGATGCGGGAAGAGGTGTAGCTTGGAGCATTGAAAATTCGAACCAGTAAAAGTCTTGATAGATTTCTTTGGTTGGTAGCGCCGTAGCGCTCAGGATAAAGACCCTAAGACTTCCTTGATCTTCCTTGTATATGCTGTAGGCGGGTTGGAAATCTGCAGACAGAAGCTGCTGCCAGAGATGTTTTGCAGGGATGGATAGGACTCTTTTTTCTTTCCTGAGCCAAGTGGGTGTGCTGTTCCCTAGCTTAGTGGAACGGATTTCAGACCTTTCTGCATTTTCTCTTGGAGGAACAATATGTTTTACTCTGCAAAGTTTCCATGTCTTCCATCTCTTAGGCTTTGAACTACTAGTATGTAGATTAATTAATATAATATAAGTCTTTCACCGAGAAGACTCTCCGCTGTTTAGGTTACTGTATCACTGTATTGCCATATTTATCTAGATAATTTGTGTTTTCATTCATGGGGTCTGGGAAGATACCTTCTGAGGTTAGGAGCCTTGGTGGATACAGCTCTGTTTCTCGGCCAATGTAAGAGCTCATTCGAAAGCTGACACTCCTGGGAACAAAGTGAACACATTTTGAGATGATCCAATGATAAAAAAAATTGAGCATCTTAGGCTGGAAGACAAAGTCAAAGGCATTTTGATCCCTTTGGTCTCTAACCGCCAGGCGTTTCGGGTCAGATGCACTCATCTGCAATGAAACATGAATTTGGGAGAGGAAAAACCGTGCTTTTGACATACCCGAGTTTGATTGTCATAGTCTTCTGAGAGTGTTTTGAGTCAAGGGGGATTAAAGCCGCCGTGCATCGTGCAACATCGTGCAATGCTGTGCTGCAGGCGAACTGGCTTCGCCTGCAGGAGGAAGCAGCACAAGCGATGGATGACTTGGCTGTTTACTTCTCAGGTCAACATGTGCCTTGACTGCAGGATACTGCAGGTGTGACACAACCAGGCTTCATGGCTTATGCAACACATAGCCATGGCCTGTGGTCTCAAGATATTCTCTATGAAGAGTAGGACAGTACGACACTTTGCAAAGCGGCAAGAAACAACGCATAGGTTCTGCGTGTTCAGCAATGAAACTGCAGCAAGTCAATGATGCAACCCGACAAAAGACAAGATTGCCTGTCGCCATTTGTTGCCTTGAATAATCCGATTCGTTCATTCTGAACTAGGAAAAGAGGCTTCTGGGCAAATCCATCATTTGCTGAAACCCTTATGTCTATACACTATTATACACTTCTGTATTTGATGTACACAAATGGAATGATATACCATGATATTTCCGCGCCTTTCACGCACAGATAGATGTCCAAGTCGATGCAGTCCTGTCACATCTCAAGAAGGACTTGCCTCGTGTTCCGCTTTGAACTCGGTAGAACTATTTGTTCTTCAAAAGATCCCGTTCTTGCGATGCTCTTGCATGCACTTGCATGCGCTTCTGAATATTCTCTGTCTCGATCTAAATGACAACCGGGCTTCGAGGCATTGAAGCGCAAAGTTCGCAACGAAGAGTTGGAGGAATTCTTCCGATCTCTTCAACAGCGCATCGAGGAACTGAGCTTGAGCAGCCAGGACAGCAAAAAACTGTGGTGCATTCAGTGCATTCTTACAGCGATCATTTTGACTAATAATTCCAATGTGGCCCACATTGATCCGACAGTCGCCCAATCAATGCACAGGGGTGAAATCCCTTGAGGGAAACTAGTTCGTCGGTCGGGCTTGGAAATTGCACAGCAGTCGGACCGCTCAAAGCGCTTCCCTGTTTTCTCGTTGTGATTGTACAGGAGGATATGGCAGCGCTTGGAAGGAAGGTGTCACAGGTGAGCGCTAGCGAACACAGATCGAGCAGTGTTGGCCGTTCTCAAGTTTTGTGGTACAAGTGCAGCTCCGAGCGCGGCACCAAGCTTGCTTTGGCAGGTAGACAAAGCCCTGGACGAGGTGGCCTTTTTTCATGAAGTTTCGCAGCAGCCGCAAATACTGCACTTTCTTAGTGATGCCAGGTGACTTTGCTGCGTTGAGTTGTTTGTTTGCAAAGTTAGACAAGAACCCAAGAAGATAGCTACGTAAGATAACCATGGTTGCACATTGGACTCAGTGGGCCAAGATGGTCAAGGCTTTTATACGATGCATAATGGTAGGATCCAGATTGTGCGATAAAGATGTGCGTTGAAGAGGTTGGCTTTGATTGAACAGACACACCCTTCAGAGCCCAATACAGATCATGAAGTGGTAATGTCAAAAGTCTTGTCCCTGCCCTAGATTCTCGAGTCACTTCAGGCAGTTGCTGCAAAGAATGCTTCGCACTGCCAACCTCAACGAGGAAGCTCAAAAACATGTTCATGTGTGGCAAGCTTTCTAAAATTTCGAATGCTCTCCAACCCGTGGCGTGGTCAGTGCAGCTGTCCCACGCAGGTTTTGTGACGCCTTCGGGGAACATGCACATTTCCGAGCCCATCACAGTTTTTGAATTGTGTCAATTGTGTCATTCTATTTCCAGACATTCTGCAATACTGACAGGGCTGCCTCAACATTCAAGGAAATTGTCACTCGCTGCGGTGAGGAGATGTTGGGAACCATTGAGACTGTGGCGGACCTCTCATATGCTTGGCACGCTCTGGCTGGATACAAAGAGGCTGTGGTACAGGGTCAACAAATGTCAACAAGATTACACAATTTGCTGTGCCACGCAGCGTGACTAGGGGATATGAAACATTATGAAACAACTTGGATGAGCCGAAAGGATGCCCTCTTGTGAAGCGTTGGGTCGGCACGGTGTCAAAAAAGAATAGATGCATGCAGCCGCATGCGGTGTAAGGCAAACAACACAAGACGCTTGATACCGCTTCATATTGTTGCCGATCATCGCCGCCCAATACAAATATGAATGTTTTTGAATGATAATGAATGTTATTGAAAGTACTCAATACATCTCAGTCTTTGTTCAATTTACTGTAAGTTGAGGCAACAGAGTATGTTTTCATACAGACAGTGCGATAGGATACACACACATACATGCACATACATAATAATATAACAAGATATAACACATATATAATCATATAATATCATATAATCATATATTTATATATATAAAGAATCATATACAGACATATATACATATATATAATATAATATAATATAGATACATATAAATATAATCATATATATATATACATATAATATGCATCCCTTTGCTGCTTGCTCTCAGCGGGTCATCCGAGCTTTTGCTGGGAATTCGGAGCGAAACAGTTGGCTCGATCTTGGTGAGAAATACATCGGATTGAGTATGAAGTAAACTAAGTATAACTAAGTAAGTTAAGTAAACATAAGTAAACATAAGTAAACTATATACTGTAAGTATCTGTAAGTAAACTACAGCAAGTAAACTGAGTAAACTAAGTAAACTTTGAATGTTTCCCGGATGGGCAGACAATGGCAACCATCTATTACGTGACCGATTCTATACCGATTGCAAGCATCTCAACATTCAGACTTGCCCATCAATGTGCGAGGCAATGGGGAATTTATTGGCTACATCCCCGGAGAGTGTCAAGGGCCTGCGGGCGCTGTTTCTGAAGTAGCTCTTCCGCCATATGACGGGGAGTGGTACGCGGTCTGAAACTTGTGCAAGGTCAATGAATCAGTCTCGGAACAAGTTCTACTATATAGTAATTTCATGTAATTTTTAAATTTATGCAGATGAGATTCCAATTGGGTTGCATTTATTGATTACCATTCCCTCTACGTGTGATGTGTGAATCTATGGCTTTTCTCTTGCAAGGCTGGCCTCAATCCTAGAGGTACCTTTGCGGCGCATCAGGCAGCGAGTGCAGGGCCATTTTCCATCGGAATTCAGCATGCTTCCAGCAGAAACACATGCCCGACATGTGCCTTATGCCATGTGCCTGTGTGAGTGCTAGATATTGTTTTGCTCAGGCATGAGAAATGTCTCGGTCCTCCTTGGATTACATATATAGAGGTTCAGGAAGGTTCCAGTGGTTGGGAAGTGTGAGCACCAAAGGTACTGGAGTTCATTTTCCGCCCCGGTTTTCCAATGTTTTATCCTTTCCACCTGAACGAGGCAGTCTGGAAACGAGTCTCACGCCTCATTGGTCTCCAACTACTACTCAGCTGGGCTGGTGCAATTCATGCGATCGGTTTTGCAGGACACATTCATGAAAAATCACAGATGAGGACAATGAGTGAAACTTCGCGGTAAAGAACAAAAGGAATCAAAAGGATCTATATAGGGATTTTCAGATCATTGCCCGATTCAGAAACTATACACGATTTAGAAACTGCGATTCAGAAACTACGAGTAGGAAACTATTTCGTGCGATTCAGAAACTACGGTTCAAAAATCATGGACCACACGTTCATACTTACATTATACCACTTCAAGAATTGCCACCCCCTCTGCCATATACATACATTTTCACGCCAGCGGACCGAAAACCGTGCTCGTAAAACGCACGCTTTTGTAAACGCACATTCGGAGGTCATGATGGGGTGGGGTGGGGGGCATGTTAACGTTCCTTGTACTTCGTACGTTATATGTTGCTACGCTGCAGAGATCTCTGGTGTTGTTGCTACGGTGTGTATGCGCAGGGGTTGGGTGGGGTGGGGTGGGGGGGGCATGTTAACGTTCCTGGTACTTCGTACGTTTATGTTCCTACGCTGCAGAGATGTCTGGTGTGTTGTTGCTACGGTGTGTGCACGAAGGGGGGGGGGGGGGTGGGCATGTTAACATCCCTGGTGCTTCGTACGCTATATGTTCCTACGCTGCAGGGATCTCTGGTGTTGTTGCTATGGTGTGTGTCAACGTTCCTGCTACTTCGTACGTTATATGTGTTGCTATGCTGCAGAGATCTCTGGTGTTGTTGCTACGGTGTGTACACGAAGGGGTGGGGTGGGGTGGGGTGGGGTGGGGGGGCATGTTAACGTCCCTGCTACTTCGTACGTTATATGTTGCTATGCTGCTGAGATTTCTGGTGTTGTTGCTACAGTTTCCAAATCTGACCTCATAGTTTCCAAATCAATCATAGTTTCCGAAGCCGCTACTCCCAGTTTCCAAATCTGACCTCATAGTTTCCAAATCATAGTTTCCAAATCCGCTGTTATAGTTTCCAAATCCGCTGTTATAGTTTTCAAATCACGCGGTGACCCATTCATGAAAAATCACAGATGAGGACAATGAGTGAAACTTCGCGGTAAAGAACAAAAGGAATCAAAAGGATCTATATAGGGATTTCTGAATTTCCCCATGCAATGAATACAGTGGCATTTTTGAATTGAATATCATGATAATGTAAATTGCAATAAGGCAGCGACATCAGTAGGATTTGATTCCCCATGTTTCCTTGCGTCTAAAGTCTTGTTAGTCTCCCATGCTATGCTCTTGTCACCGTGCATATGATGACGTGCAAACTTTTGTCAATGTGTTTGGATATGGAACAACTCCCAAAAGCGTGCTCCCTTTGGAGGATATTCCGCGGCTGATATTCCAAATTCTAGCTCAGCTAGCCACGCTCAATGCCTCCGTGTCCCCGGTTGCGTGGCCCAGCCGTATCTCCTTTGCAGAGTTACACAGCTATGCCCAGAGGAGATGTCTTGGGGTGTTCCAAGTTTGTGACGCAAGACCCTCAAATTTTGATAAAAGAAGAGCGAGTATTGTCAGGGCAGAGTTGGGGGCCAAACCATATACTGTTGACTAGAAGAAATCGTGGACAGTGAAACACAAGGACATTGTTTGCAAGATTTCCAAGCTTGCAAGTCCTTTGCAGGAGTGAGTCAGCAAGCATTGAGGCGGCTTTGTGTTCGTTGTGCACAAAGTGCACTAATCACTAAAGCTTTATATACATCCGTTCGAACCTCTTTTGCTCTTTTATTGCAGAGTTTTTCGCATTTGCGTTGGACACCTGCTGCTTAGTTTGCTCTGACAATGTCTGGCAGCTCAACCAGCATGTTGCAAAAGGATGCAAACTGCTCCGATATGCCGCACTGTGATGCACTGTGATGCACTGTGATGCACTGTGGAGGTTGGGAAACTCACACAACGCATTGCTCTTTTGATGCGTGGCATTCGTGAAACGGACGTGGCCGTGCTGGGTGCCATCTTGGTGGAGCCAAAGGCGACGCCATGGCCGGAGTTTGGGGCACAAGTTGGAAGTTTCTACGGTATTAGACAGTGATGACTCAGTGATGACAGTGTACTAGGCAGTATATGACTTATACAGACATATACAGACTGTATTGTAAACATTTATAGACTGTATTAGATTATTAGACTGTATTCCATTATAGATATAGTCATTATTTCACTATATTAGCTGATATATTATGTTGCATTTTATTGAAATTGTTATGTCTTCTATCAATGTCTATTATATCCTATTATGCCGTTTGCTAGGCGAGCCACACAGTCATAAAAGTATCAGAAAGTCCATGATGGCTGTTTCTTGCAAAAAGCTTGGTGGTGTTCATGTCCCTGCGGTAGCGGGTAGCCCAGAGGAGAATTGGATAAGGTGAGGGTAGTGGCTGCTGGTGACAGCACTCTCCGCAGTTCTCTTGGATCTTTGCGAATAAAGGGTTCAGACTTCTCTGTCTCCTTGAAGCTCAGTGCCAAGAATGCAATATGTCCCAGTATGAACAAGCAACAGGCAGCAACAGGCAGCAACAGGCAACAGAGTCAGCAAAATCTCCAATGCTTTCTGTGGGATCTCTTGAGATCTCGTGAGCATTTTCCAAATTTTTCCAATGGCCTGGAGAGATCCCACAGATGGTGCATTGCTCTGAATGTAGTGCGTGATTTTGGGTGTCGATCCGTGGGCTAGGCGGCTGGATTATCACTCTTCCTGCTCCTGGACCCCTTTCAGATTGCCTGAAGTTTCACATAGTAGGATAATAGGATAGTGTAGATATGTGTAGATTCTTTTTTTTTTTTCAGTTCCCACACCACTGTGCGAATGGCAGGAAGTTCTCGTGGATGGCCTACGGCGCGAGCTGGCTGCAAATATCGAAGTGATGCTGGCGAAGCAAAGCTTTGACCATTTAGAGGTGCTCAGGTTGAACAACGTCATCCTTTGTGTATCTTGTCCAGCGCAACCTGAGCGCAAAGCTGACTGACACTGACATCAAGAATTGCAACAGGCTTTCACATCCTTCTTGTAAGTCCTTGTAAAGGTCCAAGCCTCGCAGTGCTTCCACATTTGTTCACTGCATTTCCTACATTTGAATACATTTGATATCATTCGATCATTTGATAATTATTTGATAATTTTGCCATGTGATAGGCCTCGTTGAAAGATCTAGCCGATCAAAGTCGTCGGCTGCGTGGCTCCTTCGAGCAGCTTGGCGAGGGAGATGCCCACAGTGTCAAGCCACAGATGGCCAGGATCGAAGCCAGAAGAGACTTGCATGCTCGACCTTCAGACATCCTTCAACCCTTGCACAACCTTGGACAATGTTGGACACTGTTGGGACAATATTGTCTGTCAATGTCTGTCACATATTGTCACGTACTGTCACAATGTTAGGAGAAAAGGATCATCGCAGGCAGGAAGTGGCTGTTTTTTGAATCGTTTTCCAGTAGTTTTCGTCTCATCAAAATCGTTCATTTCTGCTGACGTTTTCTTTCCTTAAGGCACGTGCAAGATTACTTGGGCGTAAGTGCCCAAGAGCTTTGGCGAGCGCAGTTCGGACGTGTCCCTCATTTGGATTAGTCAGATGCAGCTGCATGAGTTTTTCTCCTTGGACCATGGCAGTTCATGCTAGAGCTGCTAGAGACCATGGTTTGACATTAGGGTCAGGGTATATGAGACTTGACCTAAAGGTCTTCGTCCTTGTAGAGATTCTACACCAGGATGGCCACCATTCTTTCAGCACGATCCCTCGCAAGAAATCTGAATTCGCCAAAGTCAAAGAAATGGCAAAGAATTCATAGTTGTTCATATGTCATTCAAGTCATTTCTACTGTAGAATCGTGGATGGATTGGTGTTGTTTGAAGTTTAGGAATGGCCCATCCATGTGAATGACTTTACGACTGTACTTATCTGGAACTGCATCTCCAAGCTGGATATTCAGAGGTGGTCAAATTTTCAATGCTTTTGACACAGATTTTAACGAACATTTGGCAAACGTCGCGCTTGTTCAGGTGTCTTGGGAACCCCAAATTACCCCATACAGCACCAACAAATGGGTTGCTGATCGAATACTTCCCTGAAGCAAGAAAGGGGGCCCATATTTATGTTATGTTAGAGGATTGTAAATAATTAGCGTGCTCTATTTGTACAGTCTTGTTAAAACAAGCCATGCATGGCTCTCTGCAGATCTCCACAGTCTAAGGTGGTTCGTTTCTTGCTGCACATGGAGCAACACCAGCTGTTGGGCAAACGTGGTCGTGCCAAAAGCTCCCCAGACCACGATCCGTCACAGCCTATCAGGTGCCAGCTTTGTGCCAGTCGGACTCGAGAGTTCCAGAGTTTTTAAGACTTCTTGCAACTGGTTGTGGCTTGGGACCCTCAGACCTTAAACGCTTGATATCGTTTGCTGGAATTGATTCTCCGTTCTCCAAGTGGGAATGGGTCAAACATGGGGCACCAATGAACCTACCAAATTAGTCTAATAGAATTGACCATTCATTTTGGGACTTGCAATTTTGACCCATATCCAATCGAATACCAAGTGAGTGTAGCATAGTCTAAGTTGATGAAGTCGTGATGAAGTTGATGAGTTCAGGTTCCCTGATGGCAAGAGTTCTGGCGGCTCCTTCCTGTCACGCTGCATGGCGAAGCTGCTGGAGCTTACGGAACCAAAGAGCTGTAGTGGTGGCTTCCGACAGGACTTCCGACAGCTGAATGTTGATGGAAATTGTGACCGTTCTAATCCGTCCTACATGATTATTATTGATTATTCAATTATTCTAATTCTACTTGGGAGCACCAAGAGAGGCATTTGGACCAGACACGTTTCGGACTAGCTAAGCTCAGACTCGTTTTGAATTGAGATTCTGCAACTGGTCAGAATCCGAGAGCACTGCCATAGCACTACCCAAAGGGCACGGTCCAACATTCAACCCTTGCGCTATCTAGGTGCTCCCAGATTATTAGGCTCCAGACCACCACTCAGATATTTTCTCATATATTTTAAGGTTGCATCCGTTGCAGTACCACTTTGCAAAGGCAAGAAATTGTGCCTAAAAGATCCTAAAAGACAGTGCGTGAGTGTGCGTAGCGTGCGTGTGTTGGGCAATTGCAGGACTGGTGCAGTTCCGGCGGTGCACTCGATAGCTTGGTACTACAGCAACTCATGGTCCGACCCTCAAGATACAACCGATCAGGTATGATCAGGTAGCCCAGGCACGTTGATGAAAAACACAGGCCACCCATTGGCCACCCATTGGCCACCCATTGGCCACCCATTGGCCCATCTCTTTCTTTTCATTTCTTTTCATCAGGCATCGACGCATCCGATGCAAGTAAAACGCCACCAAGACACTGGCTGTCTATGGCTGTACCATATTATATGTCATTGCAGAAAATGATACGATAAGACGATAAGCATATAATATGATATTATATGTTTTGTTCAATCAATTATGAAATTGATACGCTGGGAAGTTATTATGTCGTTCTGCGAAGCCATTCTCTATGAAGATCACATATGGCCTCTATAGATCTCTATAGCTAATTAGCCTATGGGACAACTCAAGACCAGTACTGGACACGCAGACAATGTATGCAAGAGAAGCAGGACATGGGGTGCATGCGCCTTGACCTTCAGCAAGACATGACAAGATATGGCACACTATACACACTGACGACATCGTAATAAGAGCGTAAAACTTCTCCTTCGCCCACATCTAACGGCTCTGGCTGAGGAGGCGGTCGCCTCTCCTGGTATTGCTGCTATGTCGAAGTTGTTGGAGACACAGGCTTCGGTCAAAAGACCTAAAGAAGATTATTATCGACGTCAAATCGACGTGATTGATTTTATTTGATTCTTGTGTTTTTTTTGAGAGATTTGAGAGAGAAAAGCATTGAAGCAACACCGCAAGCATTGCAGTGGTGCTTTTCTGCCCTGAGTTCCTCCTTTATGCTTTTGGCTCATCTTGACTTGGCCAGCCAAGGCTCGCGTTGAAAGCTGCTGGGCGAGTGCGCAAGGCGCAATGATGCCCGACTTTGGACAGTGTTACTTTGGAACTCCCTCCTGTGGTGGATCAAAAGCCAGTGCATTATTGTCCAAGGCAGTGCCACCATGACACTTGGTTGTTTGAGGTCTGAGAGATCTGGTCAGAGATCTCCAAAGTTTCTGCCATTCAACTCGGATAATGAGAGGACTTGTGAAGATTTTGTGAAGATTTGTCGAGTATTGAAGAATTTGGTTTTCCCCAAATCCCAGCATTTGCTCGTTACGCAATGTTACACAAAGTTACACAATGTCAACGCACACCGGTTGCAGCTTTGACCGCAGGTTTTGCAGGGCGGTACGGCCTTGCTGGGTGATCCAGAGCATTCACGAGCAGTGCTCAAGGCAACTATGCTCCTGCTAAATCTGCAACTGCTGCCAGCGGTAATGTTATGATCATATTATGATATAATACATTTGTAATTTGTATAATTATGTATACGTATATATACTGTAATATATATTATATAATTATATATATACATATATACATATTAACACGTATATAATTACATATATGTAACAGATATCTTTTAGCCGCACAATTTCCTGTTTTTAAGTTGCATCACATTGGGTCCATCTGATCAAGAAAATGAACGGACTAAGAAGATTCACATTTCATAACATTTTATACAGCTGGGAGGCCAGTGGCTCGAAGAGCGAGTAGAACTTAGAACTCGGCAAAGGTTGACAAGGTTTGGGTTTGTTCACGGATCACACCCCAATCTCCGTGGTGGTCCTGTGAAACAGGCCTCTCGTGCCCGCAGCAGCGAGGTGGGGAGTTTTCAGTTGCACTTACTCAGTTGGTTGGTTTGTTCTTGGCAGATTCTATCAGCTTCTATTTGGGGCATGTTTGATTCTCAACTTCTTGCCATTCTCTCGCTGATATGCCACAGCCAGCATTAAGCTCTTTTTTTAAAAACTCTGACTTACAGTGTACAGCGAGCTGACAGCTTTTTTCGTGATCGTCTCTACAGGCGCTCCGTGTTTGCGCTGCCTCATTGGCAAGCCAGGTGTGGTCTCACAGGATGTAGTTGTGAAGATGTCCTGGGTTGAATCCTGACAATGGTTTTTAAATTCTTCAAATCAAAGTGTTTGCAGCAAGTGTCCACAATGTGTCCGCCTTTGTGAAATGTGCATTTGTGTTTTTGCATTTGTTTGTCATCCTCTTTGTGGCTTCCCTGTGCGTTGAAAATTGTCTTTCGACGGACTGAGTAAGTGTTAGATACTATGATGCTGAGATATTCTTGACTCTTGTTCTCAGATTTGTTCCAGAATGCAAGTGAATGCTAGTGATATGCCAGTGACATGCGAGTCATGCGAGTGACATGCGAGTGACATGCGAGTGACATGCGAGTGACATGCGAGTGACACTTTCTCCATGTGGAATTGGAAGATGTCGGAAGAGGTGGGCCCCTTGGCCTCGGTGCTCAGCAGCTTGGGTCAGATTATGCTGCTGCAGCGGCGCCTCACAGCGTTGCTTAGGCGCTGTGGACATGGCAACATATGGCAACTGTCAAGTCGTGACATGTCGTGACATGTCGTCACATGTCGTGACATCTGACATCTCCATCTCTTCATTCGCAAGTTCGAGTTTAGATGCAGGACAGTAGATTTGTCGCCAAAGATTGAAACCAAGACGACTCAGTCTCACTCTGTATTCGTGGCCATGGAACAAGAATGCGACCTGCAGTTGCCCATGTGCCCTTTTCACTTGCTACTTGTAGCACTCTCAAACTTTGCAACCACTTGTTCGGATGTGTACTTGTTGTTCTCCTTCATCACTTGTAACTTTGCAAGGTAGACTCCCGGATTTTCCATGGTTTCTCATCTTTTTTTTCCATGCGAGTTAGTCGCCCAAATAGGTTTACCGGCTTACCATGTGTTAAGGATATTTGGCTATTTAGCTCTGACAAAGCGACAGTCAACTCTCAAGACTCCAGGCCCTGGCCATGTTTGAATGGCCCTATGATTTGATTCCCTTAGAAATGGCAAAATCGGGCAAAACATGAGTTCACAACTGGAATGCAGTGATTGGCCTACGCAAATTAAGCACCATGACGTCAATTTAATTCAATGCATCAACAGAGTTTGTCTGAGTCAGCCTGTCGACCTCGGATTTCCAGCTTCGTGAAAGGCTGCACGGATCTTTGGATGCTCCTTTGATCAACAAATCTCTGGGAGTGCTCGACGGAACGGTCGGCTCCGGGGCTGGGAGGGGGACGGGTTTGGAAAGAAGCTGAAGAGCATCCACGCTTTGACCATTTCGAACCCTTGCAACTTCCACTCTTTCTACATGACCACGTCTTGGGAAGGTCTTGCCATTGTATGAAGCCAACTTGTTGGCAGCTGTCTGTTTGTCTGTTTGTCTGTTTTTTTTTTTCTCTCTCTCTCTCTCTCGCCCCCCCTCTCCCTCCTTATACAGTTTACCCCGTGACTAGAATTTGTTTGGAGGAGTGATTTGTGGAGACGATTGATAACAACAATAGCAGGAGCAGGATTGCTCTTCATGCATCCATTAGCCTCTGTTGCTGCAAGAAAAAACGGATGAGGTTCAGGGCTGACTTGTACCAAATCCCCTTTACTCTGCTCTCTCCATCAAAAAACACTATTCTGTCTTGGAGCCTTCATAGGAGCGTTGTGAGCAGTCAGCCTGTGATCCAGATCAACCCATCCACATCCGGCATCAGCTTGGAGATTGGAGTGTAAGGTAGCCAGGCCAGACCAAGAATCCACTGTAGACCCTTGCAACGCAATTTCTTGCGTCTGGCCAGCCTGTCTACAATGTGTTTGTATTGTATGTGGCTGCTTTGATGCTGTGTGTCTATTGCAGGCCTTAGTTGAGAGCCTCGAGGAGGATGCTGAGACGGAGGTGCTACAGAGCCTATTGCTGTTACCACAGTCTCAATCGGATTTGTTCGATGCCATCGGGGTCCAATGGTCTACTACTGTACAACGTGCATTCGACTGCTTGCTTATCGACAAGGCAGTAGAGAGACATCCAGTTAGTTAAAAAGATATGAGATGTTCAGTTGGTTGAAAAGATATGAGATGCTCATAGATGTTCAGTTGTTTTTCAGCTTAAACCCCTTTTAGTTTCTAATTCTGGTCTTGATTCCAAGACCAAAGCACCAGGGAGAAATGCAAGAGCTGCAGCGCTGTCAAGGTAGATGGGGAGCTTCCAAGCTTGTGGGACTTTGTGGATAGCAGCTCCATCGCAAAGGAGAGGATGCCTGGAGATGTTCTCGTGGTTCTTTGAACGTAATTGCAGTTCTGCAACGTCGGTTTGCAGAGGCAGATCGAAAGCCTTCTTCTTCAGAATGTACAGACAGGGGTGTCACAGTGTAACAGATGTCTGTCATTCTGAGGATTTTACTTCGAAATTCTTAGGGCATTGAGATGTTGGTCTGTGAAGTTCGATTGGAATCTCTTTCATGCTGAGCTTGGCTCGGGCCTGCAAGGAGGGTCAGCTCCGCTTTAGGCGAAAATTGGCCAAAACAGGAGAGTTGCAGCTTGGATACAGCGGAGATCTGGGGTATGTGCAGAGCACAGTGCAGGGACACGTTTTTGCTATGAGGATCTGTCACTCAGCATGGTAGACCCAAACAAGAATCTACCGTAATCCACCCACCAAACAAGAATGATTCCCTGGAGCAGGTCCAGCGCCACTGGGGTTTGCCAGCAAAATAGCTTGGAGATCCACAAGAAACAGAAACTGTAAGAAACTGTAAGAAAGAGCCAAAAAGCACCGAGACTCCGAGAGATCCAGGAGATTTTGAAAGGTCTGGAATTTAGCTGCAAATCTGTGCGTAGTATCTGCTTGCCTGACACCTGACACTGATACGGCAAAGGCACGGCTTTGCTGAGCCATTGCGGCAACTACTGCTGGTGATCCCAGAAGGCTCTGGGCTGAGTTCGGAAGTTCCATCCCAAAGCGCTGCTTGATTACTTTTGATTGGGGGTTGATGTGGTAGGTTGATTATTGATATTAATTCTTACGAAAGCCAGCCAAAGGCTGAGCGAAGTTGTTCCATGCGAACGAAGTGAAATAAGGGGGTGTGGGGGGTAGTGGCTGACGTGGATGCCTCCAATCCCTCAGGTAGCTTGGAAGTAGGGTGTGATGTTTGTCCGTTTTACCCTGTTATGTACCATGGGGCAAATGGGTGACGGTGGCTATCGATTCCCCCTGGTCCAAAGGACAGACCCCATTGAAAAGGGTGCGTTTGGGGGTGGGTGTGTCGCCAAGAGTTTTGATAGCTGTGCGAGCTAACATGTGGTGTGTGGCGTTCTATATGCCGGGTTTGAGGGACGGTTCTATATGGCGGGGTTGAAGGGGTTTTACAGTTCTTTGGGGAGCGTCAGTTTGGTGGAGTGTACTTCATCGGATAGGGAGGTTGAATTGATTGCACTCGGCGATGCAGAACTCGGCGTTGCAGAATATGTTTTTTGAACGGCTTATCAGAGCATGATGGGAAGTGTCAATTGTCACTGCAGCATATGGTTTGCGAGGGTTGATCGCAGGTGTCCTTTTTGGAGAGCGTGGTTTAGATGGGAGTGTGCTTTTGGGAGTTGGAGCATGAATCTGCGGGCAGATATGTGTGGGTTCGTTTCCAAAGCATTTCAACCTTCGGAGCGTAATGGGGCCATGGTGTCTATCGTTTGATGCGTAATAAATACGCCCCATTGGAAAGGGTGCTTTTGGGGGTGGGTGTGTGTCCAAGAGTTTTGACATGTGGGCGGGTGTATCTTCAAGGGTTTCGACCTGCAGGTGCTTACCGAAAGTTTTGAGGTGCAATGCATGTGCTGTGATAACGAAAGGACAGACCCCATTGAAAAGGGTGCGTTTGGGGGTGGGTGTGTCGCCAAGAGTTTTGATAGCTGTGCGAGCTAACATGTGGTGTGTGGCGTTCTATATGCCGGGTTTGAGGGACGGTTCTATATGGCGGGGTTGAAGGGGTTTTACAGTTCTTTGGGGAGCGTCAGTTTGGTGGAGTGTACTTCATCGGATAGGGAGGTTGAATTGATTGCACTCGGCGATGCAGAACTCGGCATTGCAGAATATGTTTTTTTGAACAGCTGGGCTTAGCCGCTTGCAGTGAGCAGGGCATCAATCTGAAAGGTCTGTAAGTTAAGAACGGTATATAACTGTCATTGTGCATGATAAAGAACGTGTATTCAGGAAGAGGTGGCTAGAGTAAATCCTGGCAGTAAATCTTTTTGTTGGAAGTATCAACACAGAAGGGACAGAAGGGTATGAAAATGGAGGTGGAAAAGATGACAAAATACAGCTCAAAGGTTGCAGTCTCTGGGAGCACATCTTCCGTTTTCGAAAGTATGAAATGCATGATAGGTCAGCGTGTGCGTGTATAAATGTAGGTGTGTCTATAGACATTTGTAGGGGAAGCAAAAGAGATTAAATGTGGTAGTTTGTGTAGACACAGAAAGGTATATAACATATACTGAGTTGTGAGGGTGTTGACCATGCAAGACAGACCCCAGGGCGGGGTGCGGGGGTTGGGCAGTTTGTAAAATAGCAGAAAATTCATCTATCGACCGACCGATCGATCCATCGATGGATTCATCGATCCTGTCCATCCGTGTGCGTCAATTTATTCATCCATTGCTCTTTCCGTCTATCTATCGATCTATCTCTCGGTCCATCCATCGGTTTATGTACCTGCCTGTCATTCCATCTATCAATCTACCATTGATGGCTCTATCTCTCCATTTTTCCATCTTTCCATCTCTCTAGCTCTCCATCTATATATCTATCTGGCTATCTATGTAATCGTCTGTCTGTGTCTGTCTTTCTTTCGATCGATCTATCCATCGATCTATCTATTTAGCTATCTATCTATCCATCTGTCCGCCCCTCGATCCATTTATTGATCTATGGATCTATGTGCCGATCTTTAATCTATCCATCTATCCATCTAGCTGTCTATTTATCCAGCGATGTCTGCATGTATCCATCCAGTCAATTCTTCTGCAAACAAATCAGAATGCATTCTTCAAACCAGCCCTTGTTGGGCGGAGAAACTCTTTTTTTGTCGTCGCAGGGCATGTCGCTTGAGACTGGCACACCATGACTTTGATGCCGTGTGGACTTATGTATTTTTGTTCGTTGTTAGTTAGGGTAGAGAATATGGCATACATATTAAATTCACATGTTGTGCCAAGTATACATCTTTATTGTCCGTAGGTATGTAGATATCCATGTGGGCCAAGACATTTGCACTTGCCAAGAAAATGCCAGCTTTCGTTCCTACCTTCTCAGGTTGGGGTTTGGAAAGAGATCTTGAGGATTGCCTTGCATGAACGTGGTCCCCACAAGATTAGTCTTTTCTATGGGGAAGTTGTGCTGCCGTCGCACCGGGAGATTGCTGTTTGTGCCTAGCCACATTTCATCAGTCCTTGGCACCTGCAACTTCGTTCCTATGCAGATTCCGCTCCCAATGGTCTGGACACGCTCTTGGCTCTGGCATTGGTGCAGTATGTGGCGGAGAAGCAACGGCAGGCACCAGTGCAGCGCTTTTGTTGTGTGTGGAATTTGCCTTTGCCCGACACTGGAGTCCTGTGATAGATCCTTTTCTGGAATTGATCAGATTCTCCTGTCCCAATTCATGTAGGAGTTGCGCAGAAGTCCTGACTTTAACCTTTTATGGGGTTAGTAAGTCTTCGGGTGAACCCTAGCGGCCCAACCCTTGACCAGTCTTTGGGGCAGCGTTGAAGAGCTCCTTGTTGATCATGACGTCACTAGAGCTGGGTGATTCCTAATGAGCCTAATGACCTCAAAATAGGCTGCTGACTTGCCACAAATAGTGTTGCAATGTATTGCATGTATGAGGAACCAGCCAAAAAAGTTCTTTTTTTCAGGATGCTTCAGGTTCATAGATATTAACAGATAGTCATGATAGATGTTATGATATCTCATGATTCAGCGAAAGGTGATTCCGATACACGTCATGCACCGATTCTTGGTTTGTTCACTTCTGCCTTAGTCAATGCCCAACCGGAAAAGCGGGGAATGAGCCCAGGCACCCTCGGCCCGGAGGACCAGCACTTGGACTGCCAAGGCAGAACGGAAATACGCTGTGGCATTTACAACTTCAAAACACATATGATATATATATAATATAATACATATATATATAATATAAATAATATAAATAATATATGATATAATATATATATTATATAATATATATATAATCTAACATAATATAACACTATATAAATAATATTATATATAATATTATATAATTACATATATTATTTAGTACATATTGCATAATACATATATATATATGATATTATATATATATGTGATATCCTAGACCGTAGCTTTCGCAACCGCTGGCACATCACTTGGCTTGCCATCTGAACCTGTGTTTTTTCTGTGGCCTTGTTTTGCCTGTGATGCATGGCTCAGCCACCTAGTTTTTGGTTGCGTCTGCATTCGGTCTGTGTCACTCTCGGACCGGCTTATACATACATCAGTTCCCCCAATAGTGGATATCACATATAAAATATTTGTCATATATATTATTTATAACACTTATATTATATATATCACATATAGTATTTATATTTATAAATCATATATATCATATATATCATTTTTATCACATGTAAATATATTATATTATATATGTTGTGCATTAAAAATATATATATTGTACACAAGAATATATATATTTCTATGATATATATTATATATATATCATATATAGTATATATATATCATTTATATTATATATATATATATCATACTTATAATATTTATCATGTATATTATTTATAATATATATCATTTATATTATTTATAATATATATCATTTATATTATTTACAATATATATCATTTATATTATATATTCTACATCCTTTTTATTTTAATATATATATATATTATATATTATTTGATATTTATCATATATTTGATATATATATATATATAATATGTATATTTTTATATAAGATATTTTAAATAATACAATATTTCATATTTATATAATATATATATATTTCATAATATAATATACACATATATACATATATTAAATTACTTATTTTATATTTTTTTTAGTCTTTTATATTAAATATATATATGATATATATATATATTGTATTGAATAATATATATATATGACATATATATATATGTTATATTGTTATATATATATTATGTTATATATATATATGTTATATAGTATTATATTTTTCATATTATATATTTTGAAAATATTATTGAATAATATATATATAATGTTGTATCATATTGCATAATATTGAATTACATGAAAATTTATTTTATTTTTTTAATACACTTTTATTATTATATTATGTTATGTTATGTTATGTTATATTATATTATATTATATTATATTATATTATTATTATGTTGTATTTTTTTTAAAAATATATATATATATATGTATATATATATATTATAAATATTATATATATATTTTAAATATATACATATATATTTAATATGCATTCCTCTCCTGTCCTTTCCTCCATCTCTGCCTCTCTCAGACTCTCTCTCTCTCTCACACACACTGCATATTACCTAATTTGAACGTTCAGAAAAACTGTTTGGAATCAAATATTCAGTCTCAGAACTACTTTGCTCTTCGGCACATCCAGTGCTTGTATAGCAACACGTGACAAACACAACAACAGGTGGCAACATCTGATCCCATGCATCTCAACACACAATTCGAGTATTCCATACCAGGCACCGGCACCTACTGTCGGTACAGAGGCCAGGGTAGATGTTGGTTAAAACGAAACAGGAACGAATTGCCAAAGGAAAAGAATGAAAAGTGGTGAAAAGGTAAGACGCAATAATTGGAAGTAGGACTTGATGTGAATATCTTACCTTTGCTGTCATTTCAAGTCTATTCTTGTTGGGGGAGCATCTCCCCTTTGAGTAGACAACTGCAATACCTGCATACATTCACGCTTGGCCAAGAAGCTGAGTGTTTTTATGTGACTGTAGTGCTCAGGTGTGATTGTTCCAGCTTTCTTGTCCAAGATCTCAATGAACAGATGTGAACAGTACGGTGCGACAAAGCAGAGAGGAACCCAGCTGTCTCATTTCCGCGTAGAGTCTATCATTTTTCCAATGATTTGCTCTTGATATTTGAACACCAGCTTCAAATATCTTCAATACTAAAATGCTGTTCTGCCCTTGACTCTGTCCGGTCCAGGCGCATGTAGCCTTGAGTGCTGGCTTAGCTTCGTTTCTTCAACAGCTTCCAAGACAGCAGCTCCATGGCACGTGCGAATGCCAAGTGAGGAATGTCTCGAGAAATGTCGACAAACTCTGCTATGACATGCCACGCGTCATGCCATGTGCAATGCATGTGTCACGTATATGCAGCTGCTTCACTACATCTCAACCTCGGTGCCATGGCGTGCTTCCAGTCTTCCAAATGCAGGTACAGTATCATTGGGGACAGCCTGCAAGAATCTGCAAGACATTCATTGCCACGGTTGAGTTTCAGCTTCCATAGTGTAAGAATATGTAAGACCTGTTAAGATAGTAGATGAACTCGATGCAGTCAGGTTCCAAGTTTGTGGCTTCTTCATCCAGGGGCTTTGTTCTGAAGAGGCGGGAAGTGACTGAACGATCTGTGACCCCTGACATGTATGATCATTAGCGACTCACTGCATGTGCATACATGACTTGGATTGACTTCGTACATTTGGTGCTTGTGCTGTTGGGCTTCAATTGGTCTTCTGTGTTTGAGCAAGTTCAACTCCAGGGACACCACATAGCTGACATTGCTTTGCATTTTATTGCCCTTTCCAAGATGGTGGGAGAGAGGAAACCTTTGCATTCTTTTGAACACTGTTTGAACTCTGTTCACTTCCTGGCCGATTCGTAGTCCCTTTTGCCAGCCCAGAATTGCTGCATATCGCATCCGTGCAAGGGCTGGGCAGAGGGAGCTTTGATAATCCAAATCCTTCAGAATTGCTTGGAGCATGGGATCCCAGAGACTGGACTGGCGTGATTGTCCCTTTTTTTGCTCTCGTTCTTTGTTACTGTTCTATCCCAGTAGTACCGCACAAGGCGGTGGCGGAAGTTTCAGAATAGGAAACCTATAGGAAAGCTTGGTTGTTGTGAATCACGGATGGCAGAGCGAATGTGCTTCGCGCCACAACGGCGTGCAACTTTTCATCGCTCATCTGGCCACATGGCTCCAAGCTTACTTTTCGACCCTCCGGAGCCACAAATCACTGGAAAAACACAGTGAATCGCGACTGTCCTACCTTTTCGCGCACCTAGATCTTCTTTCTTCTGATTTTTGTTTTCTTTGATCTTCCTTCTTCTTTTCTCTTCTCTGACTCTTCCCATCTCTGCTTTTCATCTATCCATATTGTCGGAAGTTTGACTTCTAAACTTCCTTCGATTAGTCCATATATAGCGACGGACAAACACTTAGAACATCATTTGGAAAAAAAATCTGAAAATCGTCACAGCGGGGATGTTCTAAGTATGGGTTTCAAAGAAAGTAGTTAGAACATACCCAAAACCTATACTTAGAACATTTCCAAGCTATACTTAGAACATCCCAGTGGGGAACCAATGGGAACCAATGGGAACCAATTACTAGAGACCTTCCCATTGCAGCGAAGACTGCTTGGGATATTGTTCCCGAAGAAAAGGTATAGAATGCTGTGAGGGGAGAAAGTGTTCTAAGTATGGTGTTCACCAAGGTATTTGTGTGTATATGTGCAGATTTACCAAAGTAACAGGACATGTTCTAAGTATATGTGTGTTTTAATGTTCTAAGTATGCAAAAATCAATGGAGATGTTCTAAGTATCTGTTTTTCTGATGTTCTAAGTGCGTACTTAGAAACATTTCTGATGTTCTAAGTATGGTAATTTTGATGTTCTAAGAGGAGGTTTCGAAATTTTGGAAAAATGATGTTCTAAGTATAAGTCCGTCGCAATATATAGCTCTGGTTTTGTTTGCCCCTGTTATAATTCGCGTCATAATTGATGTTGCATGGCGCTGCACGATTTGAGTATGAACAGAAGGGGTCGATGTCCCAGCAGGGTCTGGCAGGTTGCATCCTGCGTTTGGCTGTGCTCCTCCTTTTGGACATGCTTTCTTTTGGTCATGCTGGCTGCACGGGAAAAAGCAACACAATGTGACTCACAACAACACCGTACACAAACGCGACTCCCAAGTCCCTAGTTCATGGCAAAATATCACTTACTGCTCAGGCTTTTAGGCTTTCCACGGGAACATCTGGCAGAATTCGTACCAGTTGGCCTGTGCCGGCCTCAATTAGAACTGCTTCCACGGTTTTCGCCTTTGGAAACCTGGAGGAAACTCTGTGCCACAGGTTCTGTCTTTGGACAGCAGTTGCCACATGGCACGTTTCAAGAGGACTCACACACAAGACTCGCGCAACATTTGGCAATCATGTTTTGCCACCATGTGCTCGTGGAGATCTGCAATCTTTTCCCTACACTGTCTTACACAGAAAATTGCAGACCCAAGGTTAAATTCTTCAGTTCCTTTTCCCCCTTTCTGGTAGCTCACAAATCGCACAGATCGCATCTGAAACCGCACTGATACAGATACAGTACCTGAGCATACCTGAGCCTCTGATTAGTTTGCTTCAAGATCCAAGCACCATGCTTATCAGCTGTGACAGCCTCGTTGGAAACCAAGGCTTGAACTTTGGCCAGCTGAATGATTCCATGGATGTCCTCTTGCATTGAGTTAAGCCACTCTCAAGGGAGACACCCTGATCCCTGGTTAATGACGGGTCCACGGCATGAGCGTCCGCGGCCTTGCAGACAGAGGTCCAATTCCAAAGCAAAGGTTGTGATGCCGCAACGTGTGACAGTTGGTATATATTGGTATATGCTATCAAGGTATATCACGGTATATCACGGTATCAGTGAAACATCTTTAGGATGCTGTACGATGCTGTAGAATGCTGTAGAATGCCCGACTAAGATGCTTCAGGTGACTTGGAGCTTCTGGAGTGGACGTAGGTTTTGTATGGTTTTGTCATTTGTCACAAGCTTGTGGCATTCTAACGAAGAACACTTGCCGTGGCTGTGAAGCAGCACATGGATTGCATCGATTCAGACAAAAACAGAGCGTGAGGATGCGCGACGCATTTTTTTGGTGCTCTGGTTCAGATGGTTTAGTAGCTTTGATTGTGGCGCTGTTGTAGGTCTTCTGAGTCACGGAGTCCTCCGCAAGTCCCCAACTCTCAATCATTTCCCGATTGGTCGTTGTTTGCAGCCGAATGTATCTGTGATGTGTGGCTCAAGTGCTCTGTGCTGCGTAGCCAGAGAAGAAGAATGCTTGAGAGTCTCTTCACAGGAGATGTCTGTATTATTCTCCATCATCCATAGTCTTTGAGTCTGTTTCAAAGATGATTGAAGAGCTCCGGACTTCAGACCTTCATGTACTGTGATATGCTACAGCTATATATATATAATATAGTGCCATGTATAAGTAGTACACGGCACGGTTATAGATGATAAATTATATAGAATATATGACATATATATATATATGTATAATATTCTACCGTATACGTGTGAAATACGTCGGTCAGTGTGTACAATGTCTAAAGTTTTTTTTGGCAAACCAATTGTTTTTGCTGCTCCATATTTGCTTGACTTCAACTGCATGGCGTGCTTCACAGCCGCTGTTTCAAGCAGGCGTGCGCTGACCCGTTTTTGACCAGACAGAGAAGATCCTGTTAGGGGTCGTTTTCTGATTGTGATACATAATGGTTGTTGCCTCTCTACTGAGAGGAACAAATGAGTTGTGAAAAAGAAACGAGCACGCTCCCGGCATTTGAATTTTGATTTCATGCATGTTTCTACATTGTTACATTGTTTCCACCCGCTCATTTGCATTGCCAGGCCAGCTCCTGTCAAGTCAGGACTTCCAGGGCATGGGTGAATGTGGAAACCTAACGATTCAATCAGTTTTCGTTTACTATGAGTCGTCATGAGTCGTCTGATTTTCGATGCATGTCACATTAGTTGAACAGTGTGTTGAAGCCTGGATTTCTCTGTGAGTGTGAAACACGCGAAATGCCTTCTTGGCTGTGATCCCCCCTTTGAAGCGGAATGTACTGAAGCCTTCTGACACAAATAATGGCAAAGGTCACACTTTGACTGTAATCCACACGAAATTAGTCGAGCCGTGCCCTTCGGAATTGGAACAAGACAACTCAAAGTCTGCTTGTCCTGAATGTGAGTGGCAGGTGACGTGAACGCAACTCTTTTTTAGGATAAAACAGCGATCGCCTGTTTCACTCCAGCCTTTTTTGACAGTTTTGAGTGAGCCCCAGGACTAGCAAGGCAGGTTCAGCCGAAGGCACCAGGCTCCATGTCCAAAAACAGTGGGCACGCTTGGCAAAGCACCTGATCAACGGGACGCGCATTTTCATAGCTGAAACATGTACATCTCTATGATACCTGCAGATACACAGTCAGAATATGTCAGAATGCTATCAACGCGACTCGGCTTCCTGTATTATAATCGTTTTTTGTGGACCGAAGCGGTCCAAGTCCAAATCAGCAAGTTGCTCTCAAGTTCACAGCTGATGAAGATACAGGTTCTCTACTCCTGATGAGGTTCTGTCGCTTTCCATGAAGAAGGGACTTAGAGCAGAGAGCAGTTGAGAGCAGACGGATGCAGACTGCAAAAGAAGTTCTGTGAGAAAAGGAGCTCAAGTTATGAGTCCATATGATTCCTTCGACGACTTTCGGCTGTATAAGTTCTGTGGCGCGCAGGTTGGCGCTGCGATGGCAGATTCCATTTGCCGGTTGGACTTGGAGCTGCTGGAGCTGCTGGAGCTGCTCGAAGATCGATTCGACCGCGATCCATCCATCATCGATCAATGCAGCCCTTCCCATCCCTTCCCCAGATTCGACATTTTCCATATGTCTCATTATGTCTCATTATGCATCATTAATTTTCATATTTTCCATAGTTTTCCATAGTTTTCCATGTTCCTCATGTTCGAAGACATAGGTTTGACAGGGTTTGACAATCAGTAGAGTTTCTAATGGACCGCCACTCTGTGGGAGCACGTGAAGAAAATGGGAATCTTGCCTTGCCCGTTTTCCTTGCAGTTTTCTTGCAGTGCATTTTGGGTCATCCTCATTTATTGATTTTATTGGCCAGCTTGCAAAGAGGGGAAACCTGTACTAAGAAAGAATCAGGCAATTTGGACCTGTGTGTGCATAGTTTCGCTCATAGATTGTGCTGTGGATTCCTACCGTTCAACTAAAGATACTTTGAACATCTTTGAACAAACCATGTGCGTCAGGATTGTCATGAATCGCACTTCAATGGTACCAGCATGCTTAGTTTGTTTGCTGATTACACTTACACTTACTGGCCAGGTTTTTTCATGAACACATATATTATACATTTTATATCATTTCATGATATTTGTAACCATATATACGTATATGTGAAGCAAATACCATTTGCGCATGACAATAAACAAGGAAGACATGGAGGAGGTGGAATGTAACATATGTAATTAATGCCATTTTGGCTGCAAGGCCACGGATTGTGGCATGGGATTCTTTTGTTTTTTTGAGGGTGGTAGGTCATGTCCGCGAGTGCCTTGCCATCCTCTTCAGACTTGCAGGGTGTGGGCTCAGTCGACGACATCCTGCAGACCTTACATGTGGCTGATCCAGTGTGGCAGGCCTTTCTACATCAAGTTGGTGACCCAGGACCTCACATCAGAGTCCTGGCGGCGCTGCCCAAAGGCGTAGTGGTTCAGGGCTGTGTTCAGGCCACTTTAGCCACGGGCGAAATGCTGTCAGCTATGCAAGCCACTCATGTTGGATTGGTCTGGCGGACTTGTAGGAAAGTCATCCACATCTGGGCCGGACTTCCTGAAGAATCCTTCGTGGACGTGGACCCATGGGCTACGGATTTGGACGACAAGGTGAAGGCCACATCTCCTTCGAAGGTGGATGCCTAGGTGACCCAGGTCAAGGAGCGCGTCCTGAAGATGGCGAATGTGGTGGATCAGGCTGATGATTCAGAGTTGTTGCTGGCTTCCAGAGCAGAGCTGGACAGATGGGCAAACGCCTATGTGGCCGTGATGGGAGCCGCCCCGCTTGAAGAAGAAGAACCCAACGAAGCACAACTTTCTGCTCTCCATAGGAGGGTCCACGTGTTGAGACAGCCTCCTTATGCTGACTTTGGGGTGTGGCTCCCTTTTGCCCGTCGAACTCAGAAAGCACAAAAGTTCAGGGCATACATGCCTGTTGGAGACGGCACGTACGTTGTGAAGGAGATGCCTGGACCGCAAAACATGCTGCAGTGGATGTCATCCTGGAAGGTTTACAAGGTGGCCCTCATCATGCTGGACGTGGTATCCTTGGCGGCCCTTCAATTGTATGAGAAGACGATAGAAAGGTTGGTCATGCAGTGGCCCAGATGCTGGCACCTCATCGTGCTGGCGGACGACAAGGGTCGGGCTGAACGGCTTGAGAAGTGGCGCAGGCGCTACATGATTGAGGAGGACGGAGGACGACCGGTCCCAATGGATTGGAGCAAGGAGAAGCCGTGGACTTCATGCTTCAAAGCCCTGGCCCTCGACAACGAGTACTGGGATGAGCAGGTTAGACATCCGGCAGCCTCATGGTTGGTAAGCGGTGGACGTGGTGTAGCATTGGCCCCAGCTGAGCAGGTCGCTTTGGCCCATCTTCCTGGAGGACTCGAGGCTTTGGAGGTCGACAAGGAAGAGGGGGGCGAAACCAGAAAGAGGCAATCCAACCGCGACAGAAGGTTGGCCCGCACCAAAAGGATCAAGCAGGAGCGGGAAGAGCTGGACAAGTTGCGGAAGTCGAATGGTGGAGGACAAGCTGCAGGTTCTTCAAAGGCGAGGGGCAAAGGGAAGAGCAAAGACCAGGCGGGGGTCCAGATCTGTTATTCCTTTGCAAACGGATCTGGGCCCTGTGGTAGCCTGGAACCCGGAGCCCCTTGTGTTCAGGCTCAGAAGAGGGCCCATAAGTGTCAGCATTGCCTCTCTCCTGGTCACAGAAACAGTGACTGCCCGAAGAAGGCTTGAGGGAGCATCGAAAGCCAAACGGTTTTCGCCCACAGCCTGCCCCAAGGATGGGCTTTGGGGACTCCTGGATGAATGAAAAGGGGAGGGGTCAATGGGGCCGGTTTCATGACGGTTGAAGATTCAAGTTTTGTTTGGTTTCTCTTTGGAAGTTTCATTTACTGGTAGTGTGTTGGATTGATGCTTTGATTGTCTGCAGCTGAGGGCAATGCTCAGCAGCAGTAGTAGCGAAAGTGAGGCCCCAGACTTCGGTGGCCACTCGCCGGAGGGGGGGCCGAATGATGGCGTGGCGACTGAGGCTAACGCCGTGCCGATCGGGGGCTCCACGGAAGCAGGCGCGGTGGACAAGATCAAGACAGAGCCAGCCGTGAAGGCAGAGGCACCGCAGCCATGCGCGGAAGTGTGGTGGCCAGAGAGGGTCACAGAGGCGCTGAAGTCCTCTGTGGATTTTGCGGAGTACAAGAAGAAGAGGATCTTCACCTTCGCTCACTTCTTCTCGGGCAAGGAGGATGTCCTGAGCGCGGCCGTGCGGAGGCTGGCTTCCCTGGATGGGATCACGCTAAAGTGCTACTCCTTTGATCTGGAAGGGGAGCACGCGACGGACCTCATGAAGGAGCAGCCCTATGGGGACATCCTGGACAACTGCCGCAATGGGGAGTTGGACGCGGGCCATGCTGGGCCGCCCTGCGGTTCCTTCTCAGTGGTGCGACATAGACCTGGAGGACCCCCTGCAGTCCGCAACCTGGAGTGGATATACGGGCTGCCATCCAACTCACCTCAACAGCAGGCTGAAGCCGACAAAGGTTCTCTCTTGGCCATCAGGTCCACGCTCCTCCTAAGCGAGATAGTGCAATCGCAAAGGAGGCGCAAAGTGCCGGAAGCTGCAACACTTGAAAACCCTCCGGGAACTGAGACCCAAACGGAGGGGTCGATGTGGGCACTGCCTGAGGTGGCCGACTTCATGGAGAAGTTCCAATGTGTGAAGGCTTGGTTCAACTCATGCGCGTTTCAGCGCAAGGAGAGAGTCAGGTGGCTGAAGCCTGCGCAATTTGGTGGGCGTTTGAGTGGCCTGGAGTCTTTGAGGAGGAAGTGCTCGTGCCCCAGGGATTTCCAACATCAGGTCTTGGTGGGCAAGCGGAGGACGAGCGAGTCAGCCAGGTATCCCAATGACTTGGCCATGGAGTATGCGCGGCTCTTGATACAAGTCTTCAGAACGACTCTCAATCTGGAGTGGTGGCGCCACCTGGAGAAGTATCATCGCGCTGAGCTCACACAGATCCAACGCAACTGGATACGCTCCAAGGAGAAGCACACGGCCCAGGAAGTTGACGAGGACGTCATGAAGCACATGCGGGGCAACAAGCGCTCGTGGGGAGAGGAGGACGTGATGATGGACCATCTCCCGGACTCAAGCAGGGACACCAAGAAGGCCCGGAGAAACTTCGAGAACCAGTACTTCGTGGGGGGCATGCTTGGAGGATCAGCCTGGTTAGTAAGTACTTATGATATTTACTATGTACTTGAGGTACTTAGTGCACTTATGGCTAAGTTAGATAGCACACTTAGCTTTGAGCCACTTAGCGGACTTAGCTAAGTCTACTTAGCGTACTTAGGCTAAGTGGGCTAAGTCACTTAGACAGCTTCAATCCTAAGTCCCCTAAGTGACTTATATGTACATGTAACTACATTTTTTTTGAAGTATGTTGATTTTTTTGTAGCTCTACAATGAAAAAATGTAATAGTAAAATGAAAGCATAATGCCAGAAAAAATCAGCATGCAACTAAATTTTATCTCGCAAGTACATGTGAAAAAGAAGGTCACATATTTTTTTGGTGGGTCGGTTGGATTCATGACCGTGCTCAAAATCATGAAGTTGTTTTGATATAGTTACACAGGACCATGTTTGGTATATGGATCAAAGTATATAATGACATGGACACATATAGTAATGAACCAATATTGAAAGACTCATGCATGTTTTCCAGACAAACCTGCGAGCACAGTGCCCGCTAGGTCAGGCCAGCGAGCCAAGCCCGACTGCAGCCGAAAACAACCCTTGGCATTTTCAAGTACTAAAATAAAAACAATGCAATAAGGAAAATGTCACCAATGGATTGATCAACATGATGTTTTGTAGCTATATACCAGCCAGCAAATCCACATGTCATATATCCACACGCCAGCATGTAAACCGAACATGTCTCATTATAACAAGGCCAACATATCTATATTTAACACATGTGAAATATTCATCCAACCAACAACAACACCCCGATCCCCAGAGAAAAGTTGTAACGAAGTCGATGGACACGATGAAGCACCTGCAGGAGAGACAAGGTGCAAGAGAGAACTTGCAACCAACAACAAACCAACAACAAGAGGTGAGATACACCAGGCTGACATATACTCTGACAGACCTGTGATATATATTGTGACTGCGAAAACACTGAAGCACCAATGATGTCGATTCAAACATTGAAAATGTGCCATCAAAGTTGGAACGCCCATTAAGCTGAGTGCAGTCGGCAACTGCCACTTTGTGATCATGAAATAATCTGTTGCATAAAAACTACAGGAAACAACTGTGGGTATTAAACTGCGACCGGTAAAAGTCATCTCAAACATGCAACACTACGATTGCAAACACTGAAGCAGCTTGGGCTAAGCTCGCTGCTTGCACCATTGTCGGGTTACACTCGCAGGTGCGTTGTTGGAAAAATGTTGCAACATCTCTTGATGGCTTCAACAGTGCGTGGAAACCCAAAAGTGACCTGGAGCAGTGCAAGGTAAGAAACCATGATTTTTCTTTGATGGTCGTATAGGTACTTCTGTGCGACCATTTGTTGTCACGATGCTACTTGGTATACATGGCAAATACTATACACTTCAACGAGTTCCCATGCGCCATCGGCTATACCTGAAGACTCAGGCAATGAAGCCACACCACATTGATCAAACTATTCAACATTATGTTGCACCAATATAACAAATCTGAGGTTTCATCCATATAACACACATGTACCACTGAGAGCATACAACCTGGTGTGGTTTTCGTAGCTGTCATTGCCTCTATGATGTTGGCTAGCCATACCTGACTTGAAATAAAAGCCAGTGAAACGAGCCCTTATAGAAAACACCGAAGCACACATGATGAGTCGGAACGCCCATTAAGCTGAGTGCAGTTGGCAACTGCCACTTTGTGAGCATGATATAATATGTTGCATATTTATTCTTTTACATTATTTTTGCCACAGTGTTTGCCGGGCTGATTACGCCTGCTGATCCAGCCAATTCTGCATCGCATGGTGTCCATGGTTAAGTATGGTTATTTCATGAAGTTTTAAGTTATATAAGTTGGGTTAAGTTATATTTCTTAAGTGCAAACTACCCTCACAGTGTGAAGTTAAGTTGGGACAAATACTGAAACTCATGGTTATTTCCTATTTCTTCTCCATGTCCATTGGTTGGATTAATCGACCATGCCCTGGAGAGCATGCGAGCGATGCCCGACAATGCCACAAACGCGAGCACAGCCCGCGGTCGTTGGTGAAAAGATCCAAAAGCACATGGGCAAGCCTGATGTAATACTAAGTTCATGCAAATTGTTGTTGCGCATGTGTAGTCATGGGAACATGTTTGAGCCTATATATGGAGCATGCGAGCGAGGCCCGACAATGCCACAAACGCGAGCACAGCCCGCGGTCGTTGGTGAAAAGATCCAAAAGCACATGGTGTCATTGTGAACGTGAGGTGATGGCTGCACATGGATGTGTCAATGTTGCCAACATCATTTTGTAACTGCAAGGCTCAGAATATCCATGTGAGACCCTTGGCACCGGTCTTCCCATGGCGCGCGTATTGCCCACCTGCAGTTGAAGGTGGTGATGCACATAGTCCTGCAGCGGGGGCAGATCGGGTGTGTTGAACCGACATCATGCTTGGGAATTAGACTTGACCATCCAGATTCATAGAACTACAGCCTTCAAAATGGTGGTTGGATTGATTTTTTTTACCATCCATCTGGGAACCACGACCTTTGACCTGATCATTGCAATCTTCAAAGTAGATGTAGTTGATGTCCAACCTCAAAAGTTCTTATCATAGTTTTGGGAATCTCAACATTTTGCACTTTTGTGATTTCACATAGTCCTGCACATAGTCCTGTCACTCCGAACTTAAAGTTTGAGGATGGTCAATTCCATCATTCCAGTGACAGTGATGTTTTACCACCGTCATTCCAGGTGATTCCTCACCATTTCAACTTCTGGGTAATTTTTTCAATGACAAAATGGGCTCCACTGTTGTGTGATCATCACAGTCTGCACTGATAGCTGTTATTTCACTAACCTGATTGGGTTCGCAGTGAGGTTGGCATTATTTTTACCCAGACTCAAAACTAACTCAAAATTTGAGGATGGTCAATTCCATCATTCCGGTGACAGTGGTGTTTTACCACTGTCATTCCAAGATTAAATTCCATCCATTAAAGGCCACTGTCCAAATCCCACATGTTTGAGAATGACGGAGTTCAAATGAAACAACAACTACTGCATTCCAAGCTTTTCCAGTGGAACTTCTAGTCTTTATGGATGGATCCAGCCGCACCTCGTCCACACCCAGCTGCTCACCTGATCCCAATCATGTTCATCTCGCACCATGGCTTCAAGGCCGTCCCGATCCACGCAACAGTACATCAGGCAATGGAACCTCAATGAAGGCAATGGAAAATGTGCAATGTCACGCAATGTCAATGGCACGCCCAAAACCAGCACATGAAAAAATTCAACAAACCTGAACCTTTACCTGACTCTAAATATACAACTTAGACAACCCAATGCAATTTAGCAGCAAATGCCAAGCAAAGAGCTCGACAACATGAACACTCCAGTGATCATCGCGAAGCTGCAGCATCCCAGCATAGCTTTCATACCATCTGCCGCGCGCAAGGTAGCCCACGTCATGGATATAGTTTGCAGTTCCTGGGATCTGCAGGAGCATCACCGTAGCGGCGATGGCCACCGGACGGTGGCCAAGTGACATGTCCTGCAAGTCTTCACGGCGTTGATGGTATATGTCTTCACCGACAGTGAAATGCCCATCCTTCACGTGCTGAAGCAGATCCAAAGCCATACCATTTCTGGATAGGGTATGGAAGCACCAATCGGCTCGTCGCCAGTGATATAGGGCCCTGTCCGCAAGGACTTTCTGTTGTTGATGGCAACTTCGGCATGCAAACTTCCATTCGGCCTGCTTTCCATTGGCATGGATGGACTTCCTTTCGGGACTCCTTCACAGAGTGACACAGTGGACAAAACAGGGGCTCCACTGCCGGAGTCATCGCCAATGAAACCATTGCCATGGCAACAGAAAACAACGGAGAGGTGACAATGGCGGGGTGACAGTTGACAGGTGGATGCCAAAATGGCTGCAGGAGTGAAAAAATGGAACAACACATTTGTCGGTTGACAAAGTTGACAGATCTGAGCTCCATGTGTGATCAACCCAAAATGAAAACAAATTTGATGCTGCAGCGGTGAAAATGATGCCCAATATTTCCCAGCCTCAAACCATTCCATGATCACAGTGTTGATGTTTGGAATCCTGCCATTGAAAGAATAGCAGAGCTGCAAAACTGCACACCAGAAATTGGCTAGTTACTGGTTCAAGTCAATGATGGTGAAGTAAAAAAACATCGCTTGCTTACAACAGTCCTTGTCTGATCCCATTCCGCCTGCTGATCCAGCCAATTCTGCATCGCACGGTGCCCATGGTTAAATATGGTTATTTCATGAAGTTTTAAGTTATATAAGTTGGGTTGAGTTATATTTCTTAAGTGCAAACTACCCTCACAGTGTGAAGTTAAGTTGGGATAAATACTGAAACTCATGGTTATTTCCTATTTCTTCTCCATGTCCATTGGTTGGATTAATCGACCATGCCCTGGAGAGCATGCGAGCGATGCCCGACAATGCCACAAACGCGAGCACAGCCCGCGGTCGTTGGTGAAAAGATCCAAAAGCGCATGGGCAAGCCTGATGTAATACTAAGTTCATGCAAATTGTTGTTGTGCATGTGTAGTCATGGGAACATGTTTGAGCCTATATATGGAGCATGCGAGCGAGGCCCGACAATGCCACAAACGCGAGCACAGCCCGCGGTCGTTGGTGAAAAGATCCAAAAGCACATGGTGTCATTGTGAACGTGAGGTGATGGCTGCACATGGTTGTGTCAATGTTGCCAACATCATTTTGTAACTGCAAGGCTCAGAATATCCATGTGAGACCCTTGGCACCTGTCTTCCCATGGCGCACGTATTGCCCACCTGCAGTTGAAGATGGTGAAGCACATAGTCCTGCAGCGGGGGCAGATCGGGTGTGTTGAACCGACATCATGCTTGGGAATTAGACTTGACCATCCTTCAAAATGGTGGTTGGATTGATGTTTTTTTACCATCCATCTGGGAACCACGACCTTTGACCTGATCATTGCAATCTTCAAAGTAGATGTAGTTGATGTCCAACCTCAAAAGTTCTTTTCATAGTTTTGGGAATCCCAACATTTTGCATTTTTGTGATTTCACAAAATGGCACTATGCCATTTTGTAAGTTTTCAAAATTGACAATTTTGCATTTTTGTGCATGCCATTTTGTGATTTCACAAGTTTTCAAAATTGATTTTTGTGCCATTTCACAACAAATTGTGATTTCACAAGTTTTCAAAATTGATTTTGTGCAATCACAAAATGGTGTGATTTCACAAGTTTTCAAAATTGACAATTTTGGATTTTTGTGATTTCACAAAATGGCACCCTGCCATTTTGTGAAATCACAAAAATGCAAAATCTATTGTGATTTGCCTGAACCTGAAAATAACTAAGGAGGGGGGGAACTCTCGCCAATTTTTTCCGGCAACTTTTTTGAAAATTAAGTTCCACAACTGACCAGGCCTGAATTTCCGTGGTTGGCCCACCTGGAAAACCAAGCAACAGTCATCGTTTTTTCAACATGTTGGATCATCATTTTTTGGCATCCATTTAGGAACTGTTTATGTTTTTTCCCTACTTGGAGCAATTTCAGAAACCCATTCAAGCAGCTTGCAACCTCATCCACCGATGAATCTCCCACCCAGCACTCACGTCGTGATATTCTGTTTTTTTCTCACGCTGTGATGTTTGCGGAGGAAATCTTGAGGCCATGCATAGGCTTCCACAACAAAGCGCTGAGATGAAATCTTGATATGACAATGTCAAACTGCAAAATTACAGTAAAACCAAAAACAATTTGGTCGAATGAGTGCAGCTTGCATTCCCAAAATCAAAACATAATATTCTTGCCATGGTAGCCCCTGTACGTTTTGAAATTCAGGTCGCCATGTGATCACGATAGTGCACGCGACATTCTGCTGTTGAAGCCTTATACTGCAAAGATTTTGTTGATATTCCAACCAACCTTTCTCACAGACCCTTATTTTAAAAAACTGTTGCAACATCTCTTGACGGCTTCAACAGTGCATGCATGGAAACCCACAAGTGACCGGGACCAGTGCAAAGTAACAAAACATGATCTTTCTTTGATGGTCGTATAGGTACCTCTGTGCAAACATTTGTTGAAACGATGCTACCTGGTACATGACAAATACTATGCACTTCAATGAGTTCCCATGCTTCATCAGCCAGTATACCTGAAGATTCAGGCAATGAAGCCACATCACATTGATCAAACTATTCAACATTATGTTGCATCAATATAACAAAGCTGAGGTTTCATCCATATAACACACATTTACCACTGAGAGCATATAAGCTGGTTTGGTTTTCGTAGCTGTCACTGCCTCTATGATGGTGGCTGGCCATACCTGACTTGAAATAAAAGCCAGTGAAACGAGCCCTTATAGGAAACACTGAAGCACGCATGATGAGTTGGAACGCCCATTAAGCTGAGTGCAGCTGGCAATTGCCACTTTGTGAGCATGATATAGTATGTTGCATGTTTTTGTTTACATTGTTTTTGCCACAGTGTTTGCTGGGCACATTGCGCCTGCTGATCCAGCCGATTCTGCATCGCACGGTATCCATGGTTAAATATGGTTATTTCATGAAGTTTTAAGTTATACAAGGTGAAGGGCTGGATCAGCTATAACGTTTCGACCATGCCCTGGAGATCACAGGATGCTCTCCAGCGATCTAGCCAGAGAGCCCATGATCTCCAGGGCATGGTCGATACGTTCCCCCTGCTCTTGCCGCTCCATGGCCATCTGGCGATTTGCCTGGGCCTTCTGGTACTTCCAGCCTCCACGCCTTCGGTTGCTTGCATCTCTGATGCGCTTCTGCCTTGGAGCGGCCAAGGGCATGAAAACACATATCATCCTCATGATGTCTCAACACTGTGAACTGCACCTAAACTATGCATACTTCAAAAGCATATCCAACAAGATGAGATTTGGGAAGTAGAATGTAAACCAACTTCGCTAGAACTTTCACTGAAGGCACGCCGGGAACACCTACATGTTGTTATAATGTAATATGTCTATGCTGTGTCCAATAAGAAAGTACAAACAACAAAGGTGAAGGCCAACGACTGTGTTGCCTTGAAGTATTGCAATAGTATTGCCTGCGAGCATAGCCCGCAAAGGCAGTGCAGCGAGCAAGGCCCGCCTGCACCCTTCGACAAATATATAGTTTCTGAGAATTTTGGGTCTATAGTCTATTCATTGCAAAGAAAAATAACTACCAAACAAAAACGACCATGCTGAAAAGGACAAGATTCGGCTGGTTCTCGCCATCCTTGTGCCACTCCATGGACCAGCTGACCTCTCGGTTCCTGGGAATCGCAAGCATGGGTCGCTGGTTGCATGCATGCATAGAAAATTTTGCATGTTCATAACATGGTCTGCCCTGCAAGGACCATGGATTCTGAAGTTTAAAAAACCTTCTCACTGGTTCGCTGCCCTGAACAAAGTATATAGACCTTTGCTAAATGACTGCTGTATAAAAAAATATATAGTGGCAAAAACTTAAAATATACAAAGCATGCAGCCTAGAATCGCGCTCCATCCATCTGACTGAACCGTCTGCGACATGCATGCAGTGGCATGGTGCCAGTTGGCGCCATCTGCATGCCACGCGGTCTGGCTCTGGGAGGCATCTCCATGCTGCCAGGTCTGCCAGGAGCCATCAGCATCGTGCTGCAACATTGCAGCAGGGGTCTTCCAGCTGTTGGAGGCATCTCCATGCTGCCAGGTCTGCCAGGAGCCATCAGCATCGTGCTGCAACATTGCAGCAGGGGTCTTCCAGCTGTTGGAGGCATCTCCATGCTGCCAGGTCTGCCAGGAGCCATCTGCATCGTGCTGCACCATTGCAGCAGGGGTCTTCCAGCTCGAGCTGGGAGAGCTGCAGCTCTCATCGTCCACATTGACCACGGCCACATGCTTCGGCGGCGGCTGCCCTTTCGGGTGTGCAGGGCGAGGTCTTGGCATGGCCTTGACCTTTATGGTCTTCACTGCAGTTGGTGCTGGCGGTGGTGGTGGTGGTGGTGGTGCAGGAAGCACGCTGCCACCACCACCACCACCACCACCTTCATGCGCTGCATCATCGGCTGCTTTCGGCGCATCAGCCGAGGCACCTACATCAGTGGCTGCTTTTGGTGCATCAGCCGAGGCACCATCATCGGCAGTCCATGCATCAGCACTGCATCTTGGTGCAGCATCCATCGCCACCGCCTCTGCTAAGTTCCCCTCCATGAACTTCTGCAGGAAGCTGCCAGGGACGTAGCCTGCATGCAGAAGCGTGGAAACAAATTGCCAAACCCGCAATGAGTGAAGTAAATATGTTTATTGCCCCGTCCAACATGCAATGAGTGAAGTGTATGTTTATTGCCCCGTCCAAAAAAACTGCATTTGAAACATAAGTGGTTCCCATTCTTTCGGCCGCGCCTTCTGGGACAGCAACATCCTCTAGCACCTTCGAAGCAGAGCCGCGAACTGGCAAGCGGTCCACCTTCGAAGCTTCCACAGTGTCCATCACGTTGCCCAAAAGGTCACGGAGAACTGCAAACAACATTTGTTGGAGTGAACTGTCCAGGGCAATGCATTTTTGATGTTTTAAGAACATATAGCGGTATACTGTAATCAATTAAATTGTAGGTTTTCCCCAAAGGGAAATGGGGAGTGAATCTATATATCGGCGACCCTGCTATATGATACCATGCGTCAAGGTGGGTATATTACTAAATATAAATCATAAAACAAGTGACAATTGACCTATACACACAACAAAAGGTGCCGACATGTCGCTGTCTTCATGACATGCGCTAAGCCAGGAGGAATGCAGCAGTTTGTGAACATGTCATGGTCTCATGCCTGTAGCTTGCATCAATAAAATTGGAATTTCTTTCAAGGGATGGATGATGCTGATCTCTTCTTCACATTAATTTTATCTTCTTGTTTTTTCAAACCAAATTTCATTGTACCTTCGAACCTCACCAGGCCCTCCCCCATAGTGTCCTGTGGGGCCAGCTGAGCTGCGGAATCATTCAGTAGCCTGCGTGGGGCGGTGAGCAAATATCATTATAGAACTCGAACATGTTTTGCTTGGTTTAGGTCATGCATGCTGGGAAGCAACCACAAAATATATTGGGCCACATTGAAATCCACATGGAAGCAAAACGGCATCCATGGCCCTACCAGAAAGTCTGAACGAAGTTAAGTCAAAAAGATCGTGTTTTTACTCCATGTAGCATGCCTTCACGAATGTTTCTGGCAAAAAATGCGTATATCATTTTAACATGTTTGAAGACAATGCGGTTTGAAGCTTATCCCTGCGAGCAGGCCCGCAAAGGAAGTGCGGCGAGCAGAGCCACGCCAGCACCAAGTGAAGTGGCCAAAGCTGAAATATAGTTCGAATCAAAACAAGCTACATAGTGAAATTATGATCTTGCAGGATAGATCAGGCGTGGAAGGTGGCGAACAAAACGCCTAGTGCACCTCGGTGAAGATCTCCTCCACAAGCTAGTCATGGCTGGCCTGGGCAGTGCCGAAAATGAATGCAAAAAGCCTTGGCGGGAATGAACAAAGATGAAAAAACAAACTTGGCTTGACCCATGAAACAATCAGATTTCCCAAGCCGTTCCCAGCGAATATGGTCTTTGAAACTCAAGCAATCAAAAAAAATGCAAAATGAAAGCCATTTGATTGAAAACGTCTCTGCAGAGCAAAGGTCTGCATTCATAACAATTAAGTGGGCAGCACGCCTTCTCATCCCAACTGATTCTTATAAGGCCTGGAATCAAAACAGCGTCAGCCAGCAAAACAGCCTGGGCACCCGCACCAAAATCGTAAAACAACAAGCCTTCAAAACATGTCACCTATTGCAAAGGAGTGTTGAACCAAAAAACGGCGAATGAAACAATCAAATGATTCCACTTGCAAACGTGCGGCAGCCATTGAGAAAAAACGTTTCATGCCATGCATGCCCCTCTTCATGCAGCATAGACCATGCATGGCAACCTCCAAAAAAAACAGCAAATGGTTATATATGTCGCATTTCCCGAATAATTATAAAAGAAAGATGCCAAAATGTTGATTTGTGGACAATTATTTGGTTTGAGTTGTTTTTCCATGACAAACAAAGCAAAAAATAATCGAACAAATCAAAGCTCGAAGCCAGGCAGGCCGACACATGCCTCTGAAAATCAAGGCTCACATCTCACAAACAAAGCTTGCAAGGCCCAAACTGGCAAGGTTATGTATGTTGTTTTAGCTCAAAAAGCATCTTCCTATAAGTAGGCTAAGTGACTTAGGCTCCATGCTCTGTAAGTGACTTAGCCCACTTAGAACTAAGTAGGTTAACCTACTTAGGCGACTTAGCTATAAGTCCGCTAAGTAGCCTAAGTCAATTAGCCATAAGTGGGCTAAGTTGCGTTGTATTTTTATATCTACTTACATAAAATAGTATCTAGATAGGCTAAGTGCTATGTACTTAGCTAAGTGGACTATGTGTCACCAATGACTTAGTCAACTTATATGTAGACTTAGGCTACATATAAGTATACTTAATGGACTTACTAAGTACATTACTAAGTATGCTAAATATCATAAGTACTTACTAACCAGGCTGATTCTCCAAGTGAGGAACCCCAGCGTTGCCGTCAAGCGACTGGGGCTGGTGAAAGAAGCGGGGCAAGACATCTTGCGCTTGTGGAACGCCTTCCTGAAGGAGAACCCTGCGGCCTTGGAGGCGGCGAGGTCCTACGGCTCAGACTGGACGCTGCACTTGGGAAAGCTTCTCAAGGTCGAGACCGAGCCGGCGGTCAACCTGAAGGGCAAGTTTGGGTTCAAATCCCCATTGAACGCTCCGATGTGGAAGGCCTGGCAGAAATTCTCCCGGGACCCAGACGAACACCTACATGTTTGGGCGGTGACAGGTGCCCCGCTGGGGATGGATGCACGCATCCCGGAGTCAGGAGGAGTCTTTCCGCCTGTTGGAGATGAATCGGAACAGGCTCAGTTGGCCCCCGAGTTGGAGGTGCAGTTGGGCATGGGCAACTACAAATCCATGCAGGACGACGTGGAGGGGGCCCAGCAGGAGTTGGACCGATTGGTGTCAAGAGGCTTCGCCGTCTACCTGACGAAGGAGGAAGCAAAGCAGAACTTCCATCGGGCCATCATGAGCCGTTTGGCCCTCATCACGAAAGTGAAGGACACGGGAGTCAAGAAGCACCGCATCATCAGCGACCTCTTGCGCTCCGGAGGCAATGACCGAGCCAGAGTACCAGAGAGGATCATATTGCCGAGGATTTCAGATGTGGTCGGCTCCCTGCGGGATTTATACAAGCAGCGCTTGGCCAACCAGCAGACTGGGGGATGGCAATTTGAGCTCATCAGTGCGGACTTGGCGGACGCCTACATGCACTTCGGGGTCCATCCATCAGAGTTGCAGAACTGCTTGGCCCCTGGGTTGAAAGAGGATGAGCTGGTCTTGTTCAAGGCAATGAGCTTTGGCTTCAAGGGGGCTCCGCTGGTGATGGGCCGCCTATCGGCAGCAGCGATGCGCCTCTTCCAAGCTATGATGCCCGAGGCACAGGGCCAGATTCAATGCTACATGGACGACCCCCTGATGGTTCTGCAAGGGCCGGTCGACGAGCGCCAAGCGATCCTAGCCATGCTGCTGTACACGGCCCACGCCTTTGGCCTGCAATTGTCCTACAGCAAGGCCGACAGGGGGACCAAGCTCTCTTGGATAGGGGTCAGCATCGAGGTCGACGAGCAGAACAAGCTGATCATCCTCAGCCCTCCAGAGAAGCTGGTTACTGAGGTCACCTTACGGCTGAAGACGTGGGAAGCCATGGTGAGCCTGAAGTCGCTGAAGTCGACGACCGGCAAGCTGAGCTGGATTGCGGGGATCATCCCGCGGTGCCGCTGGGCGGTCTCCATCCTCTACGGCGTCATCGCGGACCACGAGCGGGATGTGGCTTCTGGAGCCGAAGCACGGCGATCCGCAGCCAGGGAGGATCCTCGAGATAAGGCGCACTTGGTCCCGGCTAAGAGGATGAGGTTGGCCAAAGAGTGGCTCCTGAAGATGCTGGAGACTGAGGAGGTCTGGCGCTCTCGAAAGATTTCCTTGATCGAAGAGGCGCCCTTGTTTGCGGTCACCACAGATGCCTCACCGTTGGGGGTGGGGGCCGTCCTTTCAGCTATCGACCACAAGACGCAGAACCTCACCCCACTGTCGGCAATTCGAGGCAAAGTGACAAGAAATGTGGCCTCAACGTTGGGCATCCAGCACGGGGACCCTTCAGGCCAAGCAGTCCTAGAAGCTTGGACGGTGCTGCTGGCGATCCGCTACTGGGTGTTCAGGCTACGAGACCAGAAGGTCTTGTTGAAGGCGGATTCGACGGTGGCTCTGGCGATTTCAAAGAAACTGGCTTCAGCCACCCCAACTTTGAACTGGATTGGGGCCGAATTGAGCCTAACCCTCGAAGCCTTCAACATGGGTGAGCTGACGGTCCACCATTTGGCGGGCAAGCTGAACGTGGTGGCGGACCATTTGTCGCGGCCTGACAAGGCAGGCGACCCGCCAGAACTTGAAGGAGTCCAAGTTCGAGCCATGAATGAGGCTTGGATGCTGGACTGCCGACTGCCCCCGCCTGGAGTGCAGTCGGAGCTGTGGGGAAAGACCCCAGGCCTTTTGCAGGTCTTCGACAACCTGTAAAAACAGGGTTGTTGAGCTGAAAAGCGGACGGGGGGGGAAGCTTGACAGGTTGGAAGTGGATAACTTGTTCCCCCCCGTTTTGATGTGGTTCCTTCATGATTTCACCACATGCCACTGCTTGTGCCGGTAGCCCTTTTATGTCAAGATGGAGGTGGCCCCATTTGACGGGGGGTACGACGACTCCACCCTGTCTTGGGCACAATTGATAGGAGTCGGCGTATGCTTGCTCTTCTGCAGCGGCGTCGGGGCCACAGCGATGTGGTGCCTCATGGCTTGCTGGGCGCGGTGGCACACCAAGAGGCAGGATTTGGCGCCCAAGATGAAGGAGGTTTGCAAAGAAGGAGACTCCTTACCGCCTTATATCCCCCCATTAGTGAGGGATCAGGGCTCGCAGACAGACCAGGTGAGTTGCTCCAGCTCCTCCCCAAGGCCACGACAACTGGAAACTCCCAGGAAAGCCGTCAGGAAGGACATCCTGCTGGATATGGCCCGCAGAGCCCAGCCGGTAATCCAGGAGGTCGAGGCCAGGAAGAACTGGTCGGTCCAGAAGGTGGGCTCCGCTTCCCAAGGCGAACTTTGCTGACCAAGCTACACATGTAAGGGACTACTCCAAGGAGGGTCGAGTGGGATGCTATCTGACCCAGGGGACATGTTGGGCTCGTTGCTTGGGAATTCCAACAGCGGTCGACAAGTTGAAGGAGCTCCGGTTGAATCAGCCCCCCTAAGAATCAGCAAGAAAGGGGGATCAGTAGCGGAGGCGATCAGAATCTCAAGACTGGGTTCCTTCCAAAAGAAGGTGGCGCTGTTTAGGAACAGGTTTTTCGCGGCCTCTTCAACAAGGGCCAGAGCGTGTAAGAGAGCTGAGGTCCTCAAGCTGGCGAGGTCGGTGAAAGGGTCGGGCAGTGTACTGCCGCTGAGCAAGGAGACGGTGGAAGCTGTGGCCGCGGCACTCAGGGAGTCAGGTATGAAGTCGGGTACGCAGTACCTGGTCGAACTCAGACTTATGCACATCGAGGCTGGCTACGAAGTGGAGGCCTGGTTGAAGAGGACCTTCGATCTTTGTAAGAAGGCCTTGGACAGGCTCAAGGGCCCACCCATTCGAGCCGCTGAGGTCAAAATTGCGGACTGGGATGGAGAAGCGCTGCAAGCCAGAGCGGTGGGAAAGGGTCTCCCGGAAACACCTCGGCTAGCGTTTGCATGGGCTGCTATCTGGATGTTGAGGGAGATAGAGATGCGCAAGATGAAGCTTCAGGACATCACCTTTCCCGGGGAGAACCGATGGATCACAATTTGGCTGCCAACGTCAAAGTGCGACCAGGAGGGACGGGGAGTTAGACGGACGTTGAGGTGCTGTGGCAAGACTCCCTGTACCCCTTTGTGCCCGTGGGCGTTGGGCTGGAAAATCGTGGAGATCGCAAGAGCTAAAGGAGCTCTCCCGGGTTCAGCTTTGTTTGCGTCCTGGAACAACCTGAAGGAGACGTCCAAAGCAGGCAACATCAAAGCATGGAAGGCCCACTTGGGCGAACAGGTTTCAGGGCATAGTCCGAGAAGGTCGGGAGCCATGTATTACGTCAGGGCGGGTCTACCAATCCAGGAGTTAGCCTTCTTGGGCAGGTGGAAGTCAAATGTGGTGCTTCAATATGCGGAAGAGGCACTGCAAGAGAAAGCCATCCTCGTGCCCAGCTTCCATGGCTCTGAGCCCGGTGACTCCGAGGACAAGATGAAGGACCTCCCTGATCCAAGTCAAGTTATGAACATGGCAGCACCAGCCACTCCGGCCCTTACGGCAATGATCCCAAGACCGGCCCAGAACGAGACAATCCCAGGCTTGCTCAACTGACTCAAGTCACCTCGTGACTTATGGGTAGTGACGAAAGGAAGGGGTTGGAAAAATCGACCCCGTCACCTAGTGACGAAGGCCACGTGGAACCTGGCAATGTCATGTTGGACAACGGCCTGCGGATGGAACTTTGCCGTGAAGTCCTCCGATTTCTACTTTGTGTCCGGTTCGGTCTCGGACAAGCTGAAGTGCAACAAGTGCTGCCTACTGGATAGAGGCGCGACAAGTCAGGAGGGCACAGATGGGCGCACTGGTTTGCAGAAAGAACCTGCTGGTCAAATAGGATCAGTGGGTGAACCAGTGTTGCCGAAGAAAAGGCGCAGATTAGCATGACCCACCAGCTGCAGACAAAACTTTGGAGGGAGGGTGGGTTGCTGTCTGACGCTGTGGATTGTCGTGAAGCAAATACCATTTGCGCATGACAATAAACAAGGAAGACATGGAGGAGGTGGAATGTAACATATGTAATTAATGCCATTTTGGCTGCAAGGCCACGGATTGTGGCATGGGATTCTTTTGTCCCACCCACCCACACCTGATTGGGTAGGGCACAGATGGGCGCACTGGTTTGCAGAAAGAACCTGCTGGTCAAATAGGATCAGTGGGTGAACCAGTGTTGCCGAAGAAAAGGCGCAGATTAGCATGACCCACCAGCTGCAGACAAAACTTTGGAGGGAGGGTGGGTTGCTGTCTGACGCTGTGGATTGTCATATATATATATATATATACTGTATTGATTCGTGCTGGTGGCTCTTTCTTCGGGACACCACAATTAGTCCAAAGTTTGTGTCCCTCATTGTCTTTAACTAAATTGAAGACAGCAACAGAGTTCAACAGAGTTCAGCCGAGTTCAACTGTAAAATGAAACCAATGGTGTCTGGATAAGTTTAGTCTGGCAGTAATTAAGGTTCTAGCCTTCGCAGCTCGCGCTCGGCTTCAAAGAAATCTGGGAGCGAGGTGCTTGTTGGATCTCGTTGATTTCTTTAGTTAGTAAAAATCGAACACACTCTCCATTTGAGCCGGGTTGAACGAACCCAAAACCATCAAACAGCTTCTATGTCGCTCACTTGTCACTCGCAAAAATGACGTTGGCCGTGACAAGACCTCTTCATGATGTTCTTGAAACGCAGGAGTGCAGTGCATGATTCGCAAATGTAGGGTCCCGTACGGTTGTTCAACAAGACTGCTGGCATTGCTTCCATTTGCTTCCCACCTGCAAGCTTTTAGCGGGATTGTCTATTCGATCACGCTGACCTATGCTGACCTATGCTTCAAACCTTCCTGAGCGGAAAGGCAGCGTCGGAGTACAATGCGACGGCATGCAGTGGATGCACTGGATGCAGGTGCAGCATGGTGCAGCAGTTCTTTTTTCATTTTTTCTGGAGTGGTGTCTTTGCTTTGTGATACTTCACTCATGTGCTTTTGCAGCTTTCTGTTTTGACCTGCCACTGCAAGCCAAGTTGGAAAACTTGGTACTTTGCAGACATGTTCAAAGAATTTACCGTACATCTTGCCAAGTTGTGGTTCATTCTAGTTGTACCGCGCTGTCTTTTTTGTTGTTTGTTGTCTTGAAGCCCCTGGCACTGTAGGATTTTGTCTTGCCTTGCTCTTCATTGCAGTGCACTGCCTTGCGTTCGAATATATTCCAATCATATCATATAACATGCTAGAAGTGCTCGTGGCACGGAATATTGATTTTGACCTGTGTCTACAGAGCAAGTCGTGATAATTTAGAGCAGATGCCAGATACGAATCATCTCAGTAGCACTTTTCCTGCTTTTCACAGTGCCAATTTGGTGGTTTTCTTGGCTTGAGAACGTCGTGCCTGTTTTCCAACCAAAAATGCCTGCGGTAATACAGGTGAACATCTGTGCTATGATTTGTGCGTGTCATCCTTCGCACCTGACATGACAGACTCCCCCAAATCGTGTTTCTCACGATTTTTCAGGAGATATTAATTTGGCGCCCAGCCAAAAGTTGAATTTCATGACCAAAAAATTGGAACCTAAATTGGTAGGCTCAAGGCATTTTATCCTTGGAAGATGCTCGCCAGGTCTTGTACATTGATGCCATTTTGGCAGGCGACCATCCTTTGCCTCTATTTTGATGCTGAAAAAGATTCCATGGATTGTGCAAAGTCATTTTTGATTCTGCACCAACCCTCAAGGCCTCGCTCACTTCGTCAGCACGCTGCATCAGCGCATGCTCAATGCCATCGCCCGCAGCAGCGCTCTGGGAAATCAGCGCAACAGCAGCCAGGGCCTGCTCAAGGCCAGATGCATCAGCACAATGATCAGCGCCGCTCGAAGAAGAGGCCTGCCCAGGGCCAGGAACCGCAGCATCATTCACAAGATCAGCGCCGCTCGAAGAAGGGGCCTGCACAGGGCCAGAACCCGCAGCAGCAGCAACAACGGCCTGCACAGGGCCAGCTCCAGCGCGTAAGGCCTGCTCAGGGCCAGCACCGCTTGAAGATGAACCAGCAGCCGCATTCGTAGTTCGCAAGGCCTGCACAAGGCCAGCACTGCCCAAGGATGCTCCAGCAGCCACATTCGAAGATCTCAAGGCCTGCACAGGGCCACCACCAGATCCAGAAAAATGGGCCTGCTCAGGGCCAGCACGCTCGGCAGTTATGGGTACTGATGTTGTTGAACTTGAGGCCTGCTCAGGGCCAGACACACCAAGGGCCTGCACAGGGCCAACGCTCCGCAAAGACATCGCCACAGAGGCCTGCACAGGGCCACAGCTCGACGATCCCGCTGAAGAGGCCTGCACAGGGCCAGAGCTCGAAGATCCTGCTGAGGGGGCCTGCACAGGGCCAAAGCTGCTTGAAGAGCTCGTTCTCCACCTCAACTTAGATCTTCTTTCACCATCATCTTTGGTAGCGGAGCTTGTTGATGAAGCTTGCATCTCACCAGAAGGCATCGATGGCGAAGACGACCACACCTGCAATCGGCGCATGCAGCATTGACCAGCTTGAACTGCCAGCTTGCCAGCGTAGATTGCCCCAAGGATCATCAAAACCACCGCAGCAATCCAAAGTGGATCCGCTTCATCTTGTTCTCCCTTGATTTCCAAAGCTTCGGCTTCGGACAAAAGAGTCTGCCCCACCAAAAAACTCATCGCAGAAGCTGCACCAGCATGAACACGCTCTCTGCTGCCATGGCTTCTCACTTGAGCAGCACGTATTTCTGGGTCTTCGGGCCTCAAAAACGGCGCATTCATGCCCAGGTTTTCCACAAAACGTTGAAAAGCAGCTCCAAAAAGAGGCTTTGTAAAACCATCAGCAACTAAGTCGAGGCCACGCACATGGATCAGCTTCCATTGGCCTCCAGCTGCATCAGTTTCATCTAGCGCTTGTTTCAAAAGACTTGCTCTGATGCGCAAGTGTCTTGTTCGCCATGAAGAAGCTGTAGTTCCATTGGCCAGTCCAATCGCGGCAATGTTGTCACCATAGATGACTTTCATCACAGCTGTAACACCTGTGAGCTCCATCACCAGAGCTTCAGCTGCTTTGCCAGCGATCAGGCCTTCACAGTAGCTAACCAACTCAGCTTCAGCCGTACTGTGTGTCACAAAAGGCTGTTGGCTCGTTTGCCAACAGATCGGCTGACCACCCAGGCAAACAACTATTCCTTGGACGCTTCTATGGCCAGAACCTGCTGAGTAGGCAATATCGCAGAAGATCTCCAGGAGCAGGTCACTTCTTTTCACCTTCAGCTGGCCATGGGCACCCCAGTCATCAGGAACATGTGTTGTGTACCTCAAACCAACGCCAGGGTTTCCCTTGACGTATTTCATCAACGTTGTGCCGATCTGGATGGCTTTGACAGTGTGCAACTCCATGAGCAAGGTCAGGTCGTGTTCGGGAACTCAACCACAGCAAGGAACCAGCCATAGCTTGAGCTGTCCTGACATCATTTGGGTCAGGGCTTTCTTCGACTTCTTGATCCTCAGCAACTTTGTAGTGAGGATATTCAGCTCCTTCATCAACATTCCAACGTTGCAACATCTCCTGCTCGTACATGTGCTGGTTGACATGAAAACCATCGCCTTTGGCATCTTCAGAAATCTCAAAACCGCAGTACTTGAGAGGCTTGTCAACACCAGCCCACTCCACAGAAGACGTTGTCCAAACTCCAGAGAGAGCTTGTAGAGCGCCATGAACTGCAAACTCTTCACCAGTGACCAAGATGTCGTCCACATACACCGACATGAGGCCATTCCAGTGGATGTAGCCTGATTCATCCAGTTCTTCCAAGCGCCAAACGTTTTCATCTTTTGTTTTCTCAAAACTTCCAGTCAGCAACCCATTTGAACCTTGCCTTGTCCACTTCAGCGTTGGCAAAACTGCATCACGGTGAAGGCACCAGTCCCTTGGTGAAGCCTGGAGTCCGTACATTGCAAGCATGATGAGCCAAACTTCATCAGGTCCAGCGAGGCCCAACATTTTGTACACATGCGGCACTTCCATAGCTATGAGTCTGGAGTCTCTTCTCGGCGCATTGAGGAACGCCGTTCGTATGTCAGTTGAAGCAGCTTTCCATTTGTACTGAGCACTGATCCTTAGCATTGTTCGGATCTGTGTTGCATCAGCACCTCCAGCGTACGTGTTGTCGTCATTCGGTGTCTGGTAGTTTCCACACACCACTGCTCTTGAACGGTATGCTCCTGATCCAGCTTTTCTAGTGTGAACCATTTTTGCTGGAAGGATCTCCAAAGTTTTGTTTTGCACTTCAGCCATTTTTTGGAGTTCCGTTCTGGTCATTGGTTTGACAGCCTTTTTGTTGACGACAAGCTGCTCGTACTCGGCCTTGATGGATTCAGTCCAATCGGCAAGGTTTTCACGAACCTCTTTGTTGCTGACCGTTTTGGTGACCAAAAACTCATGAGTAAGCTGTTGTTGTTCTTCAGCTCGATCTTCATCCGCAAGCAGTTGAATTTGTTCTTCAACTTCAACCTTTTTAACCAGAGCTTTGTTGAGCTCAGGGAGACACCACATT